TTATAATTAAATATATATTTAATATATATAATAGATTTAAATTCTATTAGATAATGGAAATCAAATCGTATTAATATAGTAAAAATTACTTTATTATTATTATTATACATATCAAAATCATTTTAGTATTATTATACTAGTAATATAAATACTTAAAAGTTTTTAATAATAAAAAAGATTTTGTTTTTATAAAAATTATTATATATTTAAATATATAAACAGATTTAGATTATATTAGATAATTGAAATCAAATCTATTCAATATACTAGTAATTACTTTAGTATTATTATAAATACCGTGATCATTCTAGTATTATTATAATATAGACGCTTAAAAAGGTTTTATAATAATAAGAAACCATTTACTAAGCTAGTAGAATAAACATATCTTTCTAACTAGTTAATACGGTCTGTCCGAGTCTCTTTGAGACGAGGAAACCTCAGAATATCCCTCCCCCCTAAATTTCAATTATGTCTCTCACACTCCGCCGCCTCTATAGCACTAAACCCACCACCGCCGCCCAAACAATCGCCTCCACTTTCCTTTCCACCCTCCAAGCGCGAGCACCACGGCTATGTTTCCGCTCCCAACTCCTCGACATAAACCAACTCGCCCAATTACGTGCTTCCCTGCTCCACCACTCCCTTTCCCGTCTCGCTCTACACCTACCCGTTCCTCCCTGTTACCACCTTGTATATTTTACACCATCTGAACGAGAAGATGCGCTTGGAGCCGATGGATCAGATGTGGGACTCATCAAACCCCCACGCCCATTTACGAGACGCATGTGGGCGGGTGGAGAGCTAGAATGGGTACGGGAGAATAAACTGCGTGTGGGGCAGATGGTGCAGGAGAAGACGGAGGTCAAGAGTGTTGAGGCGAAGGCGTCGAGCAGTGGAGAGGATATGTTGGTTGTGGGGGTTGAGAAGCAGTTTGAGAATTCGGAGGGGCTGGCGCTTGTGGAACGGAGGTAGGAGATTCTCTTTTCATTGCGAATATCGATTACTTGTGTTTATTTGGAGACCCTATATATTAACATCGTCGGTTTTGTATATGAATAAAACCAAACAATAATACTAATTCCAACAAACCCCAAGAAACTGGATATTCAAACACGAAATCGATCCGCAAAATCGCCCTCCTCTCCCTCCACTACCCCCTCCTGCCTCCTTCACAGACGCAAGACACTGGCGTGATATTACGAATACATCCATCTCACTTTTCCGCTTCTCAGCCCTCACTTTCAACGCGCATAAAATACATTATGACCGTGACTGGTGTCGAGAAGTCGAGGGACATCGGGATTGCGTCGTGCATGGGCCGTTGAATCTAATACATATGGTTGATTTATGGAGTAGTGTGATGGCTGTCAGGTTTGCGGATCGTGCTGATGTTGATGTTGATGTGAATGTGGATTGGGATAAGGGTGTGCTTTTACCGAAAAAGGTCACGTATAGAGCCATGAGTCCGTTTTATGTGGGAGATAAGTATAGGATTTTGATGGGGGAGGAGAGGGAGAAGGTGACAGAAATGAAGGTGGTGAATGGGTCTGGGAAAGTGGGCATGATGGGGAGCATTGAGAGGTGGTGATGATGGGGGAAATGTTCGGAGTGATACTGTGTTATGCAATCATGTCATATTGGAGAATATCGAGTATGTCCTACTGTATATATCCTTGCACTCTTATGATTTTTAGAATGATATATGCATCTCTCCCCTGGCTTGTACTATTTGTCCAACCATAAAATCCAACCTCAACGGACTCCAGTTTACGAGTTCACAAGCTCACAATCACGATTCTGCGATACTCAAACCTGTAGCAGTATCCATCCCATTGGTTCAGAAACTCATTTATCATCGAGAAACCGTCTCATCATCATTCAACACCAAACACCACCTCAGTCCCCAAACCCGCTCAAGAAAACGCCACACAGCTCGCCGCCAACGCCGAAGTCAATAAATACTCCACCTTCACCATATCCTCCCCGTCTCCCGACACCACATCAAAAGACGTACTCCACTGCGCCGTATCAACCGAATTTGTCGCCGCAAATAAATAATACCCATCAATCTCCTCCCCCACCCTCTCCATAACCGTACGCTGCACTTCCAGCGCCGCGATAGCTACGCCCTGAGTTGCGCGTTTGTAAACCCAGTCGAAGGCTACAAGTTCGCTGATACGATCGGCGCGCACGGCGGCCGTGATGGTCATGTTCCATTGGCCGGCTTCGTTGACGGATATTTGGGGGAAGCAGGATTGTGCTGATTGGTAGAGGATTGCGTCTAAGATGGGGAAACCAGCGCCGTTATTCGTGAGGATTTCATCGGCTGCTCCGGCGGTGTGCACAGTGATGTCGAAGGATGAGATGCCTGCTGTGGCGTTCAGAATACTGCTGAATGTATACCAGGTGAAAACCTCCCTGTCGAAACCATAACTCTGGCCTAGCATGTATCTTTCGTGAGTGGTGGTGATGGTGGAGGTTTCCGGGGTGATGTTGTTGCGGTCACGGTATTGGATTGATACGGTTATGTCATCGGCAATGCGGTGGGTGGTTCGGACACGGATGTGTCCTGAGAAGGAGAGAGTGTTGTTTGGGGCTAGGGTTAAAGATATTCCCCATGGCTTCACTTCGATGGGTGTAATAACTTCTGATAGTGTGACAGCTGCAGGAACAGTGTCGATCATCCTCGCAAAGATGTCCGCGCACTGCGCTTGAAAATTAGTTGGATCTGCCAGGGCCATCATGGTTTTATTGTTGTCCGCCGCGAATATGCGCTTGTCAGAATTAAAGGTATCATTTCTGCCGATCAAAAGCACATCGGTAGAATTATCCCCCAGGTATTCGGTGACGATAGTATTGTCGAATGTGTTGTGAGTGCTGTCGAAATGCGGGAAATTCGTTTCGTTGCCATCACCAGTAATCTGAGGAAAATCGACTCCATGAACTCCTCCGAGAACATGTCCGCATGCTACCATAGTAATCATCTCGCTGGTGTTGAAGCCCTGCTTTACAAATTTTGCAGTGTGGGTCTCCAAATCCTGCTGAGGCTCGGGGACACCAGGAACACCAGCCTCGATGGCATCGATTCGTCCAGCTCTAAATGGAATAATTGGACCGCCGCAAGACATCGAGGCCACGACGACGGATAGCGCGATGAGATCGGCCGTCGATGCCTTGATCGAATGATAATTGTTCGTGAACCCAAAGGTTCCGTTGAAAGCAGAACCAGGATTCTCCGCTCGGTCAAGCTCGAAGGCTATAGAGGCGTCGATTCCTCCAAGACCAGTATCGATATCATGGGTGGCCATATCATGGTATGCTGTCCGTATCCATTCAGCTGCCGTCTGACGGCCACCCCCGTCCGGCGAGAAGCCGCATGGCGTTACATCTGATGTGAGAATTAACAAACATGGTCTGATTAACGGTTGACATGATATATTTCTTTCCATGACTTACCGTCTCTGAAACCATAACGCAACCAGCCTTGTTGGAGATATAGAATATCTTCTAATAGATCATATTGAGAGGGCCATGTATATACTGCCTTTACTGACAAGATGGGCAACAGCCCTATACTGATCAAAGCCACCGCCTTCATTTTGAGAAATTATACAGAAATAGTATCTACAATATGAGTAGAAAATAAAGCACCAAAAACGAATGTGGTAAATACTCAAAGCAATACCAAAATCAGCATTGTCGATAAATAGGGCGCACTCGCGGGTTATATATGAATATGGATTTAGGGGGGTGAGTGTGAGTGGAGTGCCAAGGCAAACTGCAGAGACAACTCAAAGCTGTTAAACCTTCACATGCCCACGAACGGTTCAAACCTTTTTTCTTTTTTCCTCGGGGCTCGTATTTCTCAGAATACTTTGGGGCCTGCACACTCAAGCTTGAAGAAAGCTTGAAATGATAAGTATGTAGCAAATAAGAAAACCTAATTAAAGAATGGAATTTAGAGAACTACCGAAATAGAGTCCCGATACTAAAAGCTTGTACCGGTATTGGTAACTTGCATATATATAGACTCCATTTTCATGGAGACGAACAGAAGTTATGGTTGCTAACTTGCTATTCATACCACGACACTGGAACATCTGTAATTATTCTTTTATTCTTGTAATGGATTAGAGGTGTTTTGTTCGCTTAGAGTAGTATCGGCAATTCGATTAGATTAGGCTTGTTCGTGATTGCGGAGTGCATGTACCTTCTCATTGCTTGCAATGCAAATGTAGATGCAGATACAGGATGTAACCATAAATATAACCATAAATATAGAAAGGAAAAATGGGATATTAGTTGGTATTCAAAACAGTAGTTAGCTGATTTTGGAAAAGGGGATATCTTAATAACAGAAGTGAGATGGGATTGAGTGATGGGAAACTCTATTGTATCATCCTCAACATCCTGATTATATACAACAAGATATAAGTATCGAAGAATAGTTGATAAACAACCCATCACGTGATCTAGCATCGGTAAGAGTGTGTCACGCGCACATGTCAGATCATGTATGTCTTATTTCTGTAACTCGAGTAGTGAATCAATCATTTAAAACAGTGATAGGATTCTGTATCTTGCTATTGATGTCACCATATAATACCATAAACCCGATATCCAATTATCCGCAGGTTTCTGTGCCCAAAAACATCCACGTCCATATCCACATCCACATTCCTATTGCAAAATTTGGCACATCACTTGGGCATTTTCCAGCCTGATATCTTCTACCTGCGCATGGATGAGAACCTTCATAGGTTCACATTCAAACAACACAAGGCAGGTTTGCCCCCGCCACTTCACGCCCCGCAAATCTTCAGGCAAACAACAGGTTGGGTGGCTCAGCCTCACTCATTTGTGACTGATCTTTTGATAAGATTTCATGAGAAAAGAATAGAAAGATTTATGAGGAGGGTTTATTTCGTATGATTGAAAGTACAATCATAACAATATCGATATCAGTAATTTTAATTTCTGTCGCGAGTGTTAGAGGTACTTGGAGAAGGGGACTTCTTTTCAAAATCGAGTCAAACTGACTGAAAAAGCGAGATAAATATCAGGCGCCAAGATGTCGAGATATCAATATCATCGCTCCCGGAACGAGAAATCGCATACACGACGTGATTCCCATCATGAGAAGAAGAGTGTTACGACGAAAAATTTAGCAGCGACGTTGGGGATGATGGGGTTGGCGATTGGTGCTACGTTGTTGGTGGAAGGGGGACCGTGGAAGAGTAGAATGGCGGCGGCGGCGACGGTGGTGGGGATGGAACAGGTTTTGGAGAGGGTGGGATTTTTTGATGGGAAGGTAAGGGAGAGGGGGAAAGGGGATGGTAGGGAGGGGATGGGGGTAGATGGGGAGGATGGGGAGGATGGGGAAGATGTGGATAGAAGGGACAGGCGAGATCGTGGGGAAAGGGAAAGGGAAGGTCGAGATGTGAGGGGGCTAAATAGTGAAAGGAGACGACGAGATATGGATGATGATGATGATGAATGGAAATATCAAGACCAAAGGAAAAGGGAAGCAGAAAGCCGAAGAGAAACAAGAGGAATGGGTCACGACTCACATGATAGAACGAGACGTCATACCCATACCCATGATGACGATCGAACACATCACGAGAGGCGAGCCAGAAGACGAGAGGCCAATCGACGATTTGATGAAGAATATGAAATTGAGGAGGTTCCTGCTTGATGTGCTATATTTTGGAGGCTTGGCTTGGGATGGGATGCTTTAAACTTTATTTGGTGCGAGGATGTTATATTATTCGATGTATCGGATCAGATTGGTCGGAATAGGACGGCTGGCTATCTTGCGAAGACTTATGGAGTAGCTATGGGAGGAATACGGACATACAGACGGACAGACAAATAGGCGCACGGAGGCGAGGGTTTTGGTACTACAGTACATAGCTATTGCATGTGGTTTATATGGTTGCTAAGGCATATAGTTGATTAACTATCAAATTACTGAGATTAGAGATGGAGAAGGAATGGCGATTGCGAAATTATGATTTAAGGGTTGATTAAACAGGGAAGAGATCTTATCAGATTATGGGGCGGATAAAAAGCTAAATAGCATCTTCGTGTGCGCAGAGTTATACTTATTCCTCGTAATTAATTGATTTGTCTTTTTTCAGGATAATAAACTATCCTCCTAGTATGCTTTCCATCGGTGCTTTGACCTAAGAAGGGTTCTTTCTCATAAACACATATATCGTGGATCACTTGTCTTGATCACGATCTTGGAAGAGAAACGTGACTGGAAAGGATCTAAGGTATTGTATTATGCATATATGTTCATGAGAAGACAAGATATACTTACTGTAAGTAGTATCGATGCAGGTACAAGATTAAAAACTCAATACTTTCCACAGCACAAATTTTCCCAACCAGATATCATTAAACCCCGAAATTCCTCTGGATCTTGAGCACAAACATTCTGTACAACCCAATGCCACCCAAAACCCTTGTGTCGGACAAATAATCTTGGATGTCCCAAGAAGTCTACATATTAAATAATATTGCCCTATCCTCTTTCCCCGGGAGTCCCCAAAAAGATGCCCAAAACTCCAAAGTCTGCGCACCCCTAAACATACAAACTCTCGGGATTCTCTTCTGTGAAAATCTTGTGCACCCTCCGACTAATGGATTTCCCGATCCTCGTATCTGCCAACCCCCCATTCTTATTCCCCATTTTTCGACACCCTTCTAATGCCGACGGACCGCCTTCCTTAAATCCCTCTAGAAGCGCTTGAGGCGTAGGGAATTCAGCTGCTATACCTTCTGCCACTTTTTCCGTGACTTGATGGATTTCCTCCAACATTTTGATATAAGTATCGGTAGCGTCCTTTCCGCCTTTGAATTGGCCGTTCGCCATGCAAAAATTCAAACCGAGAGCTTCGCGTTGAGCTAGATACGGGATCGTGGCGATATGTTTGGTGAATTGACAGACCCATTTTGCAGTATCTTGTGCATTGGCCGTGAGCCAATAATTTACTTTATGAAGGACTTCCAAGTTGAGCAAAGCGTCCTCGATTGAATTATCTGCATTTTCAACGTATTCATCGGCTTTTGGTGCTCTTCTTCTCTGGCTGCTGGTACTAGCCGCTTCGTCCTCCGGGATACGACTTCTAACTGCGGCTTTGTATTGTCGGTCTTTAATATTCCGATTTTTGTTTTGCCATGCTGTGAGGCCCTCGATGAGATATACAAGCTTGCAAGGTTCGAATTGTGATTTGAGGATAGAAACTTGAGTATCTAGATTCACATCTCCTCTCCCTAAAACCATATCAACGAATTTCTTGGCTGGTAAGACACATAGAATATGCTGTTCATCCTTGATCTGCAGTGGTTTGGGTTCCCACATATCACTTTCTACGCTGTATTCCGAAATAATCTTTCGACGCCACTTAATGACTAGGTCTGAGTTTTCCCATTGAGACCGCTGGACATTCAATTCCCCAAGTAGAATGTTGATTCGAGTTCTCAAGGCCAAGTTACTTTTTTCCTGAATACATGAAGGCAAATCGACGATCATTTCTGGGGCCGAGATATCAGCCTTGGTGCGATCAATATTGGCTTTAGCCAGATCCTTTGCCTTTTCCTTCTCTCTTTCCTTCTCTGCCTTAGCATACTCTTTGTCGATACGCTTTTGCTCCTTTTCGGCATCCTTTGCTGCCTTCTTTTCTGATGCCCTCAAAGCTTTGTCTTTGGCGTTTTCAAGCTTTTCTCGCTTCTTCTTCTCAAGAGCTTTATCATCATCATCATCATCGTTGTAATAATGGGCCATCGAATCTTCAAGCTTCTTTGCTTTCTTGGGTGGTGAAGCCCAAGATTTTAGATTTTCAATGGATGGAAAGTCTTCGTCCGTATCATCGAGATCTACAGGATCTGCCTTGTTGGCCTTCTTCCGTGGTATCTCCACCTCGTCTTCGTCTTTTTCATCATCATTTCGGCTAATGGATGTTTTACCCTTCCCCTTCATCGATCGTACCGCAGACACATCCGGCGAGCTTGTAAACACTATAGGATCTGCGCCCATAGACTTCGACCTATTTAAACTATATTTGTATGGTCTTATATTACTCGTTGCGACGGAATCGATATTGGAAACGGTGCGCTTATATCCGCCTGCTGCTCTAGGGACTTTATCTTTTGGGGGTGATGCGTTCCGCCGTTTCGCAGGTGGAGAAGAAGTAAAGGGATCGTCTGAACTTGTTAAATGGAAAGGAATGTTACCCCCAACATACTTCTTCGATAACCCAGCATTCCGCTTCGCAGGTGTGCTATTCAATACAGAACCTAGTATAGTGTCAAAGTCATCGGACCATAATTGAATCTCATTGCCATCATCAAGCTTGATGGTCTTAGAGGGTTTGATTTGGCTGGAATTTCTCAACGGACTTAGTGCCGGCTCGACTGTTCTGGCGTTTGTCGCATTGTCGAAATTGGCAAAACTATAGTCGAATAGCTGCACTGTGGGTGGTCTGGAAATTTTTGGATGTGTATCTTTGGAAGGAAGTTTGGAGGCAACTTTAGGAGCAACTTTGGCGCGAGCCTTTGGCAGCTCTGGCTCCGGACTTGGAGTTGGACTTGTCAAATCGACAATCATTGTGGTAATGTTGATGTTATTTTCTTGAAATTGTATGCCAATACCGGTATGAGATCGAAACGTAGGCGACGGTAAAGACTTAATCCAGGAGCAAATAGGTTATTACGTTGAATTGAAGGAAGGCAAAACGATTGACAGCTTGAAAGAAGAGTTTGGGGGCTGGATTTCGTTGTCGCTCTGCCAATCTTATCAGAGAAATTAACGCGCCTGCGACACGCTAGAGCTCGTCATCACGTGATGAATGTCACAACTCCAATTCTCAGGAATACTATGGTATATTTTTTCGTCGAACATATGTTGACTCTCCATTCCAAGAGATTTGCTGAGTGTGCAACCTGTATTATTGCAGCATTTCCAAAGGCTTATTAGTCACAATGCAAGTTCAAGAATGAAGTTATTTAGCAACGGGACGCTTCAAGCGTATGCATACATCGAGATAGTTCGCGACCGAGCATGGCTTACGAATTGCAGTACAATGTCCAGTATACAGTGATACATTGGTGAGGCTGGACAGCGAGCCTGAGCAATGGCCATTGTGTCTCACTGGATAACTACGCCCATTCGTTCGTTGCATAAAATTTGAATGTTTACCGCATATCAAATTTGCTGGCACCATGAAGAGACTCCATATCTATCAGGCTTGAGCGTCTAATACTTCATCGCAATCACTGTTCTCGTTTGTATGAAGTCTATACATGCTCAATATAGTGTTGTTTCACAAATATGGACCCATCGATATCATCAGTTTTGGGTGTTTTTGCAGCCTTCTCTCAAATAGCTCAACAAGGCGACAGTGTCATTAAATATGTGTACGATGTTCGGACACAAATGGACGTTGGACCAAATTCTATCCACAGACAGATGCACCATATCTAAGAACAATTGGCCAATCTTCTTGTGTAAGTTATGAAGAACACCTCATTGCAAACGCCCAAAATTTCTTCAACTTTGAAGACTTGTCTTATCTCTGCAAAAGTCTTCAATGAATATCTCGAAAAGTACCTTGCCAGGCCGGAGGATGGTAAAAGGATATTATTTAGTACTGATGGGCTTTCTCACGTTCTTTCCGAGCTCGAGAAACTTCCTGATACTGAAGCCCTTTGCCGGACCGTAGTCAAAGACAGCCAAGAGATATTTGGGACAGATAATTGTTTCACAGCTCGATTCCTCGTCAAGCTGGCCATAATTTCGATGAGTAAGGTAGAGGCTCTGAAGCCCTTATATATTTACAGAGGCCTACGCACGATTTCCACCAATATCTGGGGCCGAAAATCCTGAAATACGAGATTGCGAAGGGTTGTGCTTGAAGATACGCCGACAAACGGAACAGCAATTCATGAATCCCAAACCCAATGAAGAATTGGAGCCCGAAGGTAATATGCAGTCAGGGGAGTGTGGGCTGCTCGATAATGAATCGGGCTGATCTATCACTGATACAATTACACGAAAAACTGTAGGATCGGGCACAACAAAGCTCCACTTATTTTAAAAAGTTTTGTTACATATCTCATTCTCGAGAAGGATTTGAATATGAGATATCATGTGATGCTGGAATTAATTGCCTTGTTTTATAGGAGATAGGTATGCTAAATTAGCTCTGATGCCAATGATGGAGGGGTTAGACAATCCAATACCACTAGCTGTTAAGAGTTGAAATTGATGATAGGAGATATGAAAACACCAATATCACACAAGCGAGGGAAACCCCTAAGCAGACGACTGCTGAAGGAAAGTATTTCTGCATACAGATATCGCAGCCAGTAGAAGATCAAGAGAACCGGCTGCAATTGGTGATATGTTTTAAATTCAGCATCAGGAAGAAAATCAGTCATGGCAGAAACCTGAGTTGGAAAACATTTCCTATACGGTATGTAGCTAGCTATATGATTATCAAGAGGCTCTTCAGGCGATAATACCTATGTGAATCATCTCTCACTACCCAATCCATCTCTCACGCGTTCCGGCGAGCTCAAGCATCAAAAATTAGAGAGTATTTTTAATTCTCATCTTCCAATTCTCATCCTCCAATTCCAATTCCCATTCCCGTTCCCGTTCCCATCCAACGTATTCGCACTTTTTATTCCCCTCCAAGTATATATCCCCTCCAAGTATATATAGTATACCTATTCACCTACCGGTATCCCAATTCAATTCATTTCCCTATACTATTTATATTTATGTTTATATTTATATGTACTCGAGCACTGGTATATAGTAATATACACTCCAATTCAACTCATCATTTATGGCCCTAGCCCTAATCCTTGATTATTAATTCATGATTCTTCATTATTCATCACCCGGGCTAACTATCGAGCTATTCACTACATCCCCTCTGATAATAAATATCCTAGATTTACACCGATACAATATAACTCCATACCAATCCATCCAACTATCTCCCTACTATCCACCCCCTCTACCATGCACCCAAAACCTTCCTTCCTCTACAACCCGCCATCCACCATCCACCCTCCACCCCACCCCATCGCCTCCCTCCCTCCCTCTCTCTCCCCCTCCCTCTCTTCCACTTCCACTTCCACTTCCACTTCCACATCTACTTCCACATCTACTTCCACTTCCACCCCTACCCCCATCCTCACCCCATCCTCACCCCCCATTCCAAGCCACAAATTCCACAAATTCCACATCTGGAATGCTTCTCTCCCTCTCCCCCCTCCCCCCTTTCTTATATTTCTCTCTCTTTTCCACAAAGACTTCATTTCAAGTACCTCATCTCGCCATCTCTTGATCTCGCCATCACATTAAACATCACTTACAACCACTTTTTTGAACTTCACTTCGTTTCACTTCTTTTGACCTCACTCTACATGAATATCACTCTACATCAAAATCACTCACTCCACTCCTCTCCACACCATACCATTCCACACCACACCACACCACTCAACTCCACAACAACACTCAAATATCAATGTTCCACAAGATAAGTTTTTCAAAAAGCTTTCCATTCAATTTGCTCTACTATCACATCATCTCATATCATCTCCTCCCCTTCCATATCTACTCTCATCTCATGCCTCCCCATCCCTCCCCATCCCTCCACAACATCTTCCGCGCTAAATTTCATTCCTTGTTCCTTGTTACATACAACCATACAACCAAACAACTAGCTTCGCATCGGGTATTATTCTCAATTCTCATTTCGCTCGCTCCATCTTACAACAAAAGAAAAAAGTGGATTGTATCGCAGTATCGCAGTACATATCGTTTCCGTCTCTCCACCCATCCATCCACCCATCCACCACCAACCTTCCTCCATCATCAACCTAAAAGTCGACATCTCCTTATCATCCATCCGTCCAAGTCCAATCACAAACCCCGAAAAGAAAAAGAAAAGAAATCCTTCTCGAGAGGATCCAAAGATTCATACTTACAAAAAAAAACTAAAAGTGATATAAAAAAGTGTGACGGTGAGTGCCTAGCTAGCTAAACCCAGCAAAATATCAACAGATATTGCCTCGCCATTAAAACGCCCCCTCCGAAAGTAAGCCGAGTGAAATGAAAAGTGAGATCGAGAAGATCAAGAAAGCCATGGGAGAGGCACTATTTTGGGTAATATTAATGCTGTCAAGAAGAATCATCCATTCCGAGTTTCTTCAGGAGCATTAATGGCTGTAGTGGCTAATGACCACCCAGAGCACTGATTCGAGCACCCGCAGGTCTGTGGAGCAATGCTGGCTTTCCAATCAGGCTGTGGCGCATACTTCCTGCGTCACTTCTACCGCCGAGTTCTTCATCACTATCTTCGATGATTTTGGTTGGGAGGTCGTCTCTGACATGGTATTGCTGGCTTACTCTTTCGGGTGTAGTAACGGAGCTAGCGACAGACATGGCTGTGCTGGATCTGTGGATGAGATCTGGAGTTGGAGGAATGCTGGAAGAGCGCCCGCTTGGGTGAAGCATGCTGTCTTCGCCCGATTGTTCGCCATCACTGGTCATGGTTGAAAGATTGCTTTCGCGATTTCTTCTCTGCTTCTCTCTCATAACAAGTTCCTCCGCTTCGGCATCAGCATCATGCGCCATCATGAGACCCTCTACAGCCGCTGCGCATTGATCACTGATGTTTCGAATGATGTGAGCGATGGCATCGGTTTTGTCCCGAAGATGACGATCGGCGACATCCGCAATGCTGATAGCACTGTAACGCTTGCTATTTCGCACACTACCAACCAATCTTGCCTCCATTTCAGAACTCATATCATCGCCAGACGGGCTGAGTCTTTGTGAACGAGACGGCGTACGAGAAGATCCACGAGACGATCCACGCTCAGAAGGTCCTCGTGACGAAGACCTCTTATCCTCAGCCTTACTTTCCTCTGCGATTTCGCCCATGTTCTCTCCTTCCTCTTGGTCGAACTCTGCATCAAGATACTCACTCATATCTGGACTCTTCTGAATGGTACGGACCAAGTGCTCCAAGTGGTGAGATTGGCCACCGATAAGACTGCGGAGATGCAACACAACACGTTGCGCCTCGTCCCGTTGTCGGAGAAGGGTGGAGTTGGTGCGCTGAAGCTCCGAAAGTTCTTTCTTGTTGCGTTTACGTTCACGCTCGAGTTCTTCAGCAATTTCTTGTTGGAGAACAAGTGCCTCGAGAGCATCATCACGCTGCTTCTCTGTACCAGCAAGGCGAGTGTTGACACGAACTGCATCGTCTTTCTGTTGGTCGATGAGCCCAGTGAGACGTCTATTCTCTCGTTTGTGGGTTTCGATCTTGACCTTGAGGTCTTGAGTCTCCTTGGTAAGTTGCTCAGCAAATGCTTGGAACTTGAGGAATTGTTGTTTCCAGCTTTCAAGTTCCTCGACCAAGAAGTTGTTTCTCTTCGAAACTTTGCCGATTTCAGTATCCATGCGACCCTTGAGGTTGATGAAGTCTTGCCATGCCTCAAGCGCATCTCTAGAGTATTGATTTCTCTCGCGTACGATTTCGTTCAGATGTCTCATGGAAACCTTGGTCATGAGAGGTTTCTTCTGTGCTCCTCCAAAAACAGCCTTGATTCCGGTGTTTCGTCCCTGAGAAAGTTAGTGCTTTTTCATGAAGACCAAAATTATGGTTGACTCACCATCTTCTCACAAACATGATCCATCACAGCCATGGTAGCATCCTGGTTCCACCATTCTGGGTTCTGGATAGACTCAACTTCTCCGCGCATGACGATGATTTGACCAGCTGGAATCAATTTACCACCACCGTAAGCTGAACGAAGATGTTGTGGCACACCAGAAGGTGTTACGTCACCGTTGAGAGCTTGAGTGATACGGTTGACCATTTTCGTACGTTGACCAACATTCAAAGCAGTTGGTGGGCTGGATGTAAGGACGAAGTTGCGATCCAAATCCACAATCAAGGCATCTGTGGGCGCGGTGAACAGAGATCGACATTCCGCAGTGATTCCGAGAATGTATGGTCCAGGTTCCTGAACAAGTTCTTGGGCGTGTCTGGCATGAACAACAGGAACATAAAGACCGCTCCATTCATAAACTCGAACGAAATATCGAATCGTCTCGGAAGCCACGGTGAGCATGGCAGGGTAATGAGAAACGAAGATAATGCGGCGGGTGGGCGATAAAGCTGCCTCGATTACTCCTACAATGTTAGGGATAGACAAGCAGGAGAACAATGGCCACATGGCGAAGTTTTGGAAGCCTGTTGGAGAAGATGGGAATTGATAACAAAGTGCGTAATCCTTCATGTCGATACGGACGAGATCATTGAGTCTGGGAGCGGGGAAGCTCAATATTCTCGAGACCTCTTCAGCATGAAAAAGATTGGTAGCTTTGTTCCAGTGAATCCACATTCCTCTGAGGTAGTCTCCCAGCAAATTGTACAATGGGTACCTGGAGAGGAAAGACAAGCAGTATGGAATCCAGTAAGTCTCATCTGGAGAGTCGTAGAAGTCCGATTCGGTTCTTCGTCTCAAGTCGCGAATTGTCTCTGCACGCTTCTCATCTGCTCGGGACCAAACTCGTAATGCGATACCATATAAAGTATGGGATGAATCTTGTTGGAGGACGAAGGAATGGTGAACACAATGAGGTTGACTGCGACCTGTGCAGATTTCGACATCGTGGGGGAAACATGCCTATTATCAATTAGTACCATCTTACCGAGGACTAGATTTCTCCCTTACCCTCATTGCAGAGTGAAGAGCTCTGGCGATTTCATTATCTTGCTCGAGTCTAGGGCTACTACCTAGAATCTCAGGAAGCCAAAATTGACCAACAGCACCTTTCATGTGTTGAATCTTTCCTTGCGCTGGAGCTGGTGCCTTTACCCATTGTGCTGGTTCTCGGCCAACGCCACATACCATATAGGCATGAGTCAGGGTCTTTGGTGTTCGTGCTTGAGGTTTGGCACTCAGTGTAGAAGGAATTGGTTGTGTGATTCTTGAGTGAAGAGAGGAAGTTCGGCTGGGAATCATGAGGTTGTGATCCTGGTTGTTTTCACGAGTACTGGGGCGATCTTCACGATCTCTTGTCTTTGGCCGAAGGAAGTTGGCCGAACTTGTAAGAGATGGAGCCATGGTTGAATAGATTATGAGAATTCAAAGCTCCTTGGTTTGTAGAATCCAAAGCAAAGTGTGCTTGCTCCCTTGATGGGGGTAGAACAAGGTTCGAGAAAAAGCTGTAGATTTGTCGGAAAGTTCTGTCACTTCCGACAGATAGATGATGGTAAAACTGTTGAAATATCAAACAAGTGTATCGAAGTGAATTGATTCTATCATTCGATTTTGGACATTCACTTTCCCGGAAATGCTGTCCCAATTTCCTGATGTTTGGAAGTGGCCCCCTTTTCGGAACAATGTATGTTTCTTATCGACTTTGCTGTCCAGGTTTAAAAGAATTGACGATAAGAGCTTTGTGTTATTGATCCTACTTTTCTGCTGCTTTCTGCAAAATGCAGATTATTGTGCAATCGCGAAATGTAAAGATTGAAAGAATAGATAGAAAGAACAAGTGAGAATAGAAAGGGTCGGATCCCAGATGATGAAATGGAAAAATGATAGACAAGTAAGGGAAAAGCAAGTAAAGGACGAAAAAGAGGAGTATGCATGGAAGGGTTTAAAAGATTGACAAGGGTCAAAGCCGAAGCTCACGATATTATTGATATAGCTTTCTTTTTAGTTTCAGTTTAAGTGAGAAACTTTATATCATTGGTCAAAATTATAAAAAGATTGAAAATGTTCAAAACACGCTTTGATTAATAATATACAATCTGTAATTATAACCCCTGTTGAGTTTTGACATTGACAAATGAGCACAACCACTGAGGAGTGAGGAGTGAATGACAGAAATGATAATGAAAGTGGTGTGATGAAAAAGAAAAGAAAAGAAAAACTATAGAATAGACATTTGCAGTAAGGAATCCATTCTGTATGATTTACTATGCCTTAGTGTAATATATACCTAGTAGTTACATTAGTGTAAAACATACAGCATTAGTAGAGATATCAATCTCGAAAACAAACAGTAATAAGGTCAAAAACATTGAAGTCTTGTCATCCAAACAATCCAACATCATCAATATCATCACCAGAAAAGAATATTGACAAGCTTCGGTCCAATTCATCCATTCAACCATCTACTTACCGTCTATTCTCCTCTCCTTAAGCCTTTTCATCCTCTAGCCAAGTAAAAGCCTATACTAGCTAGCACTGTGCGAGTACCACAAGGCTTATATCCCTCGAGAGTTCAAGAAAGTCCTTCAATTGGGTAAGAGAGGCTCATCGGCTCATTGTCATTTTTCGAGTTTTGCTTCATTCATAGCTTCATCATCCAATTCCTGCAAGTATCCTATAATGATACATAATACCAAATCTTAATCATGTACAAACACGCCGGACATGTACAGAGAGTATTACAACTACTGAGCTAGTCTACAAGAAACATCAATCAAATCATGGTCAAAATGTGGTTTTCCGCCTTCAACACCTTGATTTCCTCCGGACAGGTCAACAGGGTGTAACAAAAGGAATCTTTTTCGAGTTTTTTCAGGGGTTTTGTATTCAGGGCCAGACCAGGCCAGGCCAGGAACAGGTACACAGGGCAGGGCAGGGCAGGGCAGGGCAGGGCAACACAACACAAGGCACACATGAGACCTGCAGCGTAAGCACATAAGCACAGGCACAGGCATATTTGAAACTCCTCCGCACATGTGTAGTCTTAACTTTTGTGTAACTGAACTGATGAAGTTTATATTATTTTCATTGCTATTTACTCTTGGATTTCTACTTTAGGTCATTAAAGGATACTTTCATCCAAGGCCATTGGCCAGTCATCTGGAAATGGAAACAGAAGCGAAAGTTATTACATGTGCCTCATTATTAGAAAACCATTGGATATCTGCTCGGCCCTTGCATATGTTTTGATTCTGATCGCAAATTGCTATACAAATGGAGATTGGTTCATCGGGATAAGATACATTTTCGTATAATATCGACCAGAACCATATCAATTCAACTGTGGTTCAAATATGGTTCATCTGTTCGGCTCCAACTTGTTGGTCTGGGATCTTTCATTTGGAACGGGGATTATCAACAGTGGGCTCGGCTCGACACTGAAGTGACTGAACAGTGCCCCGACCCTAACTCGACACTGACCTCGAGCATGACTTGTCACCATCCCAAAGCTTTAATATTAATAACATATACAAATAGATACGAAGTGTATATACTCGTAACTCAAATCTACAAGGTAACTGACACATTCGCTACCTGAACCCTTGAACCTTCATCTCCAGATTTTGGTCTTTACTGTAAGCTTGAAATATAATCTTCCATCATCTGTCAGTCTCAGTGACAGCAGTAAGGTCAAAACCATCAAAACTTTGTTCCCCCTTTTGTATCACAGTATCACAGTATCACAACATTAATACTACGCATTGACCAAACAACACCAAGTAGTCTTGTTTATCACGTTTATCACATTTATGTTTATATTAGTTCACGGATGGTGAAGATTGGCATCACCAATTCACCTACCTAGGACCTAGGTATTCATTTCATTTCATTGAACCCTATGGCTATGGCGTTCGCATTCTCCAGTGCCAACCGCCAGAGATAGTAGCTAGCACATGAGGATTTCAACAAGATTCGAAAAGTAAAAAAATAAGGATGAAATCATTTAAGTAATGATTTCGCTGAGCGTGGATCGATTTTTAATCATTTGATAGAGAACGCGGATTTCGCGCTGCGCTAGAATCTGGAAGTCTCCAAATACAGTACACTTTACTTTATCATCCGAAGTTTACTGCCCCAATTTTGCCCCAAGATTGCTTTGGGTAGATTGATAAAGGAAAATCTATGTAGTACGGTATCTAGGGAGTCGGGATCTTCCAAGGTTCCCGCACCTAGTATAGTAGTAGGATATGAGCAAGTGCTCTTGATATCGACTGCTGCGTAGTTTAGGTTCGGGCTGTAATACCGGTAGGTTATATAATATGTGCGTATATTCGAAGCCTGATGTCTATTAGGGCCTATTGGCTTAATGGTACTGTATATTCTACACTACTTTTATAACTCCACAATAACTACTCATAGAAATTCTACAACCACCACGCTTCATGAACAACACATTGAAAGTGGCAAAACCATGTGCGCTTGACTCCTGAGCCAGGATATTCCGCCAGGTACCGGGTACCGGTATTTCCCTGCTTACGTATGGGAGTACAGTATCAACTATCAAGTAGAGCTGCGAGCTGCGAGCCGCGACTTAGCTCGCGATCTGTCAATCTTCATGTAAGGTAAGGCAAGGATATGCTTGTTGGTAAGTAGCAGCTAATCATCAGTCAGTCACCACAACACTTAAACACCCACCACAACAATCTTTATATCAACCAGCTCATTGGTCTAGCTAATCCAGATTCCACATACATGCAGTAGTAGCTGCTGAAAATTGAATGGCTTAGAGTCATGAGTACCGATCGGTACTGTGTTAAGAATATTATTAGACGGACAATCTGGCAATGATAATCAGAAATCTCTATCGAGATTGGATTTTTTGAACTTCAGATGAATATTAATTATCCTGTCCCGGATCCCGAATCTAGATGGATCTTATATATACATCATGTACTGTAGTTTTGAAATCGCTTACAGCGGTACTGTACTGGAAATTCTGGAATATCGATGATGATTCAAACTTGAGTATATCGGTATCATCGTATTTGTATCGATCCTGCAAGAACTCGAGAGCCCTCGTGATTGTATGTGCATGGCTTTTACAGTACGGTATGGTACCGGTACAGTACCGGTATATCTACTACTTACCTTACCTTACCTTACCTCACCTCACCTTATCCTCGTCTTCGTCCTCGTCCTCCTCGCTACAGTATTAATACTGTATCAGTACCGATATTGCTGCACTGTAATACCGGTATGTATTCTAGAACACCGATTTTGTTTGGCAAGCTTGGGTATATTGGGTAATTACAGTAATTATGAACCGGTGCCGGTACTATACGAGTATTGATAATACAGTACAGTACCGAAGATCCTTGAGTCAGGACTCTGGGGGCTTTTAACTTAGGCTTTCACTTAGGCTTTGGTTTGAGAATCGATATGGTATGGTGTGAGGTAAGTAAGGTGAGATGAGGTAAAATGAGGTATGTACGCGGTGTTGTTGGTTTTTGGTTTTGTCTTTATTAATACTAGATCCTTGAAGTTGGATAGATTAGAGACGTAGAAGACAATCAACTTACTACTAGAAATTTGATACATTGGAGTCTTCGATTTGAGAAGTCGAGTTTATTAGTACTTAGAGTTATATATATAAGATATATAATAAGCATTTCATTGACTTTTTCTAATTAGATCTCGATTACTTTTGGATTTACAGTACCTACCCCTCCTTTGATTCATTGGCTAAATCAATCACTAATTTGCTTCGTCTAATATAAACCTCAACAAAAGTACACAGCAATACCAATATCAATAGGACCGCTGGCGCAACGGTAGCGCGTTCGATTCCAGATCGAAAGGTTATCCGTTCGAATCGGGTGTGGTTCAATACCTCCTCTATTGATTACTGTTTTGCAATTTCTGACTCTTCTGTTTGAATTTATTGGATGGGATTGTTGTGGTGTGAATGAGGTTTGCATCTTTTTCTCCGGTGGTGAGGTTTTTTTTTTTTAGGTATTGTTTCGGTTGATTATCGGTTAATCTTGGTTCTTCTCGGTTCATTTTGATGACTGATTATTCATTCTGTCCCCCACAATTTGTATCTTATTTCATACTTATGAACCAGAACAAATGGACTACAAATCAGTTCTGTATGAACATACAATCTTCCCTTTGCAAAATAACACTACAATACTCAAATCTCGATCTGGATATTGTACTTGGTACATTCAAGTGCTTTACCGAATGTTACTTCAACATGCAAATATCCACGAACTCTATACTGTCTTTGAGTAAGCGCAGCCAATCTTGTACGATCTGAATGTCACTCATACCTGGAGTACAAGTAGACTTATATCACATCATGATTTTGACATATCAATCTAGAGGAATTCGTCAGCACTCTGGTTTATCCTATACATTTCTCCTCATTATTTCCTTCTCCAGAAAGTTCTGCATGTGCCGGCAGTTTTTTTAAATCTGCCCGGTAAATCACAAAGCAGTGCAAAGTCCGTTCTATGCTTGCGCAATCAATTTTTGGGCAATTTTCGCAATTTTCCATTCTTCGGTATTCCACTTGCTAAGTACATTCCATCGCACTTATACTCATGCCGCCAGAAAGTCCACAACTCAGGAAGTTAAAACTAGGCTATTCCTGTTGTAGTTTACCACCGTATGGTACATGTATGTGCTGGTTTACCCGAAGTTGCCGACTTTCTGGCGGCATGAGTACCACTCTATGGGCAAGCACCAAGAAAATATACCTAGTACCTTCCCATTGAGACCGTTTTCTCCGATGATGGAATGAATTCCTGGGGAAGGAAGCTCCAATCAACGTTCTTGCATTACTAGTCAAAGGTTAAGAATTGTATAAGTCCACCATCTCCACTATATCGCCAAGATGGCACTTCTGTAGGACGAGCATAGATAACTTCAATAAGACATGGTTTCGGCAGCCATATCAGAGAATTCTAGATGGATTCAAGCCTGTTGGTAGCAACACATATATCTTCATAACCAATCCAAATTAATTTGACGCGTGTACCTTTTCTTTTGGAATGATATCCAGTCTCGTTCAGATCAACGACCTATTCGATTTCGTCGACATTGTTGACGGGAAAAGTATTTTCCATTTGCATGAAGTGGATATGTCTTGCTTGGGAAGATCATGAAGCCTTGGCGCTGTCGGCATCAAGATATCACTTGATTTTGGACCCGCCAGCAGTTGGAAGACGTGACATAAGAAATCCTCTGCTGTAGATCTATCTATGCGAGCTTGTGTGTATATAAAAAAGAATATCTTCCTATAGAAATAGAAGAATATACAAACTCATCACCTTCTTTACTTCTGAGCATTATATCCACCATGCATTTTACACGTCTCGCAATCCCCACGTTGGCCTCCTTGGTTGTTGTGCAAGCACATCCAGGGCACGACATCAATCAAGAAATTGCCGATATTGCAAAGGCTCATGAGTTTCACAAGAGAGATATCAGTAGCTGCTACTCAAAGCTCAAGGCTCGAGGTCATCATCAACGTATCACTGATAGAAGACACGAGATCATCAAGAAGGAGAGAGAGAAGCGCGGTCTCCCTACTGGTATTCCTCCATCCACTCACCATCTAATGACTTAAATTAATCCAAATAGATGCATCCATCATCAAACTCCGTGACCTCCCCGAGCTCGAGGTTCGCGATGCTCCCACCGTCATGAACACCAGCCATTTCTCGACAACCACATATTCCCCAGATGATGCCTTCTCCACCGTCTTCACCGGAAACAACTCTTGCATCCTCGTTCCCGAAGTCACCCAAGGTCCTTTCTACGTCTCTGGCGAATACATCCGCGCCGACGTCCGCGAAACCGCCATTCAAACCGGCATCGATCTCATCATCGATATCCAAGTCATCGACACCTCCACCTGCGAGCCAGTCCCCGATGTCTATGTTGATTTCTGGTATGCCAATAGTACTGGTATGTACAGTGGTACTACAGAAGCTTCGAATCCCAGCAACATTAACGCTACATTTGCGAGAGGTCTTCAACCAACAGGTGCAGAGGGTGCTACGCAGTTTACGGCATTTTATCCGGGGCATTATCAGGGAAGGAGTCAGCATATTCATGTTGCTACTCATGTTGATGGAACGTAAGTTTTCCCCATTTCTTTTTTGTTATTCAATATAATACTAATCCTTCCTTATCCAGTGCTTTCCCCAATGGAACTTTCCAAGGCTCAACTATCTCCCATATCGGTCAAATCTTCTTCGATACTTCTCTCTCCAATCAAATCGAAGCACTGACACCCTACTCTACCAACCCCAACCCGGGCTCAACCACCAATGCCAATGATGGAATCTTCCGTAAGCATGCCCCACTCCAAGATTCCAACCCCCCATTTTCCCATCCCATCTTCTCCATCACCATCACCATCATCCCCCTAACTTCCTCCTCCAAAACCACTAACCCTCCCCCGCTCCATCTCTAGTCCAAGAAGCCGCCCTCGGCGATCCCGTCATGGAATATTCTCTCCTAGGCTCCTCCCTCTCCGACGGCCTCTTCGGCTGGATCGCCTTCGGTATCGATCCTACACGCGCTGGTTCCATTAAGGCAACTGCTGCACTTACTTCGGATGGCGGTGTGCCTATTCCTGGAGGGTGGAGGTTGCCGGTGTCCAACGGGTCCTAGACCGACGGCTACTAGTACTGCTACTGCTGCATTGACTTGATGTGGTTGGTAGTGTTGGGTTGAATCGGTGATTGCTTTTGATTGGGTGATTAAGTGGTGGATCTGGTGTGTGGTGAAGGGGGTAGTTGGGGTTTCGTTGATGGTGATGTGCTGCTGCTTGTTGCTGCTTTTTTACATTCATTTTTACATACAAGTGTGTAGTGGGTTGTGGGATTGGACCTGCTAAAGAACATTCTCAATCCAATTACCTTCTGAATAGAGGTGGGTGGTATGAGGGAGTTTGTATAAGGATATGTATGAGGAAAATTTATATGTATATGGAAGCTATCGAGAATCGAGATACTCTATTGTACCATATTCATTTTGAAAACTCCTGGTTTAAAGTGAAAGCGCATATTACGCGGCTATACTTATCTTATCTTATACCGGTATTCCTAAGTTCCATTGCACCGCTGGGCTGAGGAGGTCTCTCATCTTCTTATGCGTGTAATATGTATGACAGGCAACTGTGTCACAGTGATATGACTCATATGAGAGTCGGGTACATACAATACAATACTACTCGAGTACACTACAAAATAACGAAGGAATACAAGACTTGGAGTTTTTGTATAATATGGTTGGTTTGTTCTGGATTAGATATATGATATATCGAAGTATGACTTCCCTGACGAGACGAGACGAGATGAAATGTTAGAGTGGAAGTTGAAGTGGGAGTTGAAGTGGGAGTGGGAGTTGAAGTTGAAGTTGGATATTACAAGTCGTATTGGGAGGGAGCTCTCTCATTAGAAGAAGGCGGAATCAAGGATTGGAATAGGTCAGGTTGAAAGAAAGAGAATACAGCATTCTATGATTTTGATAATAATTATATATGTTTTTAATATAAAAACGAAATTTAAGAGAAATTTTAATAAAAAGCCTGAGAATATAAAAAGTATTTTATATTATTTATTTAAAATTAGAAAATAATTGATTATTCTTTTATTAAAACTCTAAAACTACTTTATAAATAATATTTGAATAAATATATTAATTAATATAAAAAAATCTTATTCATTTTGATATAATAATTAATCTCTAAATTAGTTTATTAAAATTTATTTCTTCGAATATTGAAATATTTCAAAAATATTTCAAATCAACTATTATTATAAGAAAAAGTAAAGATAAAGATAAAGATAATAAAAGAATTGTAATTATTTTTAAAAAAACTTTTGAAATATGATTTTTTTACTAGTAATTTCTTGTATTTTCAATTTATAAGTTATTTTTAGAATAAAGATAATTTGAAATTTGAATATAAAATCGAAATAAATATTAAAAATATTCCCTTCAATTCATACACATCAGTTGTTATTACTCTTTCGTATCAACTCCTCGAATCAAACTCAAAACTAGCCGCATAACACGTATAATTTATCTTCAAACAATGGCATCCCTTCTTAAATGGGCAAAAACCGCTGTCCGAAGAGCACCATTGGAGATGTTTTTGTGTCAAAATACCAGGTCCTCGGAAAGCTTGGGTATGGTGTGTCATCTACCGTTTGGCTGGCTCGTGGTCTCCAGTAAGCTTCCCACATGCAAAGAATCAAACGTATATGGAAATTTAACAAATTAGAGCGCATAAGCACGTCGCTCTTAAAATTTATATTCGTGATGGAGACCCACTAGAGGAATTCAAAATCTATCAACAACTAAGCAAAGGCAATCATTCGCATCCTGGCTATTCCCACATCAGAACCGCATTGGAAACTTTCACAATACCCCGCCCTGGTAGCGACGACCACACCTGCCTCGTACAAAAGCCCATGTGGGAAAGTTTTAGAGATCTTAGACATCGGATTCCACGCGGCCTTTTCACCGAGGTACTTCTTAAAGGCGCTCTCAAACAACTATTCCTGGCACTAGACTACCTGCATACAGAGTGTAAACTCGTTCATACAGGTGCGAGGCCCCATTATCTCTTCTATGGCATAATTACTAAAATCTATTTGCAGATACCAAAGCCGACAACATACTTTCCCAAATAGAAGATGAATCTATCCTTGATGCTTTCACTACGGCGGAAATGGAACATCCCTCCCCACGAAAATTGGTCAATGGCGTAACAATATATGCCTCGAGACAGCTGGAAGTTCCAAAATTCTTCGGTGACTCCGTTCTGAGCGATTTCGGTTCAGCAGTGCGAGGTGATCTAAAAAGAAATCACAATGCGGGACCCCAGATTTACAGGGTCAGTATGATCCCGCACTTACATTTCCGTTTATCCAAAAGCCTATATCTTAAAACATGTCGCAATGGCTCTCAGCGCATGAAGCTCCGGAGAGATCATGCTAATTAGTAATTTGTTGATAGGCGTCTGAAGTCATGGTAAAAGCCGCCTGGAGCTATCCTGTCGATATATGGAATGTAGGTGTTATGATATGGGATTTATTTGAAGGCAAGCACATGTTTCATGGCGACGATCCTGACGGGAAAGGTTACTCTACTCGCGCGCATCTAGCAGAGGCTATTGGGATGCTAGGTCCTCCTCCGCTAGATCTACTTGAGAAGGGAGTACGGGCTTCTGAATTTTTTGATAAAGAAGGTGCGTGCTAGGAGAAACCATGGGCTTGAAACAAAATGCTAATTCTTTGGGAGTATAGGCAAATGGATAGCTGAGTTGCCCATACCGCAAGGCATGGATTTGGAGAAATCCGAGATGCGTCTTGAGGGCAAGAACAAAGAAGCTTTTTTTGCAAATGATGCGTGGGATGCTTCAATGGCGTCCCGAAGACAGAAAAACGGCAAAACAGATGCTTGAGGAGCCCTGGATCAACACAATGATAGAATAAACATCTATACACCAAGGATAAAGGTAAACTTCTCGGTTTTGACACCGACTTAGGGAGGGATTAACATTGCAGCTGTTCCTGCCCAGAACTCCCTCGGAAGAACTTTACATGATCTCCTTAAGCGCGGGACCTATTATTGAGATATCTACATAGCTAAGATCTCGGTTCGACCCGCTTCTCACAACATATATCGGCGATCCATTACTTCATCACGCTATCCATAGTGTTGGATTTCCTCGACACCGAGAGCTGCTAATGTAGCAAGTGTAAGGCTTAAGGCTTAATAATGAAAGGTCTAGGAGGATAGAGATGACCCTCGATTTGAGACAGAACCAGACATGAGGTTTCTGCGGTGGAATTTCATACCATATAAATGATGCAGTTTTGCCTTTTCATTACTTTATTTATCATTCAAAAAGGCGCATTAATGGCAAGGACACTTCTGTTATGGTTCTACTAGTGTCATGGTCCTAGCCCACCAGCCTGTCCTCTTCCATGTATATAAGCAAGAGGTCTCCCCGACCTTCTTTCCTCCTTAGTTCATAGTCTTGAATATAATAAATATGATTCGACCTTGCTTAATTGTATCCCTGATCTTGGAGCAGAATGCGCGATCTGCGATTCAGGGCTTGCAGCCGAGCCCACGATCAGTGGAATCAGGTCGATTATGCGCCAACAACAACGCACAGCACAAGCAAGCAGAATGATGGGCTAAGGCTAAAATAGCACCTACCATATGCAGTACGATTGTTATAGTAAAACATATTGCCAAAGATTATTCAGACGATTCAGACGTCATTACCAGAGCAAGCTCAATATTATCAGCATTCTAGTACCCGAGTATATTCAAACTGACAACTAGATGAGGTAAACAAAACAAGGAAACGGAGAGGTATTGAAAAAAGGGGGGTAGGACTTGATGTCAATTCGCGATGAAGCTTACTAGGAGCTACCGATAACATAGTAGGTGAAACCTTCAAAGATAAAGGGTTACCGGAAGTCAGACATGAGATCACGGGAAGTGCTTTGGGATTCTGCGACCTCTTAGAACCCTTAATTTCCTTGAAACCTTTACCATTGATGTTTTCCTAGTGAGTATTATCGCAATCGAAATTTTAGCTAGATACTGATACGAGTAGAAGTTGAGTAAATAATCTCCTTTGCTTACGGTATTGGCTTTCTTGTAGTGTATCTCAGATTCTCCCAACATACTGACTGACGTACATCTAATTATGATAAGCTGTAGTCAGATATGCGTGATGATCACTTTATAAACCGTTCCGTGGAATAATTTAATGTATATTCAGCTGACGTGAAGTAGATGCGAAACAAGTGAGTGAAGTAAGTGTTGTCGCGGTTGAAAGATATATTCGTGCTTATATAAGCAAAACGTGGGGTAAATTTATCGAGTCGATTTTCAATCTTCATTCTTGACCTCAATATTTCTATAAAGTCTTCTAATTACAATTCTATCAAGTATGGAACCAATGACTATACCCCCTCTCAAAAGCAAACGTCCCCCAAAGCCTAAACCTCAAAATCCCATTGAATCCACCATCCGTTCATTTTTCCACCCACTCCCCTCCACATTATTTTTGGAAATCTCGGCTTCCATCGACTCACTCATTTCCACCTCTCCAAAACGCTGGGTGACATACACACCCATGCTTCTTCTCCCATCCGGATCATTTTCCTCATCACACTGGACTTCTCTCTTTTCTCTTCTTACCACTTCTCAAAAAGAAGACCTCTTTACTCGGATCCTGCATAGTGTATCGAAGAAAGAAGGCAAGAAACTCACGCATCTTGCTATTAATGCCGGGATACCTCTCCATGAAAAAGAAAAGGGAAGAGAAAAAGAAGATGGGAAAGAAGAAGAGAATATACTGAGAAGTCCCAGTGGATTACTCATGTTATATGGAGATTTCGGACCCGATTTCAAGGGAGAAGAACCTACGGAAGAAGATTTCGAAGATGCGTTTTGGGTGAGTACGAAACAGAATGGGATTGAACAGATTTGGGCGCCGAGGTGGACGATGTTCAGTAGAGGAAATGTGAAAGAGAAGGCTAGATTGTTGGGGTTTCATGATGCTGGCCCAACAGCTAGCGCAAATGGAAAGCATATTGGAAAGGAAGAGAGGAGGAATTGGACGGCGGTGGATTTATATGCGGGAATTGGATATTTTGTTTTTAGTTATATTGGGATGGGGGTGGCGAGGGTAGTTGGATGGGAGTTGAATGGATGGAGTGTCGAGGGGTTGAGGAGGGGAGCGGTAGCTAATGGGTGGGGGATTAGGGTTGTGAGGAAGGGGGAGCTAATCGAATATTTCGGGGATGAGAGGATTGTGGTATTCCTAGAGAGTAATGTAGAGGCGGAGCAGAGGTTGCAGAGCATGAAGGGCTTTGGGACGGTAAAACATGTGAATTGTGGATTCTTGCCCACGAGTGAACCTACGTGGAGAAAAGCTATGAATATTTTGGGTGAGGATGGATGGTTACATTTACACGAAAACGTTGGAATAGCAGATGTGGAAAGAAGAAAGGGGGAAATTGAGGAGATGTTACGGATCTGGCTCAAGGAACGGGTTGATGAGAGGATTGTCACGGTTGAGCATGTCGAATTTGTCAAGACTTTTGCTCCCGCTGTTTGGCATTGTGTTTTTGATGTGTATCTTAGTACATAAATGAATGAATGAATTACAAGGTACAATACAAATCCTATAGGTACCTCATACAAGTCTTTTTCTTTTTCTTGTATGAGTATATAAGAAATTATTGCTTCAAAATATATGTATTGAGGTACTGATAAGTGAGATGTATTCAGATCTTGTATTGAGATTCTATATTAAGGTTTAATCCTACTCGAGTAATTAAACACAGCTTCATTTTTTTAATACTAATTGAGTGATTTCAAACCCATTCATTCAAGAACTACTTCAATTATTTCAATATTCTATTCTATTATTTTACAACTCGATGTGATCTCAATATTCTGTTATCCAGTAAGTCAATTTGAATGATTCCAATACTTCAACATTCAGTAAGTTAACTAGAATGATTTCAAATTCAAAATTCAGTAAGACAAAGCCAGATTGAACAGTTTCAATGATTGAATAATAAACGAAAGTCAATAAGAAGGATCAATCATTTATATAAACGATTAAGGGTTAGCGAGGACAAGGATGCGATGATGAGATTTAAATTATAGAATATGAGGTATAGAATCCATCATAAGGGAAGAGGCAAGGGAAGGAGGAGGAGAGAGGTCCGGGAGGCCCAAGAAGCCTGGAGAAAGGGAGGGGGTGGTCATCGATACTTACTCTCGTGGCGTCGTCTCCGAGATGAACCACACAGTAGGTATCCCCAATAAATGCGACGCACACAATCTCTCTATCCATCATATCATCGTTCGAGAGAGACAGGAACCAGAGCCTTCGATCAGCCTTAAGAGCTCTATACCATATTTGGTACAACTGCGACACAATGTACATCTCTCGAGAACGAGATCATAAGCGTACATTCGGATGGTATTTACAAAAAGGTTACAAAAAATAGCAAACAAGCATTTAGATTACCTTGTTAATATCCAGCAATTGGACCAGTGCCCGAATAATAACAATAACAATATAATACTAATAATAATAATAATAACATTTAATGATGAGACTTATCATCTCAATGACAAAATAGTTGGGTAAAGAGAAAGAGTGACTAATTAACATGACTTGAAGGCTAATAAACGAGCAAGCTTAAAGGAATTGAGAAGCCCATGGGGTTCTGTAAATGATGCATATCGAGACTTAAATATATAAACATCAAATCTATACTCAATCATTGCTTAACCTTTATGAATTTATCAGGGATGTTCTGCTCAACCTATACTCAATCATTGCTTATCCTTTCTGAATTTATTTGGGATGTTCTGCTCAACAATGGACAACTTATCCAGAGCCGCAACTCTATCAGCTTCATCCTCCAAATCATCATGTTTTTTGAAATGTTCAATATCTTCCGGATGTATCAAATCCTCTTCCTTCGTATTCTCATCATGGTATCTGCCTCATATTAGCCACACATTCTCCCAACTCCCCATCACCCTCTCTGTATTCCCCCCAAAAGAGAATCAAACCTACTTCTGCCAATGATGAATCTCATACTCCATCTCGATATCCCAATGATGGCCCGGCCCTAACCCAAAATCCGGCAACAACCCCCCAATCCCCGAATACCTATCCCATTCCTCCTTTTCCACCTGTCCATTATGATTATTATCCATCAACCTCAATATCTCCCTCAACAAATTGTCTTTCTTTTCCTGCGGCACATCCTTTGCAGTCTCATCTTCCATGCCGTAGAATTTGAGGATTTCCGCTTGGTCCCACACGCCATTGTTATCGAAATCATGGAGTGTGAAGAAGGCGCCCGCGTCGAAATTTTCTATATGGTGTTCCTCTATTTGTGCGTTAGTTGAATGTTACAAAACCACTCCGCGGAAGTTAGGAATGGGGGAATCACCGGCCATGTGTCGAGTACCCCAATCCGCCTCTGGGTCCACGGTTAAAGGTTTCTGATGCGTTGCACCGCCATGCGCAACAACTAATCCCATACAAGCCAAAAGTCCGCCGATCCTACCCAGTCCCATAGTCATTATTGTAGTTCGTAAATGTGGTTGAGATGAAAAATGTCTTTCGTCGCAAGAAGTAGATGTTGTACATATAGCAATTCAATGGGAATCGCATCCTTGAGACGAGACGCACTAGAATTCAGGGGTAGCTCCGGGGACCGACGTCAGCGCAGGGATCAGACATGGGGTCGGCTCAAGGGCTAGAAGACTTTATTTTTGTAGCTGCCGTATCAAATAGGGATGGCCACAAACAAACGTTTTATTTACATGTCGTTCTCACAACTTTGTGTTTGCAATATCTACAGTTTCTTTTAACAACAAACTCAACTGTCGTAATCATCACAGCACTTGAAAAATGAACCAATCCACCTCCATCGCTCTCTCCAACCTCGTCCCCCGACATTCTGGCGCCCTTCCCCCCGAGCTCCTCGACCTAACCAGTTCCCTTATTGCCCAATCGCGCGTGAAATGTTCGTTGAACCAAGAACAGGAAATTGGCAGGACTTATGCTTGTGCCAATCTTGCTTGTGAACGGTTTGTTTCCCTTTTCTTCTTAATAGTTACGTTATTTACTGTTTACTAATTTATATGTACCCAGTCTCAAAACAATATTGAATCTTCCCAAAATCGAACCTCGACCTCCAGTTCCCCCGAGAGTTTATAGGAAATTATATGCATATATTGAGGATTCGCTGGCTACTGTGACGCCAAGGAAACGGTCGAGAATTGAGGATAATGGAGATGGAAATGGGAATGGGAATGGACATGCGACGCCGAGTAGAAAATCCTCATTAGCACAAACCCCCAAGAGAAACACACCAGGCCGAAACGACACCCCCATAAAAACCATTCTTCCTCTTCCACAGCGCAGCACGCCCTCTAAAACCAAAAGCCTTGCGAGTTTCCGCACCCCCAAAAAAGGATTGAGGTACGAGAAAAGAGATGAGAGGAAAATACCGCGTTGGATAGGTGTGGTAGGCAGAGAATTGTGCGGAAAACTTGGCATGAAGGAGGCGACGCCGCATGTGTTGGCGGGGGTAGAGAGTTTGATTTTTTGGGAGGGAGAGGAGGAGAGGAGGGGTGAGGAATGTATGGGGAGGTGGCCGGCGATGATGATGGCGGTTTGGAGTATTGTTTGGGGAAAATTGTGGAGGGAGGGGAGGCGCTTAGTGATGAGGATTTTAAGGGAAATAGAGTGAGGGCGCTGGGGGTGTTGAAGGAGGCGAGGAGGGATGAGGAAGTAGAGAGGAAGGTTGGAGATGGGGGATGGGAGGGCTGGGATTTACCCGAGGATGAGGATGAGGATACGGACCAAGAAAATGAGGATGATGGGGAGGGGAAGAGGAGTAATGAGGACGATGTTAATAATTGGGTTGCGGAGATAGTTGGGAAGGGGTGTTTAGAGATGGAATGGTATCAAAATATCATCGGAGCAGACGATTCAGTCGATGAAGACGATGAAGACGAAGATCAAGAAAGAGAAGAGGCATTAGATGAGGGAGAAAGGGCTCTAGTTCGAGAGCACGAAATGAGATACGGACTCGGCACAATGCGACAGAAGAAAGTGGATTATCTATCAGAGGAGAAGAAAGCTGCATACAAGGTGTGGAAAAAGACTATACTGGCTAAGATTACGAGGCTACAGAAAGAAGCAGCGAGGAATGGAGATGTGGTGATAGATGTATAGCGAAGGAAGGTACATTTTTAGTCTAATTGTCGCTTATAGAAACGTAAGACTACGAGATGAGAAAACCTCCAAAAGCGAAGGTGTTGATGATTTGAGAATGTTATGATACCCCTCCCTACTGAAGTTTCGATACTGCTATGTTGTGTTGTGTTGTATCTGATGTGGTAACTTAATTATTCTATTTGTTGAGATTCTCAAATCTCTTATCTGATGAAATTTTTCGTCGCCCGATGTTTATATTGATACGAGTACAGGATTTGAATATAGTATATTACTACGAGTACTGTACAGTATATGAAATGAATTTGATATATACATATAATATAACTCGAGAATAAACGATGAAACAAATTTACTCAACTAATCCATGATCCAACCCAGACCTGCCATCTCACATCTCATCACTCACACGTCACTCCCTGGATAAATCCTCATCCTCATCTTTTCCCTTCAATCCAGTGGCATTCAATCCAGTGATATACATCATACATCATACATCTATCTGATCTATCTCCATCCTCATCCTCATCCTCACCCTCATCCTATAATTCTTACACCAAAGAAATAAAATAGTTTTTGTTTGTTTGTTCATTGCACTTCTAAGAAATATATGAGAAGTAAATTTGATCTAGATCTCGAGATACTTACTCGTAACCTACAGTATATACTTACAACCTCCAACCCACAACACTACAACCCGACAAAACCAAGTCCTCATTTCCCTTCCCTTCCCTTCCTGCCCTCCATCAATTAGATCAGAAATGAAAAAAGAGACCTTCATTATTTGCTTCTGCTATGAATACCTACCTATCAGGAAGGAGACTTATGGTGTTTTCATCGTCTTCGTTATTTTCTCTTCGCCTGATTCGTATTCTATATTATACATTCATACATTCATACACTAATAAACTAGCCTACGTATAGTAAGTATATGGTATATCTGAGAGTGAAAAAGATGGGTGAGATGAGATGAGATGAGATGAGATGATTTAAAGAATAGGATAAGATGAAATAAGAGAGTGATTCACTTTCTACTCGGAGTATATCCTATATTACAGTATATCCCGAACGATAACGCCTCTACCCAGAAGGGGCCCCCCAGCTATAATATTTGGTCCTCACACTCATATTACTTACTTGCATACAATCATTCGTCTGGCTATCTCAATTCTATTTCATTGTCTTTCATAAAGTTCCTTTTTGTGTGAATGTATAAGTGCTGCTTTTCTAAAGACGCGGCAAGGATGGGTTTGTATATGATATAATATGATGGGATGCTAAGGAAATACGTATAAGTGAAGACTGGATTGTATAGCAAAAGAAAATCTGAAAGATGCCGTATCCACATCGTTATGCCGTATTTCTCTGTGGCTACACTACATGGTGTCGTTGATGTGTGTGTGTGTGTGTGTGTGTGTGTGTGTGAATGTATCAGAGAAGTGAAGTATGAAGTGAAAGAGGTAAGATATGGGTATTGAAGAATATTCTAGGAGTGTAATGAATGATACTTCATTCCTCGATGTATATTTTCTTGTCTTCGCCATAAACTATGGAAGGGCAAGGTTGTCAATCACAATATATTATATCACCTCATCATATCAACAGAGAAGATATAAAACTTGCAAGGTAAGAGAGGGCTGTTGATATTTGGGTGGAAGTAGGATCGGATGAAAGTAGAAAACTACTGTAATGATTTGCATCGCTCTCGCACTTGTTAGCGAGTTTCATAATGCATCTGCGCAAGGCTTGGACTGGAATATAGAGTATTCTAACATATTCCACTGCTCTTACTTGGATATTTGACATTGAATCCCTTATTGCAAGTTGTGAAGTACTTGTAGCATACTTATGCATACATTTCGACTCAAAATACCAACTCATCAATTATACTTCGACAGGTGAATATTTCATACTCGTTTATGTTCTTCAAATGGATATTCTCCAAACGTTCATTGAAATCATTGATCGGACATCAATGTGTATTTGACGCTTGTATTTGACGTCAAATATGAACAAATATGGAGTTTTCCGGGCTGCGGTGGCTTTTTTCGGAATCTATCATGCATTGCATTGCCGTTAATTCCTTACTTAGCGTCTTCAAAACGACATGCGGCGCACATCAAGATTCAAGGTTTCTTGGCAGAAGCGTGATAAGAGGAAATCGAGATGTTGAATATCATTGCCAAAAGAGATGTACTCGAGTACAGGACGGAAAGCTGCAAAGTCAAAAGTCGTACGAGATTTTTTATGCAGGCCTGGTAGTTCGAAGATTTCATCTGTTCGCTAGATTCTGGTTGCTGAGCGGAGAATTTAGGACTCCGGTGTTGATGAGCAATGCGAGAATGTTCCATAGGCCGTCTGATAATGGTCGAGTCTAGAGCAAGAGAGCAGATAGATGAATGAGGCTGAATATGTCTGCTGGATTTTGACACTTTGAGACTTCGAGTCGAGCGTAAGGCTGTCGTGATTCGCAAATGGAGTTGGTCATACGGTATCAATACCCGATCTTAATACCTTAACCCATAGTAGATCTTAATATCAAGAAAAGCTAGTTCTACTGTACTGGCGATACGGTATTAGATAAGAATACTCGTATCATGGGTTCATTTCCTGTACGTTTGGATAGAAGTTTGGGTCCGTGCTATTGATACTGCACGATACCGAACGAACCATGTAAGTTGGATCGAAGCTCGGCGAAGATAATATAGTGATGAGGTAAAATGAGGTAAAGTGATGATGAAGTGCAATGAAGAGTGGTATCAACTTGTCAAGTGACTGAAAGGTTATGTTGTACATACGAAGAGAATGTCATGCCGGTATTGTAATGTCTCTCTTCAACTGAGTACATTGTATTCGAGTATACATCAATCTCAGGTTACTGAGACTTGAGAATGATGCATCTACCATGCGTGATTTCATTCAACTCGTATTTGAACTTGGATATGTTCTCTGGTTGACCAGGAGAAGTCCTCGACTTTTGTGCCGGAGATTCCGTTGGTAAATGAGGTCTCTTATTTCCAGATACTTTGAAGCTACCGCAGTAAGAAGGTTATTCCCAGCATGGTATTGTCAACCATAGACGATTGGTTCTCTCCAACACCTTGGAATATCTAGGCGGTTACAGTAGCAAAACTAATTGGAGAAATTTCACATATAATATGCAGGTCGTAAGGCATGCACGATCAAAGTTTCCGATGCATGCAGTTGTAGTGGATGAGGATGAGGATGGAGGATGACCGATGCAAAAGATGGATAAAGTATCTCTCCATTTGATGACATGACACCCAAAGTTTCGAGGAAGAGAATAGGCCGATCGTGCGATGATCTCTACAAGCAGACATGAATTGGTTTCGTCGACTCTTTTGTGTATCGGGCTAATGAGACTTTGTACTTCGGATGCGAAGGTATACGTCCGCCTCCACGTGTGTCGGCGTCTCTTAGAGATCCGATTCGAACCCTCCTAGGCCGAAAGAGACAATGTAATCTCCGTGAGGCGTTAAAAGTGTACTGAGCCCGAAGTCTTCGCAAAACAGAAAACTAAGACCAGACCAAAGCATATGGACGTAATTTTCGAGTTCTTCCAATACCGGTAGGTTAAACACATCCATTTCCATTTATCCAAGCGACCGAGAACCTTATCTTTTCGCAAACCTTGGTGGATCTTGCCTGGACAAAATCATTGTAAAATCTGGGTAAACCTTCCTTTTCCCCTTGTGTCAACCAATAATAAATCGTGGATGATATTTGCATAGGTATGTGCATTGCCCGCCCATTGGGAATCACATCAAACGGCGTGCCGCTTCCTTTGATATTCCTTCGTAGCATCGTAGTCGCTATCTTCATCCTTCACTCCCCTATCTATCATCAATCGGCGTTTCGAGCGTTTCGAGGTACAGTAAGTATCGTCTGAACTTTCGATCCCATCTGTCACTCTATCTGTCAAAAGAAAAGTAAAGTCAAAGTCCCGTTCTGAAAATGGAGGACTGATCTAAGTCCTAGTTTATGAATCTCGACAAGGTTGATCCTCATAATGGGTACACTTCGTTTGCACGATTGGATGAAAAGATCAAAAGGGAATCCAAGTCCCAGTCCATTTAAGTTAAACCCAACCCCTTTCATGTTATACCTTGCCGCCTCGTGAGCTCTCTCGGTGGGATCTGGGGGGTTTCACATATATTTCGAATTGCTGATATTCTCTTCTTAAGATTATCAGAGAGCATCTGGGTGTACTCCGCATATACCAGTAGATGTTATATCATACGATGTACTCCAGAGACTGAGATGCAGGTACAGTATATGTATGGATGTATGTATGTAGGTATGCATTAGGTATTAATGTGTAAAAAAGGAGGTGGGGGAGAGAGTGTGGCGGGCAATTGCAAGTACTCCTATACAATTGGATACGTTGTAATTATTGGCTACAGTATATCAATGAGAACAATATCAATACGGAATGGTTAGCCCTCCTGTATCAGTACAATTAGGGTTGAGCGATTTGTAATTATAATATATAATAATCATCAAAAGTGCTATTATGCATAAAATGATATATATCTGGACTGTAAATAATAATCACATGACTAGTAGAGTGGCCTAGCACATGACTAGATCAGATCTAGATTAGATCTGAATGATATCTCCTTATTAGTTCCCGAAAATGTCCATCTGAGTAGCTCTCTAAAAAATGACCCACTTTCATTCATTCACGAAACCTAATAGGTCATTAAAACCTTGGCATAATATTGGCATAATATTGGCATAAGAATTACGATTGCGAGCTTTGACTACGGCCCCTCGGTGCCGGAAAAACAATTCGCCTCGCTGCGCTCTTTGAATCATTTTTCTAGGGCATCTCGGTTTATTATATTATAACTTGATAATCATAAAGACTGAAAGCTATTCTTGAATATTATTACTTCAGATTTTGTTTGATTGGTCGTTATAAGAAATGTACTAAATATTGAAGATATCGATTATGAACTTCCACATGACTTTTCAAAAAAGATGTTCTTGTCGTCCATTGACAGATAGATATAAACCTCACCCCGATTATGTAATTCGCCCCCCTAAGTACAATCTGCATCTGAATGAACAGGAACTAATGAGACAATAATGGATAAGAGTCAGATTCACAAGAGTGACAGAGGTAAAGGGTCCGGGGGCTATAGTAGTAAACCGAGTTACTAAGAGAGTTGTTCAATTGGATTTAGTGGATTTAGTGGATGCCAAAGCTAATAAAGCATTAAAAGCATTGAAAGCTATGACTATTTAGTGATTATAGAGTTGAAAGCCCCTGGACCTAAACCAAATAGAACAAGGGAAGCAGCTAGTAAGTATTGTAGTATATTAGTATAAAAATATATATAATTGGTCCAATTCGCCATAGCCATCTTCATATACAACGTAGACCTAATTCCTAGTTCATAATTGTTTATTCCCTCTCGAGTCTCCACTCTCCACTCTCCAACTCTCCACTCTTCACTTTTCATATCCTTCCTGCACAAGTGCACATATCGGGAACCAACCTTTTAACCACCAATGCAAAACTTTGGAAGGTACACTCACTGTCTGTCTGTCTCTCTCTGACTTAACATCACCTCCAACCGTTGTGTATACCTACCTACCTAATCATTCCTTTGTAACACACATTATTGTCTATCCTTTTAAAACTACATTAATGCTGCAGGGCCCTAAAGCAATTCATTACTTTAATAACCTTTTTGTTACTGTTCGATCGACAACCATACGCGTGTTTATCTACAACATTTCGCTTACCTCTTCGGTTGGTCCGACGTAAAAAAAAGGAAGCATTATTATTATTAGTATCATTATATATCCTGGGCGATAACAGGAGAGAGATATAATATTATTCACTCTTCTTCTGCCAATCTGCGACCGATGAATCTGCGTTGGGGTATAACAATTCCCAAAACCTTCTGATTACTTATCGGAACATATTCAATTTCATCTACAATCAAACCAACATAATATTACACCACGGTCTCGAACACATTTTGTCGCAACGAAGGTTTCCAGTAGAGCCATGGCCAGCTCTCCTCCAGAATCGCCCCAGGTGAGTCTGCCTAGGCCCGCGAGCGCAATTATGAAAGGAGCACCAAGATCGAGTAGTCGGATGAGCATGAGCAGTAAAGCTGGGGGAAGCCGAGCCTCGGATGAAGATGGCAAAACTGCTGTCAAAGTTGGTATGAAAATATCTTGATTTATCTCGCGTGACGTTCACCAAAGCTAATAATATGATTTCCTTTTACAGCTGTGCGAGTTAGGCCACCCCTCCAACCAACCGATCCTGGCTTCGACCTCATCCCACAGAGATTCCAGCGACCTATGTTACAGGTTACTTCGTCCACGAACTTAGCAATCGATTCTCCACAAGGAAAGAAGATATTTGTGTTTGATAGAGTATTTGATGAGAATGTGGATCAGGAAGGAATTTGGGAATATTTGGTAGAGAGCACAAACGCCTTCATTCAAGGATACAATGTCTCTATGCTGGCATATGGACAATCTGGCGCTGGAAAGTCCTTTACGATGGGTACATCCGGTCCAGGAGAGCAAGGAAAATCCGAGATCATGGGTAAGTCCGAGACCAGTCGCACTCAATCTGATATCGATCTGCTGCACAACGTGTTGTAATTCTCAAATGGGAAAGATGCTAATCCATATGCGATTATCTAGGTGTTATTCCACGTGCGGCCATGGCAATATTTGAGAAACTCGGCGGCGGGAAGCCGCAGCAGTCCAATCGGAGCTCCATGACTGGTCTGAGAGCCCCTAAGAGGTATTCCACGGTTCCTGCTGTTGTGTCGACGGAGGACAAAACTTGGACTCTGAAAGCAACGTATGTGGAAATTTACAACGAGCAATTGCGAGATTTGTTAGTTCCCGAACATATACCAGCTCATGAACGTGAGGTGGTCACTATTCGAGAGAACACCAAGGGTCATATTCTTCTTACCGGATTACACCAAGTCGAGATCAACACCGTGGAGGATCTAATGGCGGCACTCAATTTCGGGTCAATGATTCGCCAAACTGATGCAACCGCGATCAACGCCAAATCTTCACGATCTCATGCTGTGTTCAGTTTGAATTTGGTTCAGCGCAAAATCAAAGGAACACAAGGCGCCGAAAAGAGATTTTCCGTTCCACTAGAAGCGATGACTGGCGGAGAAGTGGTCACAATTGACAGCAAATTCCATTTCGTCGATCTAGCTGGCAGTGAGAGATTAAAAAATACCGGTGCACAAGGAGAAAGAGCCAAAGAAGGTATTTCCATCAATGCCGGTTTGGCCAGTTTGGGCAAGGTGATATCGCAATTGTCATCCCGACAGGCCGGATCCCACGTGTCGTACCGAGACTCAAAGCTCACAAGATTGCTCCAGGATTCACTTGGAGGTAACGCGATCACTTACATGATTGCATGTGTTACTCCGGCCGAATTTCACCTTAGCGAAACTCTGAATACAGTTCACTACGCTCAGCGCGCCCGCGCAATTCAAAGTAAGCCTCGAATCCAACAAGTTTCAGACGAGAGCGATAAACAGGCTGTTATCGATCGTTTGAAAGCCGAAGTCGCTTTTCTCCGGGACCAAATTACGAACAGCGAAAGCGGGGGCGATCGTCGTAGCAAGCCTACGAGTGAGAGGCCCGAGCGACAAAATGAACGGGAAGTAGAACTACATAATCAGCTACTGGACACGCAGGAGAATTACACGGCCCTTAGTCAACGACATGCTAAGCTTATATCGGAGTTAGCTAGAGCCCGGGATGAGGAAGTTGCTGATAACCAGGCTCATGAAAATACATTGGTTGACAGTGCCACAGAGAGACTAAAACGCTCAAATTCGTTTGCCGAAGCGGTTGAACAAGTGGTCCTCGAATACGAAAAGACAATTCAAAGTCTTGAACATTCTCTATCCAACACTCGATCATCTTTATCTAACACCGAAACTTTACTTTTGGAAAAGGAAACCAAGTGTGCTTATACTGAGACAGTCAATCAACAACTCCAAGCACGCTTGCAAAAGTTGATTGATCGAGAAGCTAATACCGAACATTATCTACACGACCTAGAAACGAGGCTCGAAGGCCACACTTCAGGTGAAGACAAAAATTCGGCAATTGTAATGGAGCTCCGCAAAGAGATTGCTCGCGTTCGCGAGAATGAAGCCACCGGTGAAGATTACATCTCAACTCTCGAGGAACGTCTAGCCGAGGCCGATCAAGATTCGGAGATGATGCAACGCGAGATCGATCGTTTAGAGCACGTTATTGAACGCCAACGAAGTCTCGGAAAGTTGGATAGTCTGCTTTATGATCTAGACAATATCCGGCACGACGGAAAGAATGGCGATGACAAGAAAGCTATGAACAGCAAACGATCGTCTTCTATTGACATCAGCAGCCGTAGACAAAGCCTTGCAAGCAGGAGAAACCAAAACAATGTCATTCTAGAGACCGAAAACGAGAGTGACGAGAACTTTTCGGTGAGCCCTGCAAATGGCAACCGACCCGAAACTGATGGTCCCGCCGATCGTGGAGAATTGATTGAGCCCGAAACTCCCCTGGAGTCGCTGAGTGAGGAAATTGGTAGCCAGTATTCACCTCAAAGCCCAGCTCAATCGAGATTTGTCGAGGATAAGCTGGAAAATGTCACTCAAGAACTCGTCGACCTAAAGGTCGAGCACGAAGCTACAGTTGGCGAATACGATCTGCTTTCAGTAAAGTATGAGGATGCCCTTCGTACATTAGCCGAACTCCAAGACGCTGTCGATGAAGCCCGCCACCCCGGTGCACGTGATTCTATGCTGTCGGCCAACACGGCAGGGCCAACGTCTTTTTTAGCAGACGCGAGGATGAACGAGCTAAAGGATGGAGGACAATACTCATCCTCGCGATCGCTCTCATCGGAATTGTCCTCAGCTGGGGAATCACCCAGTACCACGGAACAATTTGATGCTGAAGCCGTGACCAAGAAATCGGAGTCAGTAGCAACCTTAGAGGAAGCCCGCGACACCACGAGTACGGCGGAAGTTAAAAGTTTGAGAAAGTTAGGCGCAGAGCAAGAAGAGGCACAAGTCGTGCTTACGGAGAAATATGCTCAATTGGAGGAAGAACACACAGCGGCTCTCGATCTTATGGAGGAGCTCAAGGCGGAGGTATCAAAAGCGAGGTTAAATGCAGAAGCAACATCACCACGCTCAGTCACACCTGTTATACGTCGCAAATCAAGTCAAAACGTCATGATAATTGATCGGGCTCATCGATCATTTGCCTCGTTGAGAAACATTGCGGCCGAGAGTTTCGAGCATAATCCTGACGTTATGGCCAACTTCGAGTTGAACTTGAATACTGCGATGCACGAGTTACATACTCGCTCGGAGCGCATCCAGGAACTTGAGGCAGATGTCACTACGGTCAGAAAGGAATTAGATCTGAAGACAACTATTATCAGTGGGCTTGCAAGAGAACGATCGAGCATGAAGGCATCACCTATGGACATGTCGGTGGTCTCAACTATGCAGGACCAGATTATGAACTCCGAGAATCAGATTAAAATACTCCAAGAACTTCACAATACTCGTGAAAAGGAGCTACTTCAACAAATCGCATATATCCGGACTTCTATCAAGACCAGTCCTACTTTCAATGGTAGCAAAGAGAATAATGAAGCTAGCGAAGCGGACAATAATCACGAACGCAGCAATGCAGAATTGAAGGCAGGAGTCGTTAATTGGGAAGGGAAGCATCAGATTGCATTGACTTCCATGCAAACTTCACAAGATACTCTCGAGACTACGATACTTGAGTTGGAACGACAATTGTCCAGTCTGACAACTAGCGGAAAGCAGAGAACTCGCGAAATTGAGGAACATCAAACTCATGTTTCAAACTTGCAAAGAGAAATTGACGAACACAAAGCGGCAGTTGTCGCAAACACCACACGATTCGCCGAGCTCGAGCAAGCCCATGCATCAACACGCGAACAACTTGAAGAAGCCATCCAGTCGAAGAATATCGTATCCGCGGAGATGGAAGGACATAAGACTCTTGGTACTCGACTAGAAGAGCAAATCGCCGAGCATGAAAATATTGTCAAGACTCACCAAGAAGGGCTAAGTCTCTTGCAAGTGAACCATGCGAAGGAGATTGAAGAAATTCGCTCAAACAGCCAGGCTGATCACGAGGCCCAGCTAAGCGAGTTAAAGTCTAAACATCGGGAAAGCACCGACGCACTTTCAAGAGAGCTTTCTGATTCGCGTGATGATTTGGCAAAGATTGCTACTCAAGTTGCTTTTGCGCTTGGAGTAGATGTCAGCACGGAGAAGCTTCAGGACCGAATTACGGATCTCGTTGCCAACCAGAAGGCACTTTCTCAAGAAGAGACTAGAGCGGGCGAACTCGAGAAATATACAGAGGAGTTGTCCACTATCAATGATACTATCATGAAAGAGCTTGAGACTGTCAAGGCCGAATTAGCTAGTCTCTTGGTCCAAACCGCCGAAGGTTCTAGACTAAAGGATGAAAACGCTACAGTCGCAGATCAATTGGCCGCTTTGAGGAAGGAGCTCCACGACCTCGAAACTAAAAACAAAAAGAATTCGAGATTGGTAGAGGAGCTTGAGGACCAATTGGCTTCGAATTTTGATGAACACCAAGCTGCTAACAATCGTCTGTCTACCCTCCAAACCGAACGCAATGCTCAATTGGACGAAGCCCATATCACCGCGATTCGTGCCCAAACCGAGCTAGAAGCAGTCAAGGAGGAATATGCCACTCTTCAAGTTAGTACCAGATGTAAAAATCTTGATACAATATTATCTGACTAATTAAAATAGGCCAAATTGGAAGACGTTCTGCAATCTGACCCTAACAATAAGCGTTCCAACTCGATGACTTCGCGACTCCACAAGTCTGCATCCGTGACCTCACTTCCTTCACCACCTCCCGCAATTCCGCTACCGCCATTACCTGGAATCGCAGGAACTGCACAAACTGGCCCCGCCCCTTCATCATCGCCAGTTCCGCCGACACCCACACAAAGTAGCTTCAATAGCCGCAACAGCAAAGACATAGCTGCTACTCAAATTCAAGAGGATCAAGAAGCCCGAATCCGCATGATTGAAAAGCACTTATTTGCCGAGAAGCAACTCACATCAACTCTAGAAGAGGCTCTCACGGATCTCGAAAAACAAAGCAACAAAGTTAAAGCCGATTGTGATGCCTGGCGAAAACGTGCCAATGAATTGGAGGCGGAACTCAAAGCCGCCGAAGAGAAGGCCAAGAATGGCAATGCGGAGAAAGAGAATCGTTGGAGCTTAATGCAAGTCGAGGAAGAGAAACGCAAGAGAAAAGAGGCAGAGCTTGCAAGGGCTCATCTCGAAGAACGCATGAATGCCCTTAGTAGCAAGAAAAAGAAGAAGGGCAGTTTGAATTGTTTCTAAATGAGGAATTCGAAGTCCTGTATCAAATTATCTTCAAACTGCATTCTCTTGCGACATTTCTTTTGGCTTTGGCTCTGCTACGATTTACTCATATCTACCTACCTACCTACCTACCTACCTCTACTTCACGAAAATGTAATTTCTCTTCTTGATGATCTCACTTGTCATAATATTCCACCGCAAAACGCGCGAGCATTGGCAGCATCCCGCACAACAAGATTTTCCATCTTGTGACTGCGACACCAAAACGGAGGTTTAAAATCGAGTTTTTGCTTTTTACAATGCTCTATTTCATTTTTCCAGTACTTTAACGTCCCGCGATTTTACGAGATACCACACATTTTCCAACATTATTTACATTTTTCTTTGCGCCGCAGAAGACCATTTTGCTTTTTTGACATTTTTGAATTAGCAAAGGTGTTTTTCAGGGAGCGAAAACGAAAATGTCAATGGACGGCCTTGATGTTTACGTTTCTTTGCTTTGCTTTGCTTTGCTTGTTTGTTTGTTTGTTAGACTAGCGAGGGACATCTTTGCATTTTGCATCTTTCTTATTCGGTTCGGTTCGCAGAAACTAACCCACTTTTATTATGCTCTACAGAGATAGAGATACTTAGTTTTTATTCTTTCATGTGAAATGGTGGGGGTGGGGGTGGAACGGGAGTATTGGGGTGGCTGATATTAGTCGAGTGGGGGAAATGGGAAGACGGAGAGGAGAGCATCTGGTGATAGGCGAGGTTAATGACAAAAGACTAGATGAGATCTAAATCCGATTTGTATGTATGCACAAGCGGCCACCTTGCTGGATTTGAGGTAGCGTGGAAAGGGACGGCAGGAAGGAAGGAAGGAAGCAGGGAAGAAAGTTTCAATTGGCTAGATGACGGTAGGGGAGATGAAGACGAAATAACGGAGTAAAAATGATGGTGGAAAGATCAAGAACCAATAGAATGATGATTCCTTTAGACGCGGTGTTTGTGAGCTACATGCTGCGTTGGATGCTTCTCGTGAGGTACGTATGTATAAGCCATTGATTATTTCTGTCACCTTGCCTAAATCCGAGTTGGAGTACCTCAAGCACTTGGGAAATTCCACCCATTCTACATATTCTACACAATTGAAAGATTCACCCGTCTCGGCCTTTTGAGTATCAACAACTTTGTACGTCCCCTCGTTGAAACAACCCGTCTCAGACGTAGTCTCTTCGGAATCCACGGATACCCGCGCTTCCGATGTATTCAAGAAAAGAACCGTTCAAATGCAACATTACTTTGATAGCAGTGACTAGTGATATGGTTCTCATGAAAAGAAGAGAGGTGCAGCAATCTGCCCCGCCATGTTCTGCCATGAACACGCCACTTTTCCCACCATGTGCCTCGTGCCCCATTGAGGCGAATATCGCGCCGTTTGCCGGACTAAAGGTTGGTTCGTTCTCTGGATGACCATCTATTCAGTGGTTCTTGTTGCTTTGGAGGCGTTGTTGTGACGAAGACCGAAGTGGTGTATGGGATGACTGGCTTTGTTGTGCGTTGGGGATTGATGGGATATCCTTGAGTGCTCCGTTTTATGCATATAAGGTATTCAATAAAGACACGTTGTCACTGGCATGCCGTACCTGTCATTCGTTAGCACGCACTGGACCGTGATGTGGGAGTGGGTTCAAGGGCTAGCATGCCGGTGTCTGATATTGCTGGGTTGTACATGGATGGGATTGTTGCGCCCCGCGAAGGCAAGACAAATAGGATGAGAAACCGAATGACGGATAATTTGTTGACACCCCAAGCCGAGAACTGATTACAGAGCACATGATTGGAAATAATGACTGGGTGCTTGCAATTCTCCGCATGTTCGCTGAAATAGACCCCATTCTGCACCATGCCATTGGATGAAATGCGCCGGAGCTTTCTCCGGCAGGGTTCTACCAATGATTATTTTTATTCTTCACCGGCTCGAGCCCTTTCGACTCGTTATCGAGAACTTGCGACGAATGTCTCCCGAATATGGATCTTGAGCCGGTACTCAACAGACTTGAGATACAATGCTATCTTCAACGTTTCAAGGACGCTGGGTTTGATACTTGGGATGCTTTGAAGGATATTACTGAAACTGACATGTGAGCAATCTGGGGTAAGAAGATAGAGGATAAGAGGTACTAATAACTGTAGGGAAGAGCTCGGCATGAAGCTTGGCCATAGAAGAGTTCGTGACCACAATAACGAGACTTGGGTGTGGTATGTAAAATAATGCAGACTGACTCTTATGATAGAAGCTCCAACGAGAAATTGCGACTTCGCGAGGGTGGCCGCCGAATGCTCCATTAGAAGCGGCCCTCGTCTGCTGTTGTGGTAGCCTCAAAAAAGGAGAGCAGAAGGTAACAATAATGCGCAATGAAAACCTGAACAACAAAGAACCAGAAAGAGAAGCAGATAGATAGATATTGGGTATTCTCCTTCCAAGAAAAGAACTTTGTCTGACGCCTTGCGCGCAAGCAGCAAGAGATAGAGACACAATCTTTCGTTTTTAGCAATAGGTATTTTGCTGATACCAATGGTATAGGCCAATTTTTACTCTGTTCTTCTTCATTCTGCCACCGAAGCTTGGCTGACAAGATGAAAATCTAGGTATACCGTCTCGACCTCGACAATAAACTATGCGTGGGCGGACAGATAAAAGCGAGACAAGATCGTACATATGATTTCGGGAAGTGTTGGGGAAGTGTCGAATGAAACAAGTCTTCTCGCCATTCCACAAGTGACTTTGTGACTAGCCATGACACTTGCATTTCAAAAAAGGATTTCTTGTGGTGCTCGAGCGTGGATGACTTCCCAGGTTTACTCTTACCAACAAGCCTTGTTGAAAGTAGGATGTTGCTATAATATACAATCAATGTATGGAATTGAGAAGAATGTTGAAGTGACATTGGAAGTAGAAAGGTTTGGGAAGTTTCACCTTGAGGAAGGAGCTCTTCATCAATGTTCTTCGTTCCCCGCTTTCATTGCTTCCCCCTTTGTCAAACGATGCAGCTGTACTCAACGAGACAGACTGCAGTTGCCAGTTTTCAAATCATGATATGATATGATACGATACCTGCTCAAGTAAAGTATATTACCATTCAAGAAGTCGTTCATTCCTTCATTCTACTGTCAGTGTATCGTCGATTCACATAGTCCCAAATCATGTCCTCGCAATCTGTACTCGCAATCAATCTCTTCATTCAACGATTGCCAAATCCAGAACCCACCATCTTGTCATTCCTTCCTTCCTCCCTTCCTTCCTTCCTCCCTTCCTTCCTTCTCCGAATTGATCGACTTCGCTCAATCCCACATATCCATTTCCAATCGACCATTTCTATGAATCTCTCATGCACCCACCCTATCTAGAACCTCTCATCTGCACGCAACATGGAACTCTCACCTTCGTCTTCGACTTCGAAAGCAAGATAGCGTGTCCCATTCCATAGCAAGAATTAGAGTAAGATATCAATCAGATCCTCAGATACTGTATAAAAACTTTACCTACCTAGTCTAGTATGTTCGCTCTACCATCACAAAGGAGTATAAGTATGAGTATGAGTATGTGTGAGTATGAGTATGTGTGAGTATGAGTATGAGGATGAGTCTGCGTACTAGGCATGTATACCCAATAACCACACATAAGAAACCAAATCCAGTCAATGAATCAACAACTATCTATAGAGAAGAGAAGAGAAGCAAACCACCATGAGTAAAAATGTGCAATCAAGAGGGACGATATAAATATACGCAATCAATCAATCAATCAATCAATCAATCAATCAATCAATCGTCATTAATGATCATGCAAGAAAGACGGAGCGACCTCCGGGCCCGCGAGGATATAATCGCCAAGATTTTCCTAATTTGACTGGATCAAGTACCGAGTAGTAGATACACAGATGGAAATGTATTGATATCTGTGTATGAAATACTCGTAAGGGATAAGTTATATATTAAATCATATAACACATTTAAAAGAAACATCAGCTCCTCTTTACTCGTATCGTAGTATTACCTAGTTATTATCGGGAAATAGGTCGGTTCGAGTTTTTTACTCAGTACTCGGGATATAGGAGATGAACTAATTATCGAGGTGCCGAAAATAGTTTTGTCTATGCATTGTGCGAATTCCGATTCCGACCTGGTATTTTTTTCTCCTACCATAAGACTAGACTGACTGGCTTTGACTGTATATTTTTATAATTACAATTAAGTATCGTGCGTAGAGCAGATGTTTTTGTACCGCAATGTTCCTGGAGTGCGGATTTATGAGACGAGACAAGTAGGTAGGTATTGTGGATCAAGTAGCCAAAGAAATAACGGCAATAGTACTCATATGATGTGATGAGAGCGAGGATGTATGTCTTGTTGAATTATAGTCTATTCTCTCTCAATATGCTTATGCCAATAAATACAAACGTCGCAGCAAGGTATGGAAGAAAGCAGTTGTCAATCCCACCATCGACGATCACGCAGTATCGTATCTCCTACTGCCGTGATACTGCCGTGACACTACCATTCCAACTCTCCTCACGCAGTCCACGTTGGCGCAACCCTCTTCATATACTTCATGAACTTCCACAACCCAACCGCATGCTCCGTCGTCCCCTCTGGATCCACGACTTTCTCCGGAAATGCTATCCCAGCACCATACAGCCCCCTAATCGTCTTCCCGTCAGCATCCACAAATCCCGACGTCTCATGATCATAGGTAAGCTCCAATGCTGTCTCATCCCTCTTGATCACTGGAAGCTTATTTCTGGTGAAACCAATAGCCTGCACCATAAGATGGCATTCCGGTAAATGTTTCTCGAGGTCTTCCTTCTCCATGTCTGGCGATGTCTTCACTTTCTCGAGGTATTTGGAAACGTCAGAGGTGGGTAATGTATCGGCCTCGAGATTCTCCTTTGCCCATATGGCGACTTCACCCTTGAGGCCCGTGTTGTCGCGCTTGATCCATCCATCGCGCTCCTCAGCATATCGAAGTTCATGACGAGTGAGCCATTTGATGCGGATGTTTTTAAATTGACCACTAGGAAGAGTTGTGAGGTTGTAGAGGTTTCTTAGTACGAGAATTGCACTGTGCGATGCACCCATGACGCCAATAGTAATGTTTTCGTTTGGATTTGACAATTTATCGATTCGACGACGCAATTGTGATGCTAATACCTTGGGTTTCAAACAGGTATCAAGAGTAAGAAAAATCCTCCCCGCCTTAGCCTTGAATATCTTACGTGGAAGTTCATCAACTGAGGGGTGAGATCCGGTACACAAGAAGAGGAGATCAGAGGATGCTGAAATAGCTGGAAACTCATATGCGCCGACTTTGACATTCCAGTGATTGGCCTATTGAGCGTTAGCTTTCAGCAAATCAAACGAGGCACCGAGCTTACTTCTGACCAAGAAGCACTTTGCACATCGCCGCTGAACTTCATTACACCCTTGTCGGATCCAAGACCGCCCCCTAACATTACCGTTAGATTAGCAGCTTCAGAAATATTGCAAGGCTTTTCTTGATCAAGTTCTTTCAAGATGCTATAATGATTAGGAGCAGCAGCTTTCTTTGTGATTTGTTGGAAAGGTTCTAAAGCATCTGCAAACATAGAGAAGAACTTGACTTTCGTATTCCTGTGATGAGTATAAGCATTAGATTCACACGATAAAACAGAACCACTGAAAGTAAGGACAAAACTCACGATGGCACTGCCCGATAAGCCTCATGTAATCTACCGCCTCCAAAGGCTCCAGGATGGCCAAGTCCAATCCATAAAATTGGACCTTTTTTCTGTTCTAAAAGATTTCCCACGACCGCGAGTCCAGCTGGTCCATCGCCAACGACCACAGCGCCGAATCTCTCTTTCTTCTCAGTATCTTTCTTCTCAGTATCTTTCTTCTCAGTATCAGTACTGTAAGACCTCTGCAACATGTGATGAAATAGAGGCGTTTGCAATTCCCCCATTTTGATGCTCCGTCTTCCACTTTTCAAGACATGAAAAAGAGTGCGAGTTGATACTGTCCTCCCAGCCGCAATGGGCGGGAAAGAACCCTTTAACAACAGCATATTTGAGTGCGGTATACGTATGTAGAAGGAGGTCCCCGAAAACAGACTAAACTTTCAGGCACGGTATCAAATATCAATGAATACTACCCCAATACAAACGATAACACGGGTATGTCCTGACTTTGCCCGCCTTTTCAATGAAACCTGGAAATCCAATCGTCTGAAGTGCACCAAGCTGATATGGGTGACGAGTGACGGGTGACCTAGGGATATGTTTCGTACCTCGCAAACCTCGGCGATGTAAAGTTCGCTGGTCCTGCAGCTCCGGGGACTGTCTGTTGAGTTTATCTCCTAGAGAGATCAAGAGAATGAATGGTATTGCTTCCACTCAGGGGTGAGTGATAAAAAAGCGAGCGGTATTGACCAACACACGCGTTTATATTGAGTTGGTGGGGCAAAATGAGATTTTTTAGGAGTTTGAGATCGGATAATGCAATTTGTTATTTGGTTCTTACGAATTGATGATTTGAAAACAATACAAAAATGAGTGATGTAAAGAGAGAGAATCTCTAGGTATGTATAGCACATATTGAGATTTGTAATTTGGAAATCGAGGTTCGTGGCATCTAAGAAAAAATTCATTCGCCTCAGCTAATTTCAGCCAATCATATATTAGTAGACCCCTTAGTTTTCAACTGTGCATACCGGTATATACACCGATATCCTTGCTGCGGGTTTCTACTCTACAGAGTGGGATGTTATTAATCATCCTCATCTAGTCGGCTGCCGTGGACTCGACTTCGTCTGTGACTTAACTACCAAATATATAGCCCAAGATATCGACGATATCAGGGTAAGAGCGAACGGAGGCAATGAAATATTCTCCAACATTTTGTTGACTGTTTCGTTCTGGCCCGCACACCAGTATGCAATGTCCAAAAGAACTATGCTAATAGTCATCAAGAATAAAGAGAGTTGCAGAGCACTCTTCCTTGGTGTATTCGCCATCCCATCAATCAACCCATCAATTCTCTCGGCCATTTTGACATCAGAAAATTCGGTCTTGACCCTTTCCACACCGGCCATTCCCATCTTCTTAATCTGTTCATCTGTCATTTTGTTCAGAACTCTATCCATAACAGCCGTCCATCGCTCGACATCATCGGGTGGACAGAGCCAGCCCGTCTTCCCTTCTACTATTGTCTCCAGAGGTCCTCCTGTGTTTGCAGCCAAGACTGGTACCCCAGCTAACATTGCTTCCAGAGGCACAATGCCAAAATGCTCGTTAGATGGGGTATATATTAAAAGTCGTGCTGAATTAAGTAGCATTTCCTTCAACGTGTTTGGAACCGATAACAAGAACAGAACATCCACATCATCAGGGACGTTCAAAGCTGTAACAATCGTCTTTGTTGTAGCCGTCTTCAATCCGAGCCCGCTGGCCAATTTGACGAGCTCCTTATGATACACGACGTTCTCCATAATTCGGTTATCATATCCACCTGTCAGTCATGTTAGCTTGCTTTGCATAACGGGGAAAATATGCACTACCTGCAAGTACCAATCTCACTCCTTGTCTTCCATGCTTGCCCAATCCCGCATATGCCTTTATTGCAAGACCAATATTCTTCTTCTTTTCAAACCGATTGATACTCAACAAGATGTTTCTATCCTGCCAAACTGGAACTGCATCATCCTTGGTCTCAGAGTTCTTCGGATTCACATCCACACAAGGATGTATGATCTGTAAATCTTTCTCCCTAGCCAAGTCCGGAAATACCTGTCCCACCATACTCTTTGTAAATCCAGAATTGACCGCGATCGATTCCGCAAAGCTCATACTCCATTGTTCCAAGAAATCAAAAGGTATTCTGTACGCGCGTTTCAACCAATGAGTCCTTCCCTGGGCGAGTAAGAGATCGGGGAAATGGCAGTAAAAGAATGTTCGAGTATTGGGATAGAAGTATCGTAACCATGGTAGACCAGCACTGAGCTGATCTACAAAGAAAGCATCGGGCTTCAGGTCGCTCAGCTCGGAGGTGAAGTAAGCCCATACGATAAGATGCAATTGTCGGAGAATGGCGCAAATGATGGAGAATCGAGAGAGGATTGAGGATGGGAAAAGCCAGTTCCCCCGTACTCGCACATCAAGTGTACCTATCCGCAATAAGCATTTGTAATCATAGTAAGACTTCCATCTTCCAGCTAACCATCTCGAGCTTCATCAAAGCAATGTTTAGGATCGCAATAGCTGGTAAATATAACGATTTTGTGTCCTCGATTCTGTAATCCCACAGCGGCATCTATGACAAGTCGTTCGGCACCACCAATGCCTAAATCAGGATGGAAGAACACAATGCTCTTCTGCTTCCCTGCTGTAGCCATCACAACGTCGCGGAAATTTGTATGTTTTGCGTTTGCTCATCGAAGTGACAGATAGACATATCTCAAGCTGTTTGACAATAAGGTGGGTAGGCTTACAGGGATGAATGTGGCAAGGGTATTCAGGTCTTCAGCCTTGCGCTAATATTATGGAGCTTTCACCTCCTTCACATGTTCCCTCCTCTACATGTTAGAGAGAGAGAGATGGTAGTATTGTCCGACGACAATGACAATGACAATGTTAGAGTACCAAATTACAGACGTTCTCGTATGTATGCTGCGAGCCTCTCCTTGTATATTTGCGACAACTGCTAAAGTAACCTCTTCGCTCACGGCAACAACCTGCATTCCTCCAGGGGGCTAGCCTTGTTGAACCTCGGCTCATGATGATTACCGATTGTCAGAATGCATGGCAATCATATATGTATTCCCTCCATCTAATATTTTCTTCAATTAAACTAAATCATATCATCTATAACCCCATATCTACCTGATATCTCCAACCCCAAATTAAACACCATACCATGACCCAACCCACTCCCCTCTTCACCCTACCCATCCCCATATCCTCCCCCCTCCAATCTCACCCAGGCACTCTAACCTGCACAATCCCCTCTCCCGCGCACCCCACCCTCTATCTCCTCACCTTCTCCTCATCCCCCGATAACCGCCTCACCACCACTTTCTGCCAAACTTTTCTCCTCGCCCTCGACATCCTCGAACTCTCCTATCCAGTGGGTGCTATCTGTATAACCTCTGCCATCCCCAAATTCTTCTCCAACGGCCTTGATCTCAATCATGCGTCTACTACTGAGGGATTCTGGGAGAAGAGTCTTTATGCGTTATGGAGGCGCTTGTTAACGTATGTTTCCCTTTCATGCCTGATCTGTCTACCCCCAACTTCACAATCCACTAACCCTTCTGCCCAAACTCAGCTACCCAATGCCCACCATATCTCTCCTCCCCGGGCATGCCTTCGCCGGCGGCCTCATGACCGCCATGTACACAGACTACCGTATCTTCAACCTCAGCCGAGGGTACCTCTGTCTTAACGAGCTAGAATTTGGAGCCCCCCTCAAACCTCCCATGTCCTCCATATTCCGACAAAAGCTCTCTTCTCCCGCCACCTATCGCTCTCTCGTCCTCGAAGCTAAACGCTTTAACGGCGAAGCCGCCTTGAAAGAAGGCCTTGTGGATATATTAGGTGGATGGGAAGATGTGTTGAAGCTAGTGGATGAGCGGAAATTGTTGGAGAAGGGGAAGAGCGGGGTATATGGGGTGTTGAAGGCGGAGATGTGGAGGGAGAGTTTGGGATATCTTGAAGGGCACACGGAGAATGAGGAGAGGGATGGGGTGAATATGGATAAGGAAGTGGAGAGGAAAGAGCAGGCCCAGAAAAGAGTTGCTGAATGGGAGAAGCAGGCAAAGAAGACATCGAAACTATAAGTAAATGATGTATTTATATTTGTAAAAACGACTCTATACGCCTAAAGGTATGACTTTGGCCATTCCGTGGTCTACCAAATAATACTGTAAGAATACTATACAAGATAGTCCCACAAGCCCCCAATCCTCTTTTGTTAAACCACAAACACCATACCTAGGTGATTATCCTATTTTGTACAAACCGACCCTACCCATAGCATTACTCATTATTCATAATTCGTAACCTGTGCCGCTCAGGCAAAGCTGTCCTCAGCTGACCAGCGCGGCTCTTTGGTCTCCTTTGCATCCTTTGCATCCTTACTACCTTCGGCGAATTCGACCTTCTTGAAGCCCCTCTTAGTGACTGGCTTGCTTAGGTTGCTCTGACGAAGAGAAGGTCCTTGCTCATCTCGGTCTCGGTGCAAAGATCTGGACCCTTTAGACTTCGACTCGCGCTCGAATGATTGCAGCATTTCTTCAAGCTCCTGCTTGAGCTGAGCCACCGTTGGGAGGCTAGCAGCTGCGACGTTTTGTTGGGGTTGTTGCTGAGGCACCATCTGACTAGCAACTCGTAATTCCTTGTGTCGGATTACTGGAGGGGGGAATCCCATCATATTATTAGTCTCCATGCGCTTTGGTTCCGACTGCGTGGGCGCTTTTCCTGGAGCCTCCTCGTCCATACGTTTCATCAAGTCTCCATGCTTCGCAACATAAGCTTTACTATCAGCGAGAACTTTCTCAACGTCGCGTGTTGTTATAAACCTAATTGTGGATGGTCCTGGCGAAGAGTCAATTTCGGACCTTGGAACATTTACATTTTCCCGATGGTGTAAATCCAGCGAAAAATTAACCGTGGATTTCGAGATGTTGGACGCTTGACCACGACTTTGAGATGGAATCCCGGTTTTTGCCTGCAAAGCAGCTTTGTCCGTTGAAACTTCCTCAGCCATCGCTTGAACTGCTGGTTTGGTATCGACTTTTGACTCCGCGTTCTTGACACCAGCCTTATCTGTATGTGGTCTCTCGCCCTTCCATTCGACCTTCTCCGCGTTCTTCTCGGCAGATTTTACATTTTGTGGGCCTTTGGCTTTCTCCTGAGCTTTATTGCCATTATATTGATGTTGATGCAATTCCTCCAAATTCCTTGCCATTTTTTTTTCTGCTAAAACATTGATAGAGGCGTCATGATGAGATCCGCCTTCCTCTTCCAGATTCTCTTCCGTTTTCTTATCAGTTTGACAATTACTTGTCTTTTCATAAGACTTTCCGGAAGGCTTTATGTAGCCCATCTCCAGAAGCTTATCCCAAACATCATCTCTAATCTTTGAGACCTCCCTATTGACCGGGAGCCCGTCCAACTTCTGAAGTTCGGGATTATTGCCCTTTCTGCCGAAGACCAGCATCTCGTACACGCGTCGCATAGATTTTGTTCCCATATCTGAGCACGAGATATAATGCGCATCTCGTGCTGGATCTGCATCGCCAAGCGAATATGGATCAATAACGTCTAGTTCATTCTTCTCAAGCCCACCCTCCTTGACCAAGCATCTTTCTAATGCTATTGGGTAGAAGTTATGACTAACATGGTTGTTCCTCATATCAACAGTAGACAGATATGGAAATGCTCTCAAAGTTCTAGTAAGTCTTTCTACTTTAGACAATCGATTTCCAGCAAGGAGTAATTTCTTAAGACGAACGATACCGAGAAGACATTGGAATTCTTGCAACCCGTTGAAGTTGAGATTTAGAACCCGTACATTTGATACCATAAGACCAAAATCATCTGGTAACGAAGTGATGCCACAGTTCGCAAGCTCAAGGTATTGTAGATTGAGGTACTCGACTCCTGGATCGAAGGTACCTAAATAATTACCAGAAAGGAACAGCTTTCTCACTTCGAAAGCATCTTGGAGAAATGATTTGTCCAGGATCGTGCCAGGTTGCTGTTCCCGTACCGAGAGACTATGAAGCTTTCTTTTATGGAGGAGACCAGTGATAGTTTTTATGCGATTGGCATCCAGATAGAGAATGCGAATCTCGGGTGTGAGACTTGCATCAAAATACTCAAGGTTATTGAAGCTCAACCTGATTTCTCTAGCCGAGCATGTGTCTTCTGGTGATATGAAATTGATCAAGTTGTTATTTTCCAAGTCAAGGCTGGACAATTTCGCCAATTGACCGAGATTCTTCACTTCCGAGATTTGACAGTCTCTAAGGTCTAAGCTTTCTAAGTGTTTGAGACTTGTTCCTTCAAAATTCAGCGTCTCAATTGGGTTGCCTCGAAGCCGAAGTGTAATTAAGCCATTCAGAGTTCCAATACCACGAAGCGATGTTATGTGATTATTGTCTGCTCGTAAACTTCTTAGATGTATTAAGTTTTTGAAGCAGGAAAGGCTCTCAATCTCGTTGTTGGAAACATCAATTTGCTGGAGATTCAATAGATGGCCCCAGGACGTGAGATCGGATAGGCGGTTGTGGCTAATAATGAGGGTGCGAAGTGTTGAAGGAACACCATTTAATTGACTAATCTCGTTTTTGGATACCCTCAGTTCCTCCAGGTGCCCACAAAATTCGTCGAGTTTGTGTAGATTTGTCAGTTTCTTCCTGTGCAAATCAGCACTTTTCATATCCTCCCAGAATGGCTCATAAGGTTCGATTTCAGTCAACTTTTTGACCATTTCTTTGATCGAATGGGAAAGTGTTTTCTTTGTAAAAACTCCTGGTACATGCTTTTGTCCCTTCGCCACATAGCTCACTTCCAGTCCAAAAGATTCGTCAGCTTGATGCATCGTGAATTCTGAAAGTGGAGTAAGCTCAAGGGTCCCAATTTCATGGACGGGCCGTGGTGTAGCAAGTACTACACTATCCACTCTTCTTGGCGGAGCGGAATGCGTGGGCTCCTTGGGTTTATTCACACCACCATTTCCTCGATCGAGAGAGTCCTCATCTTGTTCATCGATACGTGATACTGGACGTGGCATGAATTGCTGTCCTCCCACGGATAGCCTGCGGGAAGTGTTTCGATATCCTCCACGTAATCGGGTTTCTTGCTTGGATTTCCCTTTTCTGACCCGAATACTTCCACCGTCATCACTATCCGAGTTGACACTGTCGTAGTCAGATTGGCAAGCTCCCTCTTTCGTGGAATTGTCGTCATTATAAGTAGGAGGTTCGATAAGCTCCGCGATAGGAGATGAGAAAGTGATTGTAACATTTCGTTGGCGTTTCGGAGTTGTGGTACTCGGGTTTCCATCTGCTTCGTTGAAAACTTCTTCACTGACTAATTTCCTGCTCTCTTCGGGGACCATACTCCCTGCTGAACTATGACTTCCATAAATAGTCTGGTTCACATGTCTATTCCGAGTCTTCTTCAGTCGTAGGGCACTATCCTCGCCCGCGGAGGCTGAGCGAATTTTGATATCGGGCACATAATTATCTAAGGGAGGTTGAAAAGGCTCTGAAGGTGCTGACTGGGGTCTGTTATCGACGGGCGGAACGCTCATGTACGTATTGTTTTGAGGCCTTTGCTGTCCTTCGTCAACGAGATATTCGGCCAATCGTAATCGTGCGTCTTCTCTCTGCTTGGCGGCCACAGCTCTTAACCGCACGAGCTCTTGCGTCTCATCAAATGACAAATCAGGTATGTCTTCAAAGGGGTCCTCTTCTGTCCCTTCAGAATTTGGGGATTCCTGTCCATCGTTTTCACCTCTGACGTTTCTTCGCTTAACCCAAATGTTCCGTTCTCGATCAAAAACCATGCCAGCAAGTTGCTCTGGGATCAGATGAGATACTGTATGCGGAGCAATCACACGCCGTGAATCCGAACCTCTGGATGATGTCGTGGGTATTGAATTGTTCGAGCCCTGTGTGAAGAAATCTGGATCCTCATATTCTTCGTCCAATTGTCGCGAAGAGCCAGAATGTTTGCGCTTTCGCTGAATGTCCGGATTGTTTGATATGCGAATATTTGGCGGCTCGCTCTGGATTATATCGATAGGGTCTAAGAAGTGACCGAACGATCTCGAGATTGTTTCGTCTGCTATTCTATCGATTTCCTTCGCATTTTTCATGCCCTCTTTTGCCACAGCCATGGACTTTATAGATGAAGCAATAATACCATCCATCTCACTCTTCTCCTCATATTTACGTAAATGATCCAGAAGCTCCGGATCTTGCGTGAGCGGTGCTCTCGACACTGGAGCACCTTCGCGACTCGGTGGTCTTTCAAACAGTTCCTGAGTTGACTCCTGGTAGGAATCCTCCAACTCATCATCTGCTGTCGTATTCGCTGGAAGTACACGATCGGTTTCGGACTCGGACTCTTCGAGACTGGTAAGACCACTGCGAGGCCTTGCCTTACCTCGAATGCCTGCCATAATCTTCTTCGCTTCGTCCAAAAAGTCTTGAGTGGTAACAGAGGGCTTCCGACTATCCTGCGATTGCTGACTAGCACCAAGAGGCATGTCAGAGTTGGCCAAATCAAGCTCAGCTTGGATCATAGCAATTTTATGCTCTTGCGATAATCTTGCACGTTCGTCCGAGGTGAGATCTGACTCAACAAGAGGTGCTTCCTCGCGTTGCTGACGATTACGCTGACTCGGCGTGGGTGTTCGAGGGCGAAGCAGTTGTCGCATTGCAAGTATCTTCGGATTGGCAGTTTTAAAGGTCTGTTCGTTGTCTTGTCGCGTCTTGCCCATAGCTGGCTGTGTCGAAGGACGCGAAGGGCCAATGATTGAGACTAACGGCTCTTCAGGTTGTAGTGGAAGTGAAATATCCGCTCTGTGCAAAGTTCGGCGTCTTTTTGGCGTGGGATCTTTCAAGGGAGATCTGAGTAGCCGTTTCCCTTCCGCTTCGCCATTCGACCTCCTGGGTGTCTTGAGGTTCTCGATCATCTGAGAAGAGGGCAAGACATTAGACGCTGCAGAAGAGCTAGTGCTAGATCTTTTTCTGACAATCAACTTGCGTTTGCTGCTGTTATTGCTAGTTGTTCTGTAATTACCACTACATTGCCTGTCATCTCCTTCCTTGACGTTTGGTGAAGAATCAAGTCGAAAATGAAACCTAGTTTGTGACTTTGGATCTAAGACAGGGAGAGCCAGATTTTCTACATCGTCGTTGTGTAAAATGGACCCGTTCGATTCAAAAGAAACATCCTCGCTGAATTGAAAACTATCCAAGTCGCCGACACCAAAACTACTAAACCTCCTTGACTTACGCTCTTTTGTGAAATGACTGTTCTCCGACGTGGGCCGGCTGTTATCTGCATTATTCATCTGGTGGTGCGTGGATTCATGAGCAGTATTCGGTGGCACATCTGGTTCAGGGTCACTTTCGTGATCCTCGTATTGACTAAGTCTACGGAGAAGTTTTTGACTTGTAAACGTATCGTGAGTGCCGAAAAGCTTCAATGGGCTGCCGGGATTGCTTTTAACAGCGAATTTAACTGGACTGGAATGAGGTGTTGGCGGAATTGGAGGGGATCTTAGATTCACAGGCGACTCTAGGAGTTCGTTGGAGGCTCGTGTCTTTCTTATTTTGGGGAGCTGCTTCTCAGAGCTGTCGTGCGGGGAATTATCAATTGAAAATGCCGATTCATCGATTGGCGGCAGGGAAGAAGGACTTAGCATTCGCTTTTGGAAAGAACCTTCTTCAGAACGGCCACCTCTTCGAACATTGACGAATTGTCCGTTGCGCCTGAAATCGTCCGTATCTGTTGTAACATCACCAGTTATAGGTCGCGAGATATTCTGGAGGTCTTGGGTTTCATCAATATTTGAATCATCAGTACGAAGTTTTTCCAGGCGTTCTTGAAGTTCGGCAGGCAATATTTCCGTTGGCGAAACACCGACTTGAACGCCTATCGTACTCTGTTTTAATAAATATATTGGTGAGAGGAATTCGTTGCGCGTATCGCTTTGCCCGCTAAGGGTTCGTCCTACGTCGAGGTATTCTTTTCTGATCCGGAGGTCGTCCGCATTTGATATCGAATCCGAGGCAAGCGTGTGTTCTTTAGCGGGACTCAAAGTATTTACTGCGCTAAATCTGAAATCGCTTCCTCGACTCAAGTCATTGGTAGAAAAATCACTACCAAAATCTTCAGTCATCCCATATTTCGCGCCTCGTGGTAGGTCATTTTCTTCTTCTTGGACAGAATCTTCAAATGATGACTCGCTATCATCAAATTGCGGAGGCGCTAATCTTGTGCGATACAGTGGAGGACTGGATGGCATAATACTACTCTCTCCAAAGGTGGGTGGCTTTTTGATTGAACTCTCGGTAGGAGGTGGTTGAAATATCGTCTCGAGGCCCGCTGCGCTGAATAGATCGCGCTGTTCATTATATCCAACGTCTCCTTGGAGAAGTCTTCTCTTCCATTCCGGGGTATCTTTTGAGCTCTTCTTGGGCGATGCGCTGAGGGATTTGTTATGTTGAATTGTATTATATTCTGTTGTGTGTGTGCTGGAAGCTGCTGACAACGGTCGAGGGAATTTTCTACCCCTCGGGCTTTGTGGTACTTCACTTCGTAGTTTCGATGGCTGATGGGTTCGTTGGGACAAGGGAATATTGGTCTCGTTCTGACTCCTCTCACTCAATGGGTTACTGTCCGGCAGATTCGACCAAGACTTCGTATCCGAATTGAACTTCGGTATGCGACTAGCCAGGGCAGTTGGGTGAGGGGTTGAAGAATCCGATGTGCCATTTGTGAGAGATGGAAGTTCTGGCTCTGGAGATTCGGATCGAGGTTGAGATACCCAATCTTCGGAGAGAGAATCTAACCAGGCCTGATCCATCTTGAAAGATTCCCAAGGTTATGGGCAGTGGGCATGAATCCGGTTTTGTTTTGATTGCTTGATTGTTTGTTGTTCTTGATATTGAAAAATATGATCGCGTAGATAGTGTTGGGTCTATGGATGGGTGGATGGTATTAACAAAGTAATGTGTGTAGGTAGAATAGAATCTATTTGTATTAATACAACTAGAGCCCGTAGAATAACGCGTTTGGTGAATTTGAGATACTGTAGTCGCGAAGTGGGATTGAATATTGAATAAGTGGTCTGGGCTGGGGAAGCACTTGGACCTTTTTAATTCGAAAAGTCGTGCAGGAAGGAACAACAAGGGCCTATCAAAACAAAACAAAAATAACTCTAAAGCCACAGCAGCCCGTAGTAGCCATATCAGCCCCAGCCACAACCCCACATCGATTGATCTACAAGTATAAAAAAAGTAAAAAGTAATAAGTGAGAATTATATGATACTAATACTATAGTTACTACAGTTACAATAATTATACGAAAATCTATTATATGTCTCAATGAAGCACAAGCATATTAATTGAATTAAATTGGACTGGATTAGATTGAAGCTGGATTGAGCCTGCTATTATATAATCTTGTACGGCTAGGATTCCTTCAATTTATACTAGGTAGGTTAGTTAGCAATGCCTTACAGATATTATTATTGTCTATTCGATCCAATCCTCTGATAATTTTAATCAAACCGTATCTCACCAACGCAAGTATAAGTCATTGGTCAAATGTGGACTTTGATCGCTAAAATTGTAGCAATAGAGGTGACGGTAAGATATGTACTCGAGTAGGTAGACAGGATGAACAATGAAACGTATCTGAACTTCATGCTTTGCATGTTCTATAATATATAGTCTGGTCTGAAGAGAAAGAATCACTCTAATATGTGACACGTCACGTGTTTTCGTATCACTCGCGAAAACACATAGACACGAAAAAGAGTTGTCCAGTCAGCCACACAAATGCGATAACTGATAACTTTTGTGATTGTGATTCACACAAAGCATGCAAAATTGAGACACAACCCAACTATTGGCATGCAGCATATCCAGGACTATTGCAGGAATGTCTCTCCATATGAGTGGGCGCTCGCTCAACTCCGATAACGATGATGAACCTATATATTTCACACCAACATATAAGTCCGAAGACCTCATTTGTGAAGGTTCCGATACCGAGGCGAATCCCAGAGCGATAATCGAAAAACGACGGCGATATGAGCAATGTGCGGAAAGAGTACTACGTGGACAACTACCTATTATTGAAACTGCGCGACTTAGAGGACCCTTTTACAAGGATAATAAGAGTGAATGGTTGAACCCATGGAGACATCAAGAAGGGACCTGGTGGAAGCCTGGATCAAAAGACATGCTATTCAAAAGGGAGGATGTTTTGCGACGAGCTAGGGAACATGGCAGAAAAGATATGAGCCCCGCAGAAGCACTGGCATGGTGCCGACGGGATGCTAGACGACAGGCAGAAGAAATGGGAGTTCACGACTATTCGGACATGCAGTGTGAATCTGCGACTGGCCCAGATACCGAGGGTTTCGTTGTAGATGAGACATTGCACGGAGATATAATGATGGAAGAAGAGGGGGATTTATCTAAAGGCATCAGATCATCAATCAGACCTCCAATACCACAGGTTCCGAAATCGACAACTGCGCATGCGAATACTAAAGATTTTGAAGATACACCAATAATAGGGAGCTCGACTTCGAATGCAGAGGATTACGGTAGACAGCCGGAGTCGTGGACTGGTATCAAGAGACCTGTAGATGTAGCTTGGTTGAAAGGCTCACATGTTTCGAAGCGCGCTCGTTGGGAGGATCCCGCGGTCTCATCGCCGACTCCGTTGCCTCATGCAACAAGTCAAACATTTCAGTACAAGGACACAGGCACTATGATAGTTGCACAAAGTCGAACGTCGCATAAAATTCAACCGCGATCGGGTCTTTCTTTGGAGACTCCTCGGCAAGAACTAGCTTCCCGGAAGAGCCATGCATCTATGCAGCAATCAGACACTACATCTAGTGCGGAAACCTCATTTCATACTAATATCGGACAACAAGGACAACGGCGTAGCATATCCATGTTCGAACTCGAACGCGAACTCGAACGGCGACCTACCAATCTATGCGAAGATTCCCCCGAGCCATATTCATCTATTCCAATTTACACGCCAGCTGGCAAACAAGCTAGTGTCTCGCAGACTTCAGCAACGAAACCAGTCACTTCGCCGCGACTTCCCTCGCATCCTAAAATTGGTGTGTTGCATGATGAAAATCACGAAACTCCAGGAAACATGACTTTTGTGACTGACGTTGCACCATCTTCTGTAAACTTGGAACATTTTCAATTTCGAAAGAAGCGTAGACGCAAGAGTGATCCCCCGGATATTTCTGGTCGTTCGTTTACTGTGATAGGAGAAGACAGCCATATGCCCGTATCCGAAGATAGCAGGCCAAATTTCAGCCTTCAAAGCGATGCAACCTTTTCGACCCCATTTACACATCACCCTATCGAAAAGGCAGAGGAGTTCTCGATATCTTGGCCAACAAAATCTGTAGTGACAAAAGCTTCGTCCCGCAGAAGCTCTCAAGCCGATGAGAGTTGGCGTACCACACAAGAAGAAATCGGAATAACTCCGTCGACAATGAGCTCGGGTAGCAGGATTACAATCAAAGGAGGATGTTCTCCACAAAGCGAAGACATTGGTAACAGCTGGGTCACAACACAAGATGACTTCAACCATGCTCCAACATCGTCTGTTTCAATGGATATTACTCAGATCTATCGGAGCTCGAATTTTGTGCCACAGCCAAATCTTGTTGAGCGTATGGAGACTCCTACGATTAGGAACTATGAGAACACAACTACATTACAATCTTCGCCCCTAAAACAGCCCTCTGCTCCACAATCTGCACGCCATCTCTCGAAATCGTCGCCAAAACTATCGGCTCGTCCCCAAGATTATAACAAATTGGGTGTGCCTATGCCTTGTGAGAACCTCGATGGATCGAGTACACAATCTTACAACACCAGTCCAGTCAACTCGATAACGATTACATTTAAATCTCCACGGGCCTGCATTTTGCCACAAAATTTGGGGTCAAGTCAGAAACTCCCCCAAAGGACCACATCCACATCTAATGAAGGATTTGTTAGAAACGTACGGAACGACAATGTCGAGCATGATTCTTTGACACACGTGCAAATATCAGATGATCGAAAATGGGTTGAAACGGAAGGAGCCGTTTCGGTAATGAATTTCACGCTTGAGGGCGAGCAGATCGAGGATGTCACCTCACTGCAGGCTCACCAAGAATCGAACATTGATATAGAACTTCAAGCCGATTCGGCAGCAGCTTTCGAGGATCTTGAAGATGCTGAAGATATGCAAGGTGTGGCTCAGGGAAAGATGCAGGAAGAGGTACAGGCAACTATGCGGGCCGAGCTGGATGCCGATGACGTTCCAAACTCCGCACTTTTAAGCGGTCAAACGTCAACGTCATCATCACTAGCAAGAACAAATAACATTACTACACCCAACCTCACGTCGATTCATAAAGCTAGGAGCGTCGATCAGATTCCCAAAAGTTCTATGCCGAACCAATTTACTCCCCTATTTCGTGATGAAGAAGATGTCCTTTCGCTAGCGAGCACTCAAGATCTCACCGAATATCTATTAGAAGCAGCTGCCAAAGAAAGAGTTTTAAATGTTCCTTCCGAAGGTACTGGGTCTGACACAGTTTCAAATCCGGAATTGCAATCTGGAAAGCAAACTGCCACTCAACCCCGTATCCCACAGAGTCCCTGGGTCGCAGCTCAAGCAATACCTATGATCGCTCCCATAGTACTTACAAGTACCGAAGTGGTGGAGCCACTCAATGCCGAGTCTCCCAGTTCCGGTTGGCAGAAAGAAGAGCGTCCAGTCACACCTGATAATGACATCATTAGACCTTTCCGAGATCTTATGACCCCAAGTCCTCCACCTGAAGATCTGAATACACCAGAAATTGAACAGCGGCCATCGAATACACAGCTTCTTGTGGAAGCGGCAACGCAAAATCCTTGGGTAAACGGTTCCAACAAAAAGAGTACTAAGCGCAAACGCGTGTCATTCGGTACATTAGATGAAGATCCAGTGCCCTCTCAACGTAGTTCGCAGCGTCAACGCCGCTCTCCATCTCCTGAGGGTACATATCGTACAGGAGCTTTTGGAAACAAAGTGGCTCGATTCGACGACGATGTCACAGATATGAACAGCTTCCAAAATCACTTCTCCGCAATTCGTAGTAAGTCTGAAGGTGAGATTGTACCGAAAATCAATAGCTCCGTCAAACGCGGTTCCGCAATTACAAAATATAAGACAACCCTCTCAGATACGACCAATCTGATAGCAAGTAGTCCCGCAATAGGTGCAATGGCAGAAGCTTTTATCGCAGCTGATCGCGATTCTTCACGAGAGCGAGAACGTCGTTTAACAATAAGCCCTTCACGAAATCGAAAGTATCAGAGGAAAAGCTATAAGACTTTTGAGGATGAAGATGAAGACGATTCGGGGATACAACCCTCGGATTCCCATTTCTCTACAAATGTAGCTCTTAATGAAACGTCAAGTAATATCAAACTGGAAGAACATACACCAGGAGATTTCCTCGATGAGGTGGAAGATTTCTTAGGGGGGGATTGGTCGGTTGAGGGAGAGTTGAAAAAAGCTACTAGTACGGAATTTGAACTGGCTACTCCTAAGCGGGAGAGTAAAGTACATTCACGGAGAAGTCTTTTTGCGATTGAGAATGTATGGTCTTGATGGAGGATTGTAACGAAAAGGATAATGTCATTGATAGAGTGTGTAAATCAGATCTGTAAATTGCTTAGGTGTTACGGATGGAGGGATGAACAACGGGTAGAGATACGAGATACCCTTGCTTGCTGCTGCTGCTGCATAGCCTGAACAAGGACAGACAATATTATGAATGATGATTATATAGCAATTAGACAAATACCGGTATATAGCTAATAAATAAACTTTGCGATAATTAACTTCTTACATCTTATCTCATCAACCCGAGTGCCGTGAAAAATAAGCAGTACACCGGAAGTTACAGTACAGTAACCCTTTTTTCTTCCCCGCACACTCAATTCTTTCTCTCTTCCTAAAGCTAGGTACCTAAATAAAGGTTTGACAGCCTCAATTCCCGTGGCCAATGAAGAGCCTGGTGTTGTGGTGTGCGAGTTGAGTTTGGAATGGGTGGGATATGGGTGGGATATGGATGGGATATGGATGGTACCACGTTTTTGGATGGATGATGGTTATTGGATTAAGGTTGCTTTTGAGGGTGAGAACTGCGGACACAAGAACCCTTGTGATACAGGTGGTACAGGTGATACAGGCACAGATTAAATCGTGTGGGACGGTGTAGGACGGCTCGGGATGGCCGTTGTTTTGGTTTTTGGTTTTGGGATTGGGGATTGGGGATTGGGGATGGGGTTTGGATGAGGATGAGGATGGGTGGTCTGGTGTGGTATGTATGGATGTATGGATAATATAATGGAGGAGACTTGAGAGAGGCAGAGTAGAGTGAGAGAAGAAGGGAAGGATTGGGTTGAGTTGGGCTGGGTTGGATTAATTACCTTAGATATACTGGTATACTCGAGTTACTGTACCGGTTGCCGGTATTCCCGTTTGGATTTTGTTTTCGATAGGGAATGAAATGCCCAGGATGCTGAGGTCTTGTTTACCTATATATAGCATATAACCTTATCGTGGGTGTGGGTGTGGGTGACGAATGGATTTCCCATACCGGACCGGCATGGCATGGCTCCAGAGGTCCATTTTGATTCTGATTGCCGTCCTTCCCGTCGTCACCCGGCATTGATGGATTTGATAAGGATGCAGAAAGAACTACGATATAATTGGAGTCTGAAGTGGAGAGGAGAAGTTATGTCATTGTCATTGTCATTGTCAATATGCTGTTAATCTAATTGGGACCCTCGTATGTACCCAGGTAGGTACCTATTAGATAGCTCCGTAGGTAGTGAGTGATATACATCACTCATACATTCGTCAACTTCTGGAATCTGAATGGAATCTGATAATATGATTACCCTTTTTTTAGTTGTACTAAGTATTTGGTTACACTATTGTAATCAATTTTGTATGACAGCCCTGTACTCCTTACCCTTTCTTGTGATTCGGTAAGTATAGATTATAGATGCAGGGAAAATGAAGAAGGGATAAAAATTACGATTTTTTTTATTCATGCCCAGCTTTATAGATATGTTTTACTACTTTTTAGACTTCAAGTAGACATTTATTCCTTGTTGGGTTACTAATAAAGCTTTAACTTCACTTCAACTTCACTTCACTTGTCTTTGTCTTGTCTTGTCGGACCGGCGGGCACTTTCATTAACTAATATTACAATATTACCCGTACCCGTACCCATAACTTACTTTCAACTAGCTTTCAACCAGCCCAACCCATCTTATCTTTTACCTACCTACCCATCCATTCTTCTTTCTTCCCATCAAACAATACCAACAATACAACACAACAACACAACACAAAAACATATCAAAACTCAATCACCATTGCACCATTCAGAAGGAAAGAACAAGACAAGAATACTAGAGGGAATCAAATAAGAAGAAAACAACCAGGAAATCTTATTCAATTCATCAAATTCATCAAATTCCATAGAATTTCCTATTTTGTCTAAAGAGAATTCCACGTGTTTACTAGGTTCAAAAAGATCTTTATTGTTTAACAAAACATTTACATTTTCCCTGATCGTAAATCCTTGCCTGATTGATCTTTGGCTTTCAATCCGGCATATCCTAACCTTCTTTCCAAACACAGCCATTGATTGAGAAGGGTTCAACACCTGCGAATCATTTTCTCACACTGTCACTGGATTCGATAAATGTGCGCCTCATGTCAAACTCCCATACTGACTCCAGAAATGCCGCACACACCCCTCCGGTGAGTACTGAGCAAGGTCAACAAATCTCTCAGGATGGCGATCAAATTAAAGCACAAAGATGGGCCAACATGCCACCAAGATCACCGAGATCAACTCAAACCTCTTTGTTTAGTCAAGCTCTATCCATGGCTCCTCAAGAATCTGCGGCAACTCACATCGATACTTCTTCTCGCAAATCTCGAAATACATCCTCTCGCATAATACGACCTTATCCTTCTGCCACAATGAATCAATATCAGGATGAAAGGACTGCAACTTTGGCAGATTCATTGAACGATATGGTTATTGGGACGGCATCTATTACCCTCAATCCAAATAGACCTGTCAGTGCTGGGGCAACTCCATCCATGACTTCTGGTGTGCTTTTTGATATGGAACAAGTCAATGATATCCTATCGGGTCACCGGGAATACCTCAAAAATGCAAAAGCGAAAGGAAGAGGAACATCTCTTGAACGAACAGCGAAGGAGAAAAGGGTTCAAGATCTACCAAAAGGCTCATTCTCAACCAATCCTGGTGATACTGGCATAATAACTCGACCATCAACACCTCTGCAGGAGCCAGCAGGGTCTCTTTCGGACAACCCACCTGTGGATGGATTCCGAGCAAGCTATCGTTCATGGAGAGATGCCAGAACAAGCCCACCTGTAGAGAAGGCCTGGTCAATCTGCGAACAAGGTGACGATGATCAGGGTGGCCAAGTCGAAAAGGCTATTGCAGAAGCTTTATCGGGAGTGGAGCACAACAATCGCAGCCGAAAAGCAAGTCACAGTCTGAGATTCTTCAGGGAAGGTCTGCCAGAAGATAAGACAAAGAAACGAGAAAATAAGAACAGAACCCAACCAAAAGAAGCACACTCTTCTGCTAGGATCAGTAGCATACCCGAAGCTGGGCAGGACGACACAAGAACAAAGTCAGCAGCAGCTTTGGAAGGTGAAATGCTGTCATCTTTCGCAGATTCGAGGATGTCATCTAAGTCACCAATCCGCAACAATGGTTTTGATGCTACCTTCAGCCCCGCCGAAGGACTTCCTGCCGAAGCAGAATACTTTGATTCATCTCACAACATCGAAACGCTTCTTCGAGACAAATTAAGACGAATGCCTTCACAGCTACTGGTCGATATACGAAAGCATCACAACTTAACACCTGGTAACGCCAAAGGATCTTCGTTTTCAGGAAGCATACCAGCTCCGGAATCTGAGAAGTCAAAGCCAGATTCAGGCGAGGAGAATTCATTCGGCAGACCTCAGATAGATCGAGAGGGCAATGAGGATGGTGCTGACTTGAAGAAGGTTCAGAGTCATGATGAAGGTAATGAATCTGGTGAGGAAAAGATCTCATCCGCGTTATTCGTCCCTCACAAGACTGCTCATGGTACATCTGAACGAGGGGCAGAAGACCTGCAAGACAGACTAGACCTTGTTGCGAGGCCTGAGAATAATGATCAACTTCAATCAGAAGATTCAGACCCACAACAGTGGCTTGAAGAACACCGAGTCCCATCTTGTGAAGTAGATAACACTTATGACAGTCACGAAGTTAAATCACGACCACTGCCATCACCACGACTTCCTAAGCAGCATGACTCGACAGCAGAAGAGAATGGTTATATTACTCCTACAGATACTCATGATCCTAGTCAAGACTCATACGATGAAGGAGAATCGACAACTTTTGAAGAGTCCTTAACTGATGATCCCGAGGCAACACCGACTTCTTTTAAACATCGTCGTCGTAGCTTCAAGTCAACAACACCCATGATACATGTTATCGAGGACCAAGAAGATGCTAGAAAATCTCGCGGCTCAGTTGAATTGATTCCCTACAAGCATCAAGTCGGTGGCCACACAACTATGTGGAGATTCTCAAACCGTGCAGTCTGCAAGGAATTGAATAATGGTGAAAACAAGTTTTATGAGATATGCGAGCGAAAGCATCCCCAGCTCATGAAGTTTTTACCAAGGTATGTGTAAATCTCATTTGACTTTTCCTTGCTTCTAGCATCGAAGCTGAGTCTTCATCAAGACACCACACCAAACCCGTCCTCAGGCACCAGTTGTACATGCATAAACTAATGTGCTTATCTTGATTGGTTTTTAGGTATATTGGTGTTTTGAATGTAACTTTGGAGAAAAAGCATTTACGACCAAAGGTCTTGCCCAAGAATGATAAAGGTATTGTGGCCGAGCAGGAGTCCGATGTAACTGATGGGCATCTGCCGAAAGAAGAGACTGCTACCACCGACACAAATGGCCACACAAGTTCTGAAAAGGTTCCGGAGCCAACAAGGATGATCAGCCAATCACTAAAGACATCTTCTATTCCTATAGCAACTGTCAACTTTGCCGACAATAGACATATTATACCAAAGAGTTTCTTGCAGCCTCATCCACATCTCATTGATCCCATTGAGACCATTGAAACCACAAGTACCAAGGAGTCTAATCAGACTATGCAAAAAGGTCAGAGTCAAACACAGCCCCCACCAAGCGGCGATTTCACATTTCGTCCAACTTTATCAGATAAGCATGCAGTTAGCTGGGGTGCAACAACTATCAACAAGGAACTTCGAAACAAGGTCTTTGGAGAAGCCTTCTTACAACCAATCCCCATTCATCGACATAAGAAACCAGGATCGCAAAATCGAGCATTGCGCAATGGTCCTTCACTACGAAGTGCAAATTCGGAATCTAGCTTGAAGTCAGTCCAGTCAACCAAAATGGCTGATAGCCAGCCGCCCAAAGACTCAATGCGCACAAGAGCTATCAAGACTGCGGCTGAACAAAGAACTGGACTCTCACCAATGACCCCTGTCACACCTGCTCCACCAGTTTCGACGAATGATGCCGACGTAAATGGAAATGGTCATTGCGAGGTTGGAGAACTTGAAGATGAATTTGATCATATGGCCGGCACAAGTGCTCCTGAAGCAGAGATTGCAGGACCTCGGGATTCTCCAAAACGACCAAAGAGACGTTTTTCAAGTGGTGGGCTTCGCCGTAGACCTGCAGAAGTAGCAGATGGTCGAGGAAATCTCCAATACTTCGAAGAGGCGGATGATGCTGGCTACAAGGGTGATGAGGAAGATGTTTTTGCCATGGATCCTGAACTGACTGGTGAACAAAAGACATTACATTCATCTACAATGGAGGCGCCAACATCTAAGCTCGGAACTGTAATTGAAAGCTCTAAATCGAACTCTGCCGATTCGAATATCTTCATCAAACGACCAATCACCCCGAAGATGTTACCGAGTGCTCTTGTAATTCCCCCTCGACCTGTCAATCCCAAGGAAGCTCAGACACAAGGTCGACGCATTCAATATTTCTTGCTCTTGGAAGATTTGACAGCTGGCATGAAGAAACCTTGTATCATGGACCTCAAGATGGGCACTCGTCAATATGGTATCGATGCAGTTGAGAAGAAACAAATTTCCCAGCGCACTAAGTGTGAAGCAACAACATCTCACGATCTAGGTGTTAGAGTTTGTGGTCTCCAAGTTTGGGATGTAAAGACTCAGAAGTACGTTTTCCATGACAAGTACTTTGGTCGAGATCTTAAAGCCGGACCGGACTTTCAGAAAGCACTTACTCGTTTCTTATACGACGGCATCGACGATGGAAGTATTCTACGACATATACCGACTCTCATTCATAAGATCTCTACACTTGAGGTGTTGATTAGAAGTCTACCAGGCTATCGGTTCTATGCTGCCAGTCTTCTCCTATTCTATGATGGGGAAACTGTCGAAGAGGAAGAGTCTGATAGCAATGCATTTGAGCCATTGAGCAGAAGAAGAGAAATTGATCTCAAAATGGCAGATTTTGCAAATTGTGCAATCAAAGAAGATTGTTTGGCACCGGGAAGACATTGTCCACCTCGACATCCTGATCAACCGGATTTGGGATTCCTTAGGGGATTGAAAAGCCTAAAACAGTATTTTCTGGCAATTCAGAAAGATGTAAGAAGAAAGATGGGTATCAAGGCGAGAGATTGGAATGAAGAACAACGAAAGATTGATTCGGAGGATGAAGCAAATTTGAGTTATTGATTTTGCTCTTCCTTCTGTACCCTCTGATTATTCGGTCTGGATTGGAAAATCGGTGTCACGATTATAACAATATTATTCATTGTTAGTATCGTTTGAAGCTTCTCACCGTTCTTTCTCCCATTCTATCTAGACTGGAGGAACAGTGGAAGGTTGGCAAAGAAGGGAAGAACCTGTATTTTTTTTTGGAATTCTAGGTTTACTCATTTGCATTTATTAGGAGTATAGGAAATGGCCTGTTTTTAAGTTGTTCTTTAATGATTCAGGACATGGGAAATGCTGCATATCATACCCTGCATATTAGTTGGTGTTTAGGTTTGGCTTTGAGATTGAGATTGAGGTTCAGATTTGATTAGTTTTTGCTTTTCTGGCTGGCTGACTTGTTAGGGTTAGCTGGTTAGGGGATGTATGAGGAGGGGGGGGAGTGCTTTGATTGCTTTGACTGTTTTGACTGCTTTGATTTGGTTTATTTCGCTGTTTGGTGGTGGGTTGTGTGGTGTGGTGGTGGTGGATGAGAGGAGGCTGTGGGTAAGGAAGGGGGAGGGAGGAGCTGTAAATATATGGATTATTGTCATTGTGGTTATGCCATGATGAATTGTTCTTACAGGTGATGTGATTCACGGCAATTCAATGAGTTGGCTAGCATACTCGGAAGAAAAAGAAGATAATCAATATGGAAAGCAGAATGGGGACTCCTGGATAGTGGATAGTGGATAGTACATTTGTGTATGTAGAGGAAGGGAGGGAGAGAGGGAGGGGTTTGTGTATGGAGTGAGTAGTTAGCTAGTTAGTTGGGTTTGTAGGAATATATTATTTAAATATTCATGAGTTGGAAGGTATAGATGTGATGTGATATCCGAGGGGTGGGTAGAAGGAGGGAGGTGTGAGAGTGTGATTTTTTGTTGTTTTCTTGTGTGTTCTTATGTTCTTATATTTTACTCGAGCATAGTGATACATACCGGTACATCCATCCCTCTTGAGTCTTAATCTTGATCTTCATCAAAAACAGTTCCCCTCACTACAGTAGGTAGGTACCTCTAGTAAAATTACATTTACATTTACATTTACATTACCTCGAGTATAGCACAATATATTCGTGATCTTACAAGGAAAATAAACTTTTGGTGTGTGTATGTGTTGATTATTTTCCTGTACTCGAGTAGAGTAGAGTAGAGTAGAGGATGATAGAGGAGGATAGAGGAGAGGAGAGTAGAAGAGAGTAGAGTGTTTAGATTCGATTCGATTGAAAAAATCAAATGATAATAGTATAATAAATAGTATAATAGTAATAGACATTTTGGGAAAATGGGATAATGGGATAATGGGATAATGGGATAATGGGATAATGGGAAGGATTATTTATACAAAGATAGTGCTGTAGGTAGAGAGGGAGAGAAGGAGGGAGGGAAAGAGGAGGATGGTTAACTATACTACTTGAGTATTCCTATTGATAATACGGTAGATCATTATCTTTGTACTCGTGTATGAGAAAGAAGTATTCTATTGCTTTGTTATATCACATACTTGTACGAGTATATTCATCTAAATACTCGAGTAGACATGTTATGGATGGATAATGTTCATTTACGGTAGTAGTGTCGAATTTAATAGTAATTGGATTTATATTTCTTCACTATATTTCTTGTCTAATGACATCATTAACTAGGTAGGCAATCATGTAATAAAACATACTCCATAAACCACAACCTCAACCCTAATCCTCCATCCCGATACCTTCAACCTCTCCTAACCATTCTCCCTTGGCCCCCTTCAACAAATCATTAACATTGACCGTTCCACTTGTCAAATACCTCTCACTAACTCCTACATTGACCCTCTGAGACAATAACTCCCTCAATTCCGCTCTCATGGCCCCCACTTCCCCTTTACTCATGCCCCTCGCTTCCTTTTCCTTGAGTCTCCTTCCCGTTCCCCTTCCTTTCTTTCCTCCGCCTAATGCTTCGAATTCCTCACTATCATAATCGACACCTAGTTCTTCGGCGGCGTTTTTAACCCACTCATCATCATGTCCCTTTTTCTCTTTTGCTATGGCGCTATCTGCGATTTTCTTCGCGAGAGTAACACGGGGCTTTAGGCGAGATACAACTCTGCGGTCGATATCGAGAGAGCGAATGTAGAATTTGGATTTCTTGTCTTCTGCATGTGCGGCATTTCGAGCGTGGACTTTTGCGACCAAGCGACGAGTGCCGACTACTTCCTCGGGACCACAGAGGATAATGCTGGATCCAGATGCTGAGGCACGAGCTGTACGACCGGAGCGATGGACGTACATGTCTGCGGTACGGGGGAGATGGTAATGGATGACTAATTGAACACCTCCGATATCGAGACCGCGGGCTGCGACGTCGGTGGCTACGAGGACTGAACCGGTGTTGTTTGTGCGGGAGAATTTCTCGATGGAACGCATGCGGGCTTTTTGGATCATTTGGGAGTGAATGGAGTGAGCGGGAATGTTGAGGGTTTGGAGCATGGGGGTTAGGCGGCGAACGGAGTGGATGGAATTTGTGAAGATGAGGGTTCGTTGATTTGGGTGATGTAGTAGGAGAGAATATAGGTAAAGATCCTATAGGATGTTAGCAGTGTAGCTATTATTTGTAGTGTATGCAAGATTACCTTTTCTTCTCCACCACATTCTACCATACCCTCTTTCAAATTCGCTGCCATTTGCGAAATTGGGTTTACATCAACAAATTTGGGTTTTTCTTCTCTGAAATTGAGTTTCTTCAGAAGGTACTCCATGGATTGACTCTCATCTTTGAAAGATTGCTTGCCCTTGCCTGCAAGCTTTTGTTGCAATCCTTTGTGGAAAGTGGCCGAGAAAACCAAAGTCTGTCTGGGCGGTAATGAGTCTTCCTCATCGTCTCCTTCTTCACCATGTGTACGATCCAAAGCATTTAAAATCTCCTCTGCTTCTTTGAAATGACCGTCGCTCAAAAGTCTATCTGCTTCATCGATGACCAAAAATCTTACCTGTTTCAAGCCAGCTGACAATTCATTGCTGGAGCTGATAACCTCCCATAGACGTCCAGGAGTTCCGATAATGATGTCTGCCTTGGCTAATTGACGTTGTTGTTTCTGTACGGAGAGTCCTCCGGTAACAGCAGCTACATATGGGCTTGTAGGCATATTTTTACATAAAGCTGTGATATGTTCAGTCAATTGATGGGCCAATTCTCTTGTAGGCGAAAGAATTAATGCAGTTGGTGGTCTTGTGCTTTTCTTGAGTTCATCCTCATCGAGTTCTCCATATACCTCAAGCCACTTTTCCACTATCGGTATTCCAAATGCCAATGTTTTTCCAGAACCTGTAGATGCTTTTCCCACAACATCGTGTCCCGCGAGCACTTCTGGAATAGCCTCAGTTTGAATTGGAGTTGGCTTTGAAAAGCCCATTTTTGATAATGCGGATAAAGTATTCGATGAGAGATCTAGCTCTTCCCAATTTGAAACATCGACTTCTCCTGCGGCATCTTCTTCGAGTGCTTGAAAGACGTTCTTTAGTGGATCTTGTTTGAGGCCAGCATCTTTGTCGACCGGTTGGTTTTGCGATTTCTCTTGTTTCTGCTTCTTCTCCTTCTCTTTCTTATTGGGTGGTTTCTCTTCTTCCTCATTCGTGTCCGGCTTCTCCTTCTTCTCCTTCTTTTCGGGCTTTGCCTTTTTCTCTATCTTCTCTTTCTTTGCTTGTGGTTCTTTTTCCGTGCTTTTCTCTTTAGGTTTCGAAATTGGCTTCACCTCGCCAGTGTTGTCCGTCTCCGCGGTTCCATCAACTTCGCCTTCATCCCCGAAGCCTTCGAATTCCTCATCGGCGTCGTCTTTAGCCTGTATCTTGGATGATACCTAAAGAGAATGAGCTTTTTGCACACACTTCCTTCCGGATAATACATACAAATTTTACAACATCTCCATCCCTTATTATCTCGACATCCTCTACCTCCTCCAATCCATAGAAACCCTCGGCATCTTCGAACATATCTGGCATCGTCACTTCGTTCCATGGTAGAGAGTCCACGGCGACTTGTTTCTTGGGCGCAGCAGCAGCAGCTTTCTTTTGCTTCTTGGAGGCTTTTGACATCTTTTGACGTTTTGGAGCTTTCTGAGCGCCATTGGTCTCTGAATGAGAACGCTTCTTCTGCTTGGTATCCATCTTGGTATCCATATTTTATTGAAAATCCTCGAGGTCGAAGTTGTTTGATTTTTCTCGTTGTCTCGAGTCAACTTGTTTCTCTCAAAAAAGCACATCATAACTTTTTTTCCTTGAGACCAAAACCCCTGTCAAAAATACCCTAGCCTTTCAGCCCTGCGCTAGTTCAGCCTTGTCGCAAAATCAATCAAATCATTCATCGATAACTTCAAGCCTTATCCATAAGTTTGTTCATTCATATCAAATTCGTCCTGTTTTTAAGATGGGAAAGTCCTCAAAGGATAAGCGTGATGCTTATTACAGACTCGCGAAAGAACAAGGATGGAGAGCTCGAAGTGCTTTCAAATTATTACAACTTGATGAAGGCATTAAACCCCGCTATAGACTCGTTGTGTGCAGTCTTATATTGCCCAAGTTGCCCCGACTAACTCATTTGTAGAATTCGATCTCTTCTCCGACGTCACTCGAGTTGTTGATCTTTGCGCGGCTCCAGGAAGTTGGTCTCAGGTTCTATCTCGAGTCTTAATCAAAGGAGAAAAGTTCGGTCGAGCAGCATGGGAAGACAAGGAGGCAAGAATGCGACAAAATATCCTTGGAATTACACAACCTATAGTAGAAGAGACGCAGAAGTCAGATCAGGCCGAATTGAAACCAAAAAAGGATGTCAAAATTGTGGCCATCGATTTGCAACCCATGAGTCCTTTACAAGGAATTATAACACTTCGAGCAGATATTACACATCCGGCGACAGTTCCATTACTTCTAAGTGCTCTCGATTCGTCTTATGATCCAAAATCCCTCTCTCAACAAGCGTCCAACCCCGTGGACCTCGTTATTAGCGATGGTGCTCCTGATGTTACGGGTCTTCATGATCTAGACATATACGTTCAATCACAATTGCTTTTCGCGGCTTTGAATCTTGCCCTTTGTGTCCTTCGTCCAGGTGGAAACTTTGTAGCTAAGATTTTTCGAGGCAGGAATGTTGATCTTCTTTTCGCACAATTGAAGATATTCTTTGAGCGAGTGGTTGTCTCAAAACCAAGATCAAGTCGTGCAAGCAGTGTAGAAGCTTTCATTGTCTGTCTAAATTTTCAACCTCCGGAAGGATTTAAAGCTAGTATGGAAGATCCAATGGGTGTTGGGGATGGATCATCCAAAGTGGTCGATACAGCTGTTAGCAAAGAGCCAATAGTTTCACCTGTTCATTTACAAAATTCCGAAGACGGGACTTGGTCAGAAAGTCGAGTCGAGACATCGATACGAAGAGAAGATGGAATTTGGGAAGTCAAACTTCCTACGGATGAAGCTAAATATAGAAAATCAGGAAGATGGATAGCTCCATTTTTGGCATGTGGAGATTTGTCTGGTTATGATGCTGATGCTTCATATCATTTGCCAAAGGATCGAATTACACTTGATCCAGTACAACCTCCAACAGCACCTCCATACAAGAGAGCTCTTGAAATGAGGAAAGCTGCTGGTGGGGCATATGGAAAAACTACGACGGGCAGACATGATCGGGAATCATGACGTTTCAAGGGCATAGCAAGGCGTTGGGTTAGGGGAATACATGAACATTGGATGGTAGACGGGTTGTATCACTCTCAAGGGGAAAAAGTTCAAAGAGACAAGGCCTTTTTTCATGAATGAATGAATGAATGAATGAACGAACGGAAACAAAATCATCGAAAAATTCGTACTACAACAACACTACCCTTCCATCTGTGAACCCGTGTCATTTTTCAAGAGTCTCTCGACATAAAAAACCTGTAATTCGTGATCAGAGTCGTGTGCTACAGTGGGGGTCTTCTTAACAATGGTGGGAAAGAAAGTCTCTCCTCTGCCTGCTTGGCCCGCTTGAGAATGTCGTCATATTCGGATTCTGTAGCCTCATCTACAACAAATAGGTTAGATGGCCGAGTTGGTCTAAGGCGCCAGGTTAAGGTTATAGATTCATAAGAACTTATATTCAAACTCCTGGTCTAGTAATAGGCGTGGGTTCAAATCCCACTCTAATCAATATAACTTTTGACATTTTATCGTTTTTGAAGCAGTTTCTTGCAGGACAGCCAACTGGTTGGTTGGTTAAATGTTCAGGAATGAGATCCAAAAGATTACTCTTTTGCTCGGGAATCCGATTCTGGGATACTTTCCCCAACTCGATCCAGTCAGATAAGAATTTTCATGCATGTTAAAAAATTTGATAGAGAAGGCAACACGCTTCGGGGCTTTTATGTTACCCAATTAGATCCACTTTGACCAACAGCTACTCCACAAGACGTTCAACCCTACCCACCATCGCTTAGTCTTTATCTCTCCACTACATCCACATCTTTTTCCACAGATGAGCAAAAAGAAAGGAAAGAGACAAAAGTAACTCCCTCGGGTGGGCTTGAACCACCAACCTCTCGATGAATCTGCGATTGAATTGCTTCAAAGTAACAGTCGAACGCGCTAGCCAATTGCGCCACGAGGGATGTTAATCTTGTTATGTTCAGAGAGCTTTAGTTGCGTTCATATAACACGTTCTTGTTGTGGTTCGCAAAAGAGAGAGCTGGTAAGATATCAACTCTCTATAGTATTTGGAACAAGGAATGGGTAAAGGTGTTTAGATGGGAATGGATAGACCTCTGAAGAGCTTATCAAGACACTCGGAATAGATCTTGTCACCTGCCATGTGGACATTTCAATTCTATCAATTCACTGCGTACCATGGATTGTAACTTGCCTTTTCTGACCCAGCCCTTGGGGACGATGATCTGGACTTACAGAGATTAACGAAATATCTAAGATAGTAACCGTTAAGGGGCATGTCTCTGATCGAGTACATGAACAATCAAATTTCAAGGGGCATTTAAGTGTCCAAGTCACTAAGGTTTAGGTCGCGAACGCTGGTATGATCTACATATATCATTTCTGGGAAGAGATGTATTTGCGACGAAGTATATGTTTGCCAAAACCACATCTCTTAGAGTGATATTACTACAATTACCAAGATAGCAATGTCATTATGTCAAAGATATAACCTGACAAAAGATAAGGGTAGTAAATGATTTCCATAGAATGCACCAGCACTTCAGTATGTCATCCACTTGGCCATTGTTAATCCTAAAAGAATCAGTATTCGCAGAACGAAATAAGATATTGACTCTTTAACGAAGCAATATTTCAGAACGATATGAAAGACAATGCGATGCCTGCGATAGCCGAAACTTTACCTGCTGGCTTACTGAAATCGTCTTCGAGTATACCGAACTGATCGGACTCCGAACCATCTATAATTTGTTTCTCGATGATTATAAGCTACCGCATGAGAGCCAAAACCAATATCGTACGGGCATTCTCAAGTGGCCATGCAGCTGCAGTACCAAATTATCTCTTCTGAATCCTGATACGGAATGTACGGTTTATGGTGCCAGGAAAGGTTCCTGATATGTCCATTCACGTGGATAATGTTAGCTTAGCTCTTTCACACGACCTGTCCATCTACTTTACTATCTTGGATTCTTGGATAATGCAAAGAGAATCGATCCATATCTGATTTATATTTCGGTGCCAGGCAATAGATACGATACAGCTTCTTTGAACTTTAAAAGGTATTTGTGGGGAGGGAGGTGACTCAGGTGAGGATGATTCCAGACGCTCTATCAGAGAAGGTGTTTTCGGAAGTCGTGATAGGGGCATGTATGATGTGCATCGTCACAACAGTAACTGAGTGTTGTGTATCCCTTGGTTTTTCCATGGCTATGGATTAAAGAGACTTCACCATCAGATTCAACCCGACTAACATCAAGCACATAGGTGGATAACCCTAACACATCAAGCATATCAACTTCACGGCACTGGTGTTTCCATGAGAGCGAAACTATCTAGACTAACGGCGGCCTTGCCTTGGTTGAGCCAGTCCCTAAAATGGCGAATCGCATCCCGCATCTCAATACGTGGAGGAATATGTGGATGAGATGTAAACATGGCCACACAGAAGAATGGCCTCGAGGTTTCAGTTACATCTATGCTTTGGAGTTAAGTTGTTGCAATCTTCCTAAGTGGTCTTACTAGGTAAGGATGGTATGGATGGTATGAAGGCATGGACATTGGAGATTGATGTTATACTCGTTTGAGTCGTCTGAATCATCACTTCACTCAGAAAATATTTCAATGGTTGGATAACACCATGTTCGATACAAACAGATAGATACTCACTGATTCCAGTTGCAGAGAGTAATTGTCGGTTGCCGTTTCTGAGATTGTTGAATATAGCTTACATTCACAGCCCCTAACTGCCACTCGCCTTAGAATTTATCTTAATATGGATACAATATACCAGATGAATTTCATACTCTCCAATTGATGCGGGGTAAGGCATAGCCGTATGTATTAGCATTTACCCACGGATAATAAAAACCTAAAGGACTAGTGATGGGAGCGGGAGGAAATACGTGTAGGATAGTCAGGTGAGAGATAGGATAAAATTAGGTTTGGTGAAGTCTCCACTCCACTCCACTCCTCTTCGCTTGCTAACTAACCCCTTCTCATGTTCTCAGTGTCGTATATATGGGCTATCCTGTATGCAGGATAAAGTCTCAGATAGGTGTGCGTTTGCATTCCAGTATACCGTTTAGCGGCCTTTACACTTCTATTCCCTACTCTTTGTCCGAGGTGAAGGTTCTTCAGTATTTCACACCTATTTCCCTCGATACAGAGATCTTGCATCTTCTAGATATATAGTGCTTTTCATCTCACGACGCGGACCAATAAAATATCGGTACGTATTATAAGTACATGCAAAACAACAAAGAGATTTATCTTATCGAAATCTAATTTCCCCTAATTTCCTAATTTCTCAACTGCCGTAAAATCTATCATAAGAAGTAAGCCCAAAAGGGAGAAATGCTCCGTCAACACATACAGTAGTGTCTAAACGAGCACACCTTCCAATTCGGCAGTATTACCAGTCTGGGACTCCGGATCCCCGATATTAAATTTAAACTTATATGCGGCTTATGAATGTGCCGGCTTACCCCGCAGATTCAATTACCAAGATCAGCCTGCGTGCTGCCGATTGGAACGCATGGAACATCTTTGAAATTTAGGGACCTTAAAGTCCGGTATTGGACATAGATTCGTTTGCGGGTATTAGATCCCCGGTCTTACTCCACAGATCTAACTACAAACCTATCCGTTTCCTGAATGAAAAGAGGACCGCATGGCCAAAGTGCGGGGAAGTTACTCCAATTATCATGGATAGAGTGTACGTTTTTTTGGCTAAACCGCCTACCATTATACGGGGTGCATAAATGGCCTGAGTTCCCCTTTAAATTGGTGCAGTAACTTTCTAGTATTGTTTAAACAGGGTCTTGTGACATAGAGAAAGCTGCTTCTCGCGAGCATCAGAGGTGGAATAAAAGGTTATATAATATAATTCTGAGTCTTCCGGGTGTTTTGATGCATGATGCTGCGGTATCTACCAGTACATATACCCCAGGGTAAATATATGGAGATGTGCTATGCGTGCCAATTAGCAACATGCAAGCCAATCTTCACATATTAGATGAAAATGATAAAAAGGTCAGACACCAACCCTTTGAGGTAGCTGTTCGAAGTCAGTGGCCATTCAAGTTTCTCGTTGGCGATTTCAAACGCTTACAAGCTTCCCCATCTTACCATTTCAACAAGAGTGACCAGATATGTTATCAAGATCAAACCTCGAACGCGTCGGCGTACTCGCTCTAGGCCTTGTTGCTACAAGCTCCCTTGTTGCTGCTGGACCTTGCGACATCTACTCTGCTGGAGGGACGCCCTGCGGTAAGCTTATTTGGTTCATTGATTCTAAATCCCCTAATACCCACTCCTATTCCCTGACCCCAAGGTTCAATTTCACGTTTCATCTTGTACATCCTCTTCATTTCTTCCTCAGATTCCCCTGGAACACTTTGATAGGCAATTGCTGATTTACCGAACTTATAGTCGCCGCCCACAGCACTACTCGCGCTTTGTACAGTGCCTTCAACGGCGCACTCTATCAGGTATGTGCTCGGATTTTTCGCTTCACTCCCTGATGCCCAATTCCGTTCCTGATCCCAAACTCCGATTTTATGTTGTATCTTGCGGCACCTTTCTGTTTCCTAACGCGGCTTTGACTCCTCACTATCTTCCAAGGTATCTGATTGATAGGAAATTACTTACTCTCCGATGTTGTATTAGGTGAAACGCGGCTCTGACGGTGCCACAACCAACATTGCACCGCGTTCCGCAGGCGGTGTTGCGAATGCTGCTGCTCAAGACAATTTCTGCGCCTCCACTACCTGCCTCATATCGATAATCTACGACCAGTCCGGTCGAGGTAATCACCTTACACAAGCTCCTCCCGGCGGCTTCCGCGGCCCTGATACTAATGGCTACGACCATTTGGCCAGCGCAACTGGCGCACCGGTCACGCTAAATGGTCAAAAGGCGTATGGTGTATTCATTCCACCCGGAACCGGCTACCGTAACAATCGTGTTAACGGCATAGCTACAGGTGATGCTGCGGAAGGCATGTACGCGATTCTGGATGGGAAACACTTTAACGGTGGCTGCTGTTTTGACTACGGTAATGCCGAGACAAATAGTCTTGATACGGGTAACGGTCACATGGAGGCTATTTACTTTGGCGATATCACTGTTTGGGGAAAAGGATCTGGACCCGGACCTTGGTTGATGGCTGATCTCGAAAACGGTCTGTTTTCTGGTGTCGGCCCAAAGACCAACAATGGTGACCCGTCTATCTCCTCTCGTTTCTTCACTGCAATCGTGAAAGGGAAAGCAAACCAGTGGGCGCTTCGCGGCGCTAATGCTGCTTCCGGCCCGCTGTCAACATACTACAGTGGCGTGCGCCCAAACGTATCTGGCTATAACCCAATGCGCAAGGAGGGTGCTATCATTCTCGGGATCGGTGGTGATAACAGCATCGGCGCCCAGGGAACCTTCTACGAGGGTGTAATGACCACTGGCTACCCATCCGATGCCACCGAAAACGCGGTGCAGGCCAACATCGTAGCCGCTAGATACGCCACAACGTCATTGACTAGCGGATCAGCTTTCACCGTCGGTTCCTCGATTTCGCTTCGAGCCACCACGGCCGGTTTTTCATCACGTTACATCACACACACCGGCTCCAGCGTGAACACACAGGTCGTCTCGTCATCCAGTACTACTGCCCTCAAAAAGCAAGCTAGCTGGTATGTTCGCACCGGCCTTGGCAATAGCGACTGCTTCTCTTTTGAGTCAAACGACAATCCCGGCAGCTACATACGGCACTATGACTTTGGTCTTCTGCTCAACGCCAACGATGGCAGCAAGGCGTTCCATGAGGACGCCACATTCTGCCCGCAGACCAGCCTTAATGGCCAGGGTAGCTCGATTCAATCCTGGAACCATCCTACCCGCTATTTCCGCCACTACAGCAACGCGCTATACGTTGCGAGCAATGGCGGTGTGAAAGCTTTTGACCCTGCCACCTCATTCAACGACGACGTGAGCTGGGTGGTTAGCACTGGCTTCGCTTGAGTACCACCCGCCTGGGTCAGCAATTACATCAACTTGGTAGGCCATCTAGTTACAAAACGACGTTTGATGTAATGTGCCCAGTGTAGGTAGAAAGAACATGTATAGGAAGGCTGTTTTATCTTGTTACAATTTCCCACCAAAAGGTACATAGCCAGGGTATAAAATAACCACCATCTCCCAAAAAAAACATAGTCCCAATGTGTCTAGTTCAAAACCCCAAACCAGCTGAACCAATTCTCAAAAGTAGGAAAAGCAGCCGAATAATTTCCCCAAAATTCACAAACAATGGTCTACTCCTTCATAACGGGATCCTCACTTACACCCCTCCCATGTTCAAACTCACCCATTTCTCCAGCCTCCTCCCTCAAAGCTGTAGTCCGTCTCTTTCTTCTCCAAACAACCAGTACTTGTTCCAGTAGCGCAATAACGGCATATACACCCGCCATGACAGCCACATCGATAATTTGGTCGCTAACTGGATATTTACTTTCTTTTCTCCCATTGATTCCATATTGTTGCTCTAATCCAATGGCTTGCACGACACTCATGATAACCCCTCCTATCCAAACCAAGATATTTATCCCCTGCCACCACTTTATACGTCCTTGTGTTCCTTCACTCCAAAACAAGAAAGCCGAGAGAAGAAGCCCGACGTATGCGAATGGCAATAAGCCAATGCCGTAATGAAGGAGAGATAATCGCACAATTTCCAGAGTGAGCATGAGAATGTTGCAGATGATGAGGATGTAGTAGATACTAAGGAAGACGAGGTAAAGACATGAGGAGCGGGTATTGGAGCGCAGGTGTGCGGTGGATGGGTTGTAGTTTATTTTGCGGTGATGGAGGCCTAGAGCGAAGAGGATGGGGACGAAGACGAGAGCAAGCCAGGTTGGGAGGGGAATGAGAATCACGTCGGTGAAACATGTTGTGGGGAGGGTGGAGGAGTTGAGGTGGGATGATGGGCCCTTGAGGGGATATCAGTGGGGTGGAGTTGAGGGGACATGTATGGGAACGTACGAAAGCTTCGGGTCTGTTTGTGCAGAGCATTGTGAAAGGTCTATAATTTTTATAACGATGGTGAGAGATAACACGCAATGGGATTCCTGGTCTGATCCAATCTCGCGAATTCGTTGTTTTCGTTTCGAAAAATTCTCTGTTCGCACAGCACTCGTCTGGAGTTCTGAAGTCTTTGTAAATTTGTGTATCTTGTGTCGATACTGTCCAGTTATTCAACCGATATCCAAATTGATCATTCCATTCCTAGTCAAGAATTCCTTCGTTCGTGTAGAATTTTGATTGTTTCACAATCTCTCGTTCGTACCACAGACAATCTTCGCTCGGAGAAACAAAACAGAACTTGTGATTATATCACGCAGGCATAGGAAGATAGGGAAACGGGGAGCAGGAATGAAGATACAACCAGTATCAAGAAGAATAAGTATCAAAGAAAGTTGACCTACTCCGTACGCATTTCACTAGAGGCGTTCGGGATGTCTCCTTCCCGGGGGATCAGCGGTCAGTGAGCCTCAGTGAACCTCAGTGATACGAAAATTAGGATATTAATAGGCTTATGATGATACTGTAGTCTGTAAGATGTGAGGGCGTCAATTGATTTGTGTTTTGTTGTTCAGAGCTCCCTTCCATTTCGTATAGTCTTTGGGGATTCATGTGTAAAGGAATGACTGCCGGTTTTGCTGTTCGTTCAAGAGACAGGAGCGAGGGACAATATAGCAAGAGAGAATCCATGGTTTCGGTAACGAAGATATCCGTGGATATGACTGTTAAGGTACCTTGTTGATAATTGGATCGACGCTTGTAATGATGTTGGAAGGCATTCTAGGGGAGGAGCAATGAAGGCAAGCTTAAGAGAGTTATCATTTGTGTGATATTCTCGATGTAAAGCGGCGGCAAATATTTGCGCTCGTGAAGGTTTTATCTAAAAGCGGCGGTATCACTTTGTACTTTACCCCGTAACATCCATCACCCATCCCCTTTCTACCCTCGCTTCTTGTCGTTCGTATAGTCATCGGTGTCTTTGCTATTCGGTTTTCTTACTTGCAGCCCCTTCATTTACCGAAGACGAGGCATATGCATTTTCCTGGGTGTGCTGCTAATAAAACTTGATGGCTCTTGATGGCTCTGTTCTTTCTAAGTCTACTACCCCACTTTCGGGCCACCCTAAAAAAAAAGACCCCCATCTCCCACACCATATAACTCAACAACTATTCAACTTCAATAAAATCGCCTGTACCATCACTTTCAATTGTACCATCGCTATCTTCAGTCTTAATTTCATGGTTTCTAGCCACGATTTGCGCCTCCCTAATAACTCTAATCCCTGTAAACCTGGTATTTGGATTAATAACAATCTTACATCTTTTCTCAAATATAACAATATCTAATTGATACTCTAATTGCTTTATACGTTTCCCCGATTCTATAAGATTATAGTTCTTGATATCAAAAGCTTTAATAATCTTACGAAAAAGCAAGTATCTCGTTGCCAAATCGGGCTCTTTTTCTTGAATCATAATTGATGTATATAATCAAAGATTCATTGCTTTTTGAGGGGTTCTCCAAGTAATAACTAATGTCCCTATGTTCTATTAAAGCTGGGAATCATTATCAAAGACTAGATTAGATACTAAAACCTCTTGGTTACTATTCTTAAGCAATAATCAATTCATAAAGGGTTTAGTGTAATTTTTGGGCTATAGATCTAATACTTTCTATCCAGCTTTAATATTATGAGTTATTAGACCTTCCATTCTAGCCTTCTAATAGTAATGAAGGAAACTACGCTTTTCAATTGGTGTAGAATCAGAGAGAGAATTCAGATTATTGAATACATATCGATAGGTATTTTTCAGAGGTGAAAAGACTAATAAATCTAATGATTATAGGACATATAACATATGTGGTAGTAGAAATAGAAGATATATATTACTTTCAAAACATTTGTATATAAAAGACATAGTTTTATAATTTCCATACCTATCCAATATAAGTAATCGTGATTCTCTGGCTTGAAAGGGGGTAGTTTGAGGTATAAAGACCTTTTCCAACCATTTTAGTTCCATTATATCTATAATCCATCTATTTTCTGAGCAGTAAAGTTCCAATCCTTATAAAGATCAAAATCAGTGAGAAACCATTATTATTGAATATGTTTTCCCTTATATATAACAAATGGTTTGAAAGCCCATCCTATCACCGAAATATATTTGATAAAAGATATCCAAACTCTTGAACTAGACTGTTTTTTTTTTAATATGATAACACTGGAAGTTTCCTACTACTAGTTCATTAAGACCTTGATGCTTTATTATACCAGCCTCGTCTATATTATATCGATTTTCAGGTTTTATATCGATAATCTCTAGTAAATCGAGTTTTCGAAACTATAGTGCAATAATATCATATGAAGCACCCAAAACTCGGGCAGAATCGATCTTATATTGTCTCTTGGTTTTAATCTCTGGATTTCTCTCCAAAAAGTTGTATATCCATCATTTCCCAAGAATAGAATCGATTTCTTTTATATCAAGAAGATATTTTTCAATTTCACGAATTTGCTAATAAATAGAATTAGTACCTAAGCTCTTTTATATTAATATCTATTCTATTAGTTATTTCTTCTGAATCGGGATAATCTTTTGTATCATTTGGGTACCTTTTTTATAAGAGACTTGTTTATTGATACAGTTTTGAAGTATAGTATAAGAAATCCTATAATCCAGAACAGCTTTTTGTACTGAAACACTATTTGCGATAACATTTAAGGCTTTAGCAATATTGTCTTCCTTATAGAGGTTCGTCATTATATGAATAATAATATTTTCAAAATTTGAAATCAATTGATTGAATGGTTGTTTAATCATGAAATATTTAAGAAGGTAGGTTGCTGAGGCGGTGTGGGTTTTTAGGGTGGCCCGAAAGTGGGGTAGTAGACTTATACGCAGCCTCGGTCTTTGTCCTCTTCGCAGTTTATTCGGGCATTCTCTTCTTTCCGCTTGTTAGTTTGGTCTTCGGCTTTCCATTGCCTCCATCGCTTTGATGGTGTCGATTTGAGAAGCTTATCTTTCTTGGTAAGGTTACAGGGGTTGCGTCAAATTGAGTACAACTTTCCGAGTTCATTGATTGATGAGTGATTAGGATTAGCTGAGTGTAAGTAATTCATCTATCGAAAAGTATTGATGATATTAGTGTTCGTGACCCAAGTGTTTGTTTCAATATATGAAGGGTATCAAGAAACCCCTGGTACCCTCTAACTTTTATATACATCAGATTAGCCTGATTAGGTGGGTGTTTATGGGAATTGCTAGTCCTAGTAAGTGAATTCCAGCAATGAATATTGGAAAGAGAAAGCCCAGCATGAGTGATGATGTATTCACAACTCTTCTGAATTTTCTGTATAAGTTCTGGTAGGGTAAAGGACCAAATACAGTCTTTGATCTCTTTAGATATATTTGGAAATCTCAATACACTGGGGTGGTGACTGAGATATTGGGTTATTTTGATTTTTGTATAGATATTGATTTGATGATTGACGAAGTTTATACATTGTGGGCTGGCTTTTGATAACTTCAAAATTTGCGTCGACTACTCCAAGTAATTTGATCAATAAAGCTTTGAAAGCCTTTTTCTATACATGAAATGTTGTGGTCATTGCCTTTACGGCTCGCTTAGCAGGGTGGAAACCTGGTGGGATTGTATATGTCAAGGTGGAAATCAATTTAGTAGACTAGATGATATATATCACTGTTCCTGGAATATTGAGATAGCTATGGGTTATATTGGGTCAGGTTATTCAAAGATTGGATTAGACTGAGAGACTAGACGGGATACTCGATTATTGAAAAAGTCACACAACAATCAAGAGTTGACTTCTTGATTGTTGATTTAGATTACAAGGTCCAGGGCAAGATAAATTAGAAGGGAGCTAAAGCCGTTTGTATTGAAAAGAACACAACAATAAAAATTTAAAAATAAAAATATAACAAAGGAAATGCAACAATAAAATAATCGGACTATACACAATTCTGAAAGGTCTAGCATATGCACATTAAAGGACATTCTAATTGTCATAATATTTCGCAACACTAGAAAGTCAAATTGGATGATCTAAAGGAGTTGGAAGTTGACAACAGGATTAAAATTGTTTATTATTTCAAAAGAATCATAATGGTTGTAGTTTGATGGAATGATCAGATTTCAGGGTATTTGTAAATTAGGAATCAAGTACTGTTGTCTCAACCTTTGACTAATATATTGTCATTAACGGTAGGTCAATACAGGTTCGTAGCCAGCACTATCTTCAAATGAAGATTCGATATCACTAATATCCAATCACTTCATCCATACAATTCCCGGTCACCCATCCATTCCTGTATTCATCACTTTAGACAAATCAGGGCTCAAGCCTCCAATTGTCCCTCCCCTTGCGTTCCCAGAATTCAGAAATAAATACCAAGACCCAAGTCACCCTGACTCTCGACCAGCAACTTCGGAGTACCCTCCACAGAAGAAACACCAGCACCAGCAAATGGATTCTGACTAACTTTCGGTGTCAATCCTTGATCCTCATCCTCCTCCAACCTTAGCTGTCTCAAAACCTCTCCCCTTTCTCCTCTTCTCTCCGCATCCTTCTCTCTCTCCTCTCTTTCCTTCCTCTCTGCCACTTTCGCAGCCACTGCCTTTGAAACGCAGGCGCGGCATCGCTGTTTGAGTTGCAAAAGTTGAAATGTAGATTTTCCGCCGTTCTTGTCGCTACATTTGTTATCCTTCGGTTCTTTCATGGCGAGGAAGATATCGCAGTGTTCCCGCTTAGTTTGTGTTCCCGTGTCGCAGTACTCAAGACAGGCGTAAGTGATGTAGTTTATACGGCACATTTTGGTGGGTTGTGGAGGATTAATAGAGGTAGATGGGTTGGTGAAAAGAGGCAGGATTTGCTGGGAGTAATCCAAAGTGTATCTCAGAAGTAGGAGTATCAGAATTCTCACAGTAGATTCTTGGAGGAAATCTGTAAGATGATTGGTGTGGAAATCTGTAGTAGTCTGAGTTTATGATCTTGTTGTTGTTGTTGTTGCTGTGGTGGTTGTTCTTGTTGTAAGGAAAATGCAGCATCAGAGTTTTGGGATCTATCAATCTGTATATAAGCAAGTAATGAGTATGATCGAACCGTACATACGGTTGTTCGAACAACTCGGTACAGCTCCTCAACAAGGGTAATCTGCCGTACAGTATTTAGGCTCTAATGCATGTCAGTCAAACATTCACTATTGTTTCTACATTGTTCTTACATTATTCCTTAATTTATCAATATAATATGTTTCCAAGCCAACAAAAAGGAGATGTCACTTACTGATCTGAAGGATACTATGTGCTCATCAAATATATTCGACTTGATAGAACAACTTTACAAGGAGAAGTTAGGATTTGAGAAAATCTTCCTCGAAGTAAGAGAGATTTAAACTCAACATTTTGAATTCCAGTTTACAATTGATGTTATATTATCGAACATAGAACAGACAAACTAATCCAGAACCATGCTTTGATACAAGAAACTGAAGAAGTCTAATCATTGAAAGCTAAGACAAAAGGTGTCATCCTCTGAAAATATGATAAAAGATTTACACTATTATATCGAATGTAGAACGGAGGAATGTACACATGTTCTACAACCTCATCAGTATATAAACTATGAGTGAGAAGTCAACCGTATGTTCCGATTAGTCTATCGGAATTGCTATACAAGTGTACTATCCAAGCTCTCGATAAGCTCTACGTACGTAACAATTGGGGGAAAACATTTCTCTGGGTTTTAGATAAGATAGAAGTAACTCATGCTCCATTACCATCACTGCGAGCTCTTTTACATATTGCAGTCTATGTACTACTAGTTCCTATCATTGATGTCGCTATTGCTCTCTACCAAGGTTAGAGGAGTCAGTAGAACACATCTATCTTTTCCAAAGTTCTTAGTGAATAGCGTATTAAAACTCCACTTTTACACCCATCCTCCTCTCTCCTCCTATCCTAGGCCTAGGATGGAGCTTCTAGTTTCTATATCCTATGGATTTTGTAAATATGCCTATACTACGGTATCTAATCTTTAAAAATATATTATTTATCCTCATACACACAGCTGTCTACACAAAACAGATATCCCAACCAATCCTCCCAAAAGTAACAAAGCGATTCTACGACGCTAAAACCCACTCTCGACAATCAAACAAACAATATAAGATTACACTAGCATTTTGATACGAAATACTCGATTCTAGACTGCAGTCGCAACTATTAGAAACCCAAGTCCCCCTCTTCACTCCAATTATTCTTGCACTGTAGTCTGTATCTAGCCAGGCGTTATATTCGTTCATTCATGACAGACAGTCTACAGACAGATGGAGTTGTACCCATTGGTCTGTGTCGAAACCGGATACTTATTCAGTTTCAACTTGAAGTTACAACTACATTCCATTACTAGTAGGAAGGAAATCGAAACCCGTGACTATTATATACATTACACATATTATACGAACATTTTCCGAATAAAACCTATCCTTATTATTATCCATATCCATATCCCTATAAATACCATACACATCCACAAACACTCCCCCCAGCTATTCCCCATCTCAACCACCCCATCCATCACAATCCATACTAAAAACCCACAACATTAAGGTTACCCCGCAAACCTTCTTATATCATATCCCTTAAATCTCATATCCCTTAAATATCAAAACTTAAACATCAAAACTTAAAATTCAAAAGTCAAAACTTACCATAAATTCCAATAGCCGAAACCAGGCCCCAGAAAATTTTACTTTGAAGTTGGCTATGAATAATGAGCCTACCTAGTACATATGATGAATTAAGCGAGCGTGAGCGTTACAATAGCTTAATTATTAGTAAGCTCTAGCACTATCTATCTACTAGTAGTTCTCTCTCCCTCCCTCTTTCTCATCTAATCTTGATTCTTAACTAACTAATGAATCAATGAATTAAATGCCCCTTTTTCAAAAACTGTTACTATCACTATCAATATTACTATCACTATTCCTACTACTAATCACTATCACTAAAAGCCATATATTCCATTCTAACACATACCAATAAATCCATAATTAATGGCTGGCCTGGCATGGCTATTGTAACAACTGTACTAACTACTAACTTATAAAATATTTGTCAGTGGGAGGTTTGAAATCGTATCATTGATTATTGTGATCGAGTAGTGTAGTGTATAATTAGTGTCTACTATCTTGCATGGAGTATGAAGTATGAAGCATGAAACATAAAGCCTCACTGGTCCTAGTTTTGGTTTTGGTTTTAGTTTTAGTTTTAGTTTTAGCTAGGGGTGTGGTACAGTACAGTGGTAATATAAGGCTTCATTTGCATTTTGGACTCTTGAGTTAAATGTCAAATGTCAGATCGATAGTTAACATCGCGAAAAGTTTGATGTGCTCGAGTATGTATATCATATGAAGTGAGCACCCGGACAGAGTTCATTGTCATAAGTGTATGATACCAAATTTATGATTTTCATTTCTCTAATACCAATTAGACGATAAACTAGCCACGATCCCATCTAACTACTGTATCTAAGTTCTCGCCTTAAAACCTAGCCCTGGCACCGAACTTCTTAATGCCAAACTACTCAAAACCACACTAATGCTACTCATCGCCATGGCCAAACTCGCCCATACGGGATCCAATCTGACATGGTTGCCTGCACTAACAATCGGAAAGAATACGCCTGCGGCCACTGGGAGCGCAATAATATTATAGATCAATGCCCAAGCGAAATTAAGTTTGATTCTTCTGAAGACCATTTTGCTCAAGTCCAGTAGCGTCAGTAACGAATGCAAGTTACTAGAAACCAGCACGAATTCCGCGGATGAAATGGCGATATCGGAGCCGGATCCAATAGCGATACCTACATCGGCCACAGTGAGAGCAGGAGAGTCGTTGATGCCGTCTCCGACCATTGCTACCAATGCTCTTTTGGGGGAGGAATTATGCCTGTTTGCGCGACGAGAATGGAGTGATTTCTGGAGATAGGAAATTTGCTTGGCCTTTTCAGAGGGGAGAACGCCTGCGATGACATTGGTGGAGGGAATACCGACTTGTTTACCGATAGCGATGGCTGTGATGGGATTATCGCCAGAAAGCATCCAGACATCTGTACCGCGGGCTTTGAGAGAAGTGATGACGGACACGGCTTCGGGGCGGATAGGATCGGAAATGGCGAATATGGTGGCAAGTTCGTATGAACTGCCAAGTGCAGTCTGAGACCAGGCAACGAGAGCGATGGATTTGCCTTGAGTTTTCCAACTATCAATTTGGGACTGACGGTGTATTTTAACACCGTACTGTTTCAAGAGAGCTTCGTTGCCTATTAATAATTCTGAGTCATCGAAAATGGCTTTCATTCCATAGCCTGGCATTTCTTCGATATTGATAAGCGTGGCGAGTTTTCCTTTGGTACAGAATGAGGCAAGAGCTTTGGCTACCATGTGGCTGCTGTTTTCCTCTGCAATCTTGATCATATTGAGGAGATTTCGTTCTTCGTCTGTGATGTTGCTTGAGACAATCCCATCATCTGGGACAATAGCATTGTTCGGATTGTTCATGACAAATTCGTAGTTTGTAACAGTTGGTTCGCCGCCAAGGGTTAGAGTTCCAGTCTTGTCGAAGACAACACAATCAAGCATGCTTGCTTTTTCAAATGCTTCACCACCACCCTTTACTAAGATACCATGATGTGCTGCAAGACCACCACCAACGAAAAGTGCGGTAGGAGCAGCTAATGCTAGACCACATGGGCATGCCACAACAAAGACAGCAATGGCAAATTGAAGAGACCAAACTGCCCAACCACTAGAACCGCGATAATCGTCTGGCAAGGTTCCTGAAAGTCCCAGAGAAAGCCAAACAGTAAAAGTAATGATGGCGATGAGAGTAATGACAGGTACAAAGTAACCGGTCAAGGTGTCTGCAATCCGTTCCATAGGTGCTCTTTTGGTTTGTCCCTCACGAACGGCCTTGACAATTTGATCGAGCATTGACGAGCCAGCAACACCCGTGATTTTAACAGTCACCGGGGATTCCTTGTTGACAGTTCCAGAAAATACTTCATCACCTGCGCCTTTTTTGACCAATTTTGCCTCTCCTGTCAAACTAGATTCGTCAAATCTGGTCTCGCCTTTTATAATTCGACCGTCACAAGCTGGAGAACCACCATGCAAAACCTTGATGGTATCACCAAATTCAAGTAAATCAACGTTGACGCTTGTCATAGACTCTTGACGATCTGAAGTTCTTGAATGTTCATCAGAGTATGGGACAATGAAGCCTCTGGCAAGCTCCTCTTGGCCATCTGTCACTCTTGATAGTTCACCAGAAGTTGGGACGACTAAAAGCGCTTCCGTAGGTCGCAGCTTCCCTAACATGGTAACGGCATCATCAGTTCTTGACTTGCTGTAAGCTTCAATGAGACGTCCAATGAGTAGAAACAAAGTCAAGAAGACAACCGAATCGAAATAAAATGAATTATCATCCGCCATAGCTTTTGGATGAACTCCTGCAGCTATCAATTGAGCCAAGGAAGATACATAGGCAATGGTAGTACCCAGTGACATGAGCATGTTCATGCTTCCAAAACGGTAGAATCTCTCCAAAATTGGTGTCGTGCTGCCAGGTCTCCATAACGATCGGATCTCCTTCAAAGCTCGTCTATGGAAGACATCAGCACAAAGAAAGTATACTGGCGTAGCCATAACGAGAAGAGCCCACTGCGCACGATTGACGCCAGCCCTCAGAGGTTGCATGAGATATTGTCGGGTAGGATTAGATGACGGTACCAAACTCATGAAGATAATCCCAATAATCAGAGTAGGAATGGCGATGATAAAGGTGAGGATGACTCGAAGCAGTATTCGCTGTTGCTCTCGTCGGTGAATCATTCGGGATCGTTCCTCGATGGTGGGTGGATGATATATTGTTGGGTTGAATCCTTCTTCGACTGCGGTAATTCTGGCCAGAATCTGCCTAATCGTGAAAGTTGGTGCTGATGGGATGTAACTTATTTTGAGTATTGGGTTCTCTAAACTCAGGGCTCTCTCGATAGTAATGCGATCATCAAAATCTTTGATGCTGTCATTGATTCGTGGAGGACAATGACTACAATACATGCCATCCACCATAATCTCCACTGTTCTCAGCACTTGTCGTTTCTGAGGCTCCGGCTTCAAATCGACAACACTATCCAAGGCTGCATCATACCCAAGATCTTCGATTTCTTCAACTATGTCAGATGTGTATTTCTCATCATCGAAGTCAACTGTAGCACTATTCGAAATGAGATTGACGACGACATCCTTAACCCAAGACTTCTTCTTCAATCCTACCACGATATTATTGGCGCAAGCCGCACATGTCATTCCACCAATAGCCAATGATGCTCGAAAAGTTTGAGAAGAGATGGAATCGATTGAATCGATGACAACCAAAGCATTTGTCTTCCCGCCGTCTGACATTATTTTGCTAGTATCTGTTGTACCGTCGTTCCCATTGCTATTACTTCCACTTGCATGTGATGGCCCAGGCTGTGAGAGCGGATGAAAATTTGATTGTCCCAACTTCGAAACATTCTTCCCACCAGCTTCCCGACGACATATTTCACAATTCTCCAAATGTCGGTCAAAGTCTAAGTCAAAGTGTGACAATGTAGCCTGGTTCGAAGGTTTTTTGGTAGCTGACCATCTTTGAAGAACTTGATCTAGGTACCCTGCATCGGTGTCGTGTTGTATGTGTGATTTTGCAACGCTACCATCCTCCTCAGATGTAACATCGCACACATCAAATCCAGCGGATTGCAAAGCCTTCCGTATCGCTCTAGTAGATAAATCTTTCTGATGTTGAACAGTTACCCATGAGGACATGAGAGATGGTGTAACTTCTTGGGGCCGAGGATGTAGTGCGTAAAGGGCTTTTTGAATGTTGGATACACAAGAGGGACAATGAAGATTTGATAATAAATAAGAAGTTGTGATCAATGTTGGGTCATCGTTAACGTTATGAGTTGAAGAGATATCCATCTTCTTGAAGTCTCCAGAAGTGATGCTATTTGCGATATTGTTGTTTATTGTTGGAATGGTCATCTTGATGGAAACTTTCTTTCTTTTGAAAAGCGACTTCTACTAAAAGTCAAACTTATAAGAAAACTCTATTCAAGACTCGAAGGAACTAGAGATAAATGTCTAGGAAAGAAAAGCGTCTTCCCCTCATCCAAAAAGTGGCGACTCACCGCACAAAAAACGCAAACCGCAGAAAAGGCTCAAACAGCACAAACCGCGCAAAAGAATAATGCAAGGAATGCCCTTCTTGATTGGCTCATTAATACCATGATTACAAATGAGTATATATACCGTATGGATTGATGAATTGGAAATTATGTTTATATAAAGGCAAGTAAGTAGCCAAGATATAGCAATGTTGATCGATGGGTGAATGTTAAGTCAGATAGTAATAAAAACCTATGTCTCGTCGTTGATATTGAGAAATCAATTGATGTGACTGATGGGGTGGATATTTCTGTCATTTTCCGATAACCCGATAATGCAAGGTACAGATCTAATGAAGTATAACTAACTGCCTGAGGCATAAAATATATAGAAATAAATTACTGAGCTAACTCTGAGTTGAATAGCACGGGTACAGGTTTACCCACACTTGTCTGTTAGTAATTGATATACGCCTAGCTAATCTGCATTGTACCCGGAGTAGTCCTCAAAGCATCCTCAAAGATTCCAAGTCCAGCTATCAACTCTTCATCAGTAATAGTGATAGGAGGAGCTATACGAAACACTCCCCCAAACGACTTCATGTCCGACAGATTTGCAGACAAACCAAGCTCACTCAGTTTCATCGTTAATGCTGCTCCTAATTCCGGCGCCGGCTCTTTCGTGATTCGATCCTTTACAATTTCTACTCCTGCCATTAAGCCTCTGCCGCGTACGTCTCCAATACAACCATACCTTTCCTGCAACCTTTTCAACTCAGCTTTCAACTTTAAACCTGCCACACGAGAGCGTTCGACAAGATTGTCTCGAATGACAATATCCAAAACCTTGGCACCAACAGCACCAGGTAATGGGTCATTTACGTGCGTTGTGTAGAAAAGGTATCCGCGACTGAAGCAAGTTTCTTCAATCTCTGCCGAGCAAACAACAGCAGCAAGTGGAAGTCCATTACCTAATGTCTTGCTGAGGGTTAAAATATCTGGTGTGCACTCATCGTGCTCAATTGCAAACATCGAACCGCATCTCCCAATTCCCGTTTGTGCTTCATCAACAATGAGAAGCATACCACGTTTTTCGCAATGTCTTTTCATCGCTTTCATATATCCTTCTGGCAAGACGTGCATACCACCGGAACTGAGGATAGGTTCGAGGATAACTGCGGCCAATGACCCTGTCGATTGTTGATCAATCAAATTCCACCCATAATTTAATTCGGTTTCCCAATCGTACGAGCCATCTGCGTGGCGAAAGATCGAGCGATATGCGTTTGGAGAGGGTAAAATGAGGTTGCCTGGAATCTTTTATCAGTTAGTGCTGATATTCTATGCGACTCTGAGAATATGAAAGCTTTCAATCTTCCAAACAGATTGAACATCCCCAGTGTATTGATTGTTCAAAATGGATTGAATGTTCCAAACGTGTTCAGAATTCTCTTGACTAGATTGCATTTCGATTCATCTGAATCCATTTATTTCTAAAGAAGGATTGTCCACTTACACATGGACCATAACCCATCCTTCCAGAGTGGTAGGTTGACGCACTCGCACTTCCAGTCATCCCATGCCAGCTCGCTCCCAATCCCACTATCTCATACTTCCCCGTATAAAGTTTAGCCATCTTAATTGCGGCCTCATTCGATTCCGCTCCGGTATTAAGGAACATAGCACGGTCAAGACCAGGTGGTGTTAAAGACGTTAATTTCTGTGCGAGTTCCACCACAGGCGGACTTAACATGCCACTGAACAAATGATCCAGTTTTGCAGCGTGTGCAGAAATCGTCTCGACGATTTCTGGATGTCCATGGCCAATGAGACAGCTCATTTGTCCAGAAGTAAAATCTAGGATCTTTCTACCATCGGCCGTGTAGATATAAACCCCTTTGGCTCCAATAATGATATCTGATGAGAAATTTCCTCCATATCGTATGAGGGTTGAGTTTGCAGCTTCTCTCATGACTTTACCGTCAATATTTTGGTAAAGTGCTTTATTCTTTGCATTCGGGGCAAGCGGAGATGGATTTGGAATTTGCGCCATCTTTATTATAGGGTTTGGTACTGTGAGTGGGAAATATGGGAGACGAAATTGGAGTGTCACGGTCTGGTTTCCTATGAATACTTGCACAATTTCTTCAGCTGTAAAGCTTAACCCCCATAGAGCGAAAATGCCATCTCCTTAACCTTCCAATCTACGACGAATGAAGATCAAACACAACGATACTCGTCTCGCCCGAAACTATAAAACAGCAGCGCTAGCACACCCCACACAGTGGTCTGATTTCCAGGTTGATTCCTCCGCAATCTATTCCATACTTCCTCGCAACAAGGTAATTCGGGAAATATAACGCGGGACACGGAAACCTAGGCTCCGCAATCAATGTAGGTATCCGTGTGGGGTATTCGGGACAATTTGTTGTTCCCCGTCAGCCTTGCAGCTGATGCTTGATGTTACACGGCATGCAAGGTGTAATATTTTTTGTTGGAAGTTCTCGGATGTTGAAGCACTAAATATTGGACATCAAGACTGAGATTGGAGTCTGGCTCTATTAATATCTTCGGTATCGATGTTGAATCGGGAAGAGACTCAACTAGGAACTCGTTAAGATACAGCCTCGATGACACGCAAACTTGGCTGTCCTAGATATTTAATTCGTGTGGCAGCCGGAGAGGTTCCCTTCCTAGATCGTGTCTTGTCGTACAGCATCAAGCCGGTTAAAGCATGATAAAATCGCTGGGACGGACGGGAAGTAAAAGACTCGCATCCTTGACATACTCCATGTGGGTTTCATAAGAGTTGACGTTTGAAATTCATTTAGATTTTCAAAGTCTCATATATTCAGTTCATCTCAGCTATTTCCATCGGGATCCGAGTTAAGAGCTAAGTACTCGCCGCTCATCATCCTTTTTCCACATTCCAGAATCTAGACGGATCAATTCCTCATCAATCCTCACTCCTTCCTTCTCATTCCCCTTTCACCATTCAATGAAAATACTTATAAGTACCTGAAATATGTTTCCAACCCTCCTCCAACGCCTCCACCACATCATCCGGCAACCTCCCTTTCTCCAAATCCGTCAAATTATCCTCCAATTGCTTGGGACTACTTGCTCCCACAATCACCCCATCCCCAAGCTCTTTCTTCATAAACGAATGATGCGCCGCCCATCTCAATCCACATTCCGCCTCGGTAAGTCCATGCTTCTTAATCACTGGTCGCAGAAGATCTTCTAGTGCATACAAGTTTCGCTCGTTCATGTAACGACTGTGATGCAGTTTCCCTTGCGGCTTGGAGGGATCAAAACGCGAGTTCGTTTCGTATTCGGTTTGCTCGCGATGGTATTTGGAGGTGAGGAACCCGCCGGCGAGAGGCTGGCATGCGTAGAGGGCAATCCCGTAGTGACGGAGACAGGGGATGAGTTCAGCTTCTACGGATCGATTGAATGTATTGTAGAGACCTTGATAAACTGAAGGCTTGATCCAGCCATTTTTCTCGGCAATGTCGCAAATTTGGGCTACTTCCCAAGATGCAAAGTAAGAGATGCCGAAACGGTCGAATCTTCCTTCTTGGTGAAGTTTGTTAATTTCGCTGAGGGTTTCTTCGAGTGGCGTATTGCGGTCCGGTCCGTGCAGGTAGAACATCTCGACTCGATCGGTATTGAGAGCTTTCATGCTGGCTTCAAAACCGCGACGGACGTCGGCGGGAGAGAGTGTGTATTCTTCGGACGTGAGCCATGACATCCCTTTTCCCTTGGTCGGGTAGAGCTTAGTTTGCATGATGAGTCCTCGGGATTGCCAGTCTACTTCGGCAAGCCTTTCTTCGGTTGATCCGCCGCCGTAGACTCGCGCTGAGTCGACTTCGGAATGTCCGTGGGCTTGGAATACATCGAGGATCTTTGCGGCGCCTCTGATGGTGGAGGTGCGGATGGCGTCACCTGGGAAGGAGTTATGAGCTCGATGTATCAAGGAGGTTTGAAGGGAGAGTATATACCTGGTCTGCCAATGGTCATTGAGCCAAAGACTACTTTGATCTCACACTTTGAAGTAACCATGTTGATATTGTGTTTCTGTAAAACCTTATTTGTCAATTAAAAAAAGTATGTTATAAAATGTCTGAACGATAATGATATAGTATTCCTCAACGGATTTAATCGGTACAGTAGCCAGAACCACTACCCCCCCATCCATCCATCTACCTAGGTATCCACATGTATTGCGGGGATCAGAGGACGCAGAACTGCGTCATGAAGAAATATCAAGCAAGCGAGACCGCCTGCCTACCTAGCAAAGCGATATATACAGTATCATCTTCGACATGGACATGGAGTCCACTTAACAGGTTAACATCGAATATGAACACATCGCAAATCATTTCATGCATGGAATTCTGATCTGAATCTAGTAGATATGAATGCCCCACCTAGTAATAGCCGTTTCGGCATTAACAGGCCTTGTTCGGTGCTGGCTGCAGGAAAATTGCATGTCTGTGACTTCTGTGGACTTGTACTCAGTACTGAGTTATTTGGATCGGTAAATTTACTGTAAGGTATTGTAAGGGTTTTCGGCCGAAAAGTTTATCTAGATTAATACTCGAGTATGGTTTGTGTATTATGGATTCTTTGAATGATATAATCATCTACTGTTACTGTAATAAACTGAGTAATATGCACAGGGCGGTGAGGGATGGGGTTCTGCCTTGTGTACTAATAATCGTGGGTGGCCCCTCTATAGCTTTAATATGATGGCGCTTATACTATAGTGGGCGAATGCCGAATCGTGATTGGTGTGCGAATTTCAAGCTTAATTGTGACAGAATCGACGGCTCTCTTCCGTCCACTAGCTCATACACCTTACATGCTATAATAAGACGGTTCTTTTAGACCTTCCTTTCTTAGCCTAGAGCTTCTAGACCTTTATCTCATTCTTAGATCACTCGGTGATTACATAAGCGTAAAATATATAAACTATCCAATCAGAGGCATGTAACTACCTAGTAGACCTAGACATCGTATCTCTCTTCTTTCATTCTTTTAGGCCTAGTCTCTAGGGCTACCAAACCTATATAGCTCTTCACTTATAGATTCTAAGTATACAATCGGAGTCCTGTTTATACTCTTTTGGTTACACTATTCTTAATCTCTTTTGATTAATACACGAATTTTTGGATTGATTATAACCACCGCAGATTATCCGAATAAACAATTCAGGATTCCAAACCACCGCCTGTCTAGGTATTTTGGAACATCAAATCTACTCTTAGTAGTTCATTCACCAGTGATTCAAGAAGTTACAAACTAGAGTAAAGTATACTCACTATGCATCTTACCCTACTCCATGCTGACTAGAGAAGCATCAAACCTCATCATATCGACTAGAGAAGGATAGCTCACAGCACTGAAACAATGCCGGTACTGTAGTCTTTTTTTTCATCCGACTACAGAGGTTCTCATTATTAGATTAATCTTCGTTAAGATGTTCTACTCCCCTATGTATTTATACTGATGTGATTGATGACTAACAATACAATAAGACTTGATGTGGTTGTTGGGGAATTGTTTGATGTCACGATTTCTCTGATCTGTAATTGGTGAAAAATATAATAGGTACCGAAATGGAAACATGTTACGAAATGGAGATTAGCTGTTTCTCCTTTTCACCTGATCTGATTACATAGTACAGTACAATTCTTCTCGGGATATGATATTGACCTCGATAAAAAGCAAGAAGTGGCAGAATTTAAATGATGATTAAAAATGGTACAATTTTTTAGTTGGAGTCTTGTTCTAGATGTCAGATTAGTTGACACCAAAACTCCTTTTAAGAAGTTTGGAACTCTAATTTATGGTTTTATGGGCATCAGTTTCCTTGAAATTTAAACGTAGATTGTGTCTGGGTATGATATGATATCTGTGAGGTGATTGACAGTGACACTACTATTCCAGATGAATCTTCTGGTGAAGAACAGGGTTCAATGGCACTGTCGAAGGGATGCATATTGGAGGTAGAATTCATGTCTACTAGAGTTGAAAAATTAATGTGACCATCAATTCAACAGACATGAACTGATACTATATAAGCAACGAATCCAAAACCCTCTATTATCACTTTAATCACATGATTATCATATTTCCTAATTTATATAATAATATATCCATAAACTCCCAAGCTGTTTCCTTACCCCCTCTCCCTTATTTCATTTCCATCGAATTTATTGAAAAAATTGCTGACACAAGAAATGCAGGCTGACGTGACACGATATAACGGTGTGTCTTGAAAAGACCGTCTTTTCACATCCTTAACGTCTAAACGCCAGTGGGAAAGCTTATAACAGCTGAGAGGAAATTGTACCCAGGCTCGCAGAGGAGAAGAAGCTACTATTTACAGGACAATGTACTTGGGTAGTTGTAGAAGAGGTTAGCCAAAAGAATGTTGTCAAGTCTTCCAAAGAATCAACAAGGCAAACCTGGAAGAGGGACCTTTAATGTTATGTTGAAGTCAATAGAATCTGCGTATCCGGAAAGAACGAGTATGCTCTCATTACATGCTGTCATGATGTTGAGGATGCCCCTTATCAATTTGTAGTTCCAAGAGAATTATGGTTGACACGAAACAGAATATTTACGAATGTGTTAGGTAACATTCAGATTAAGGGGCGATTTTTGATAAGCTGGGCTGCAGTCGACAATATTGGGGTTTCTGATCTTGAATATATATAGAACATTGAATTAAGCAACTTAAAACATTGAGATATGTTCAACTACTCACAGTATACTACCATCAAACTGTAACTACAGTCCCAATTATTGGAAGCCCCTAATTGTGAAAAGAGCAAATTGTTGGATGAAGAGAAGTATATTGACTCGCTGTATTCCCTACTTTATGCTATGCCCAAAACGAGGCAGTTTTCTACGTTTGCTAACCACCTCAAGACAATCCTAATGGAACCCGCAACATACAAAATTGGCTTCAGACTGAAGGTCTGTGATCCTGATTCTCCCGATTATCTATCACCGCATTTCGAGTGGCCACTCTCACGTCCCCCTTCGTTTAAACACCAGCTCTAGACAAATCTCCCAGCCTCAGACTTAATCCAAATATGGGTGCATATCATGAAAATGAAAAGGGTAATCCTCGTCGATCGGTTGCTGAGCTTCTGTTTCTGCTTGGCCATTCTGGGGTCCTAGAAAGGGGGCCATTTTTGGAAATCAGTTCGTATCTTTGTCGGTTTCGGCATTTTTCACGGGCGTTTGAGGCAACTCGGGTATTGAATTTTGGAGTGACGCTGATTCAGACGAGGTTCCATGCTGTGAATCGGACAGAGCTTCAGGTGATGAATTTCTAGGTGGTGTTACGAGACGTCTAATTAGATTGCCCTCTTGTAGTAGATCATCCGGGAGTTTCGATAGAACGGGCCAAATAGCGGCAAGAGCAGAACTAGGACAAGACCTCCCCAAACCATCCCATAGCATTGTTTGAAGATCCTTAAAGCTCTTGGAATTGGGGTGGAGACCCTCGTCGAGCAGTTCATACGTGAAATTTGCAGCCAATGTCAACGATCGAACCGCCCAAAGATAATGTCTTTCATCTTCCAACATGCTCTGCGTAAACTCATTCCGAGAAATATTCTCAAGATGCACGTAGAAGTTCAGCAGTGTTTGACGATCTTGAAATTTTGCGCGGAAAAACCTAATTCGGGACTTGAAACTCTTTTCTCCACCATTCCACTTACCAGATGAACAGAAACGATCTTTGATCCATAATGGGATAGTTCCAGCTAAAGGTCCTAGTGACCAAGAGAGGTGCCGGTCTGAACGAAATTCGACGAAAATTCTAGAAATGTCGATTTCGCTCTTTCGATGAAGGAAACCACTAGGGAATTTGCGTTTCAATATATCAAAGTCACGTCTATGGTTCCAGAACGCGAGATGCCGGACAAGTCTTGTGAAAATGGTATTCGTAACTTGTTGAGAAACTTCAGGATTTTGAAATTCGAGAATGACCGACCCTAACGGTTCCGCCGTTGCATCGGCAACCATAATAAGCCCATCGCTATCAAACCGGATTACTTCCTCCCAGTAGCTAGGTCGGTTCCTAACAATCGGTCGCAGCGTCCCAACTGTATATTCTACATCATAGAATTTGATGGACTCGTTTATTTTCGGTAGAAGGGTCTGAAATAACTCTGAAGTTTCCTTTGACGGACGTAACCATTCTGGATCCATTGTACGTGAAGTAATAATGTCTGTGTTGATTATCTGGAATAGATGTTTGCTTTTAATTTGTGTAAAGATGAGGTGACAATGTTCGTGTTGAGTTTGTAGAATGAAGATGTTGATTGAGTGAAGAGGAAGCAGAATATTTGTTTTATGAGGATGTCTAGCTAAAGTTCCTCTTTCCATGCATGCTCATATGTTTCTTCCATATGCGTCCTTGTTCTCGAAGGTTGGGGTAATATAAAAGGAAGGAGCAGAAAATTGGGAAAGAGTCATCTTTATCTACCATGAGATGAGTTGAACTGAATAGCTAAATAATGGCAACTGAAATTATAAGTAGTACCCAAAAAAAGAGGAACTGTTGATCCTCATCAGGTTTTCAATAACTCAGGTTACAGTCCAACAATGAGGAATTATTGATTCTTGAATCCATTTTATATATGGATTTGGGTTGAGATGTTGTACTCATTTGATATGTTCAACTCAGTTGAAGGATTTCAATTAATTTGAAATATCAGACCAATTCCAAAGGTTCACCAGCCTTTGAACATGCATACTTTCAAAGGCGTAGGTACTGATCAGTAGAGATGACCAGGATCCTCGATACATTTTGCATTCCATTCATTCTCCCTTAATGCTAAAGAGGGAGTTGCTAAAGAGGGAATAGTCGAGCTTTAAGCTATGGGGTACAGTAACGTGAATGATAGTTCTGATGTGCGTCTACTCGCACTTCAATAGAAGGATTTTATTTCCTATGTACTGGGTCAGGATCGACTGAATACCAGATATATCTCACCTCCCAACCCATCACCGAAGTGCAGATTGCGGGTCCAAGGACACCGAAAATTGCCTACATTCCAATAATACAAACTGCAGGAATTGCGCAACACACCATATTTTGAACCATATGAGTGCATTTAAAAGAACTTGTGCTCCTATCATTTTGAAATCTTCTCCAAGCAAAGGATATCGGTCACCAAAACTCAGAGAATAGGCTGGAATCAAGGACACGCCTCGAAATCGATATACGCTCTGATTCACAAGATATGAAAATGTAGGGTTTGCCTTCATTTTTCTTAATGCAGAGCTGGAGATTGCAAGAACAGACATCGAAGAGAAACGACAAAAGAGACAGTAAAGATGAGAGAACGACAATAATAGAATTGTTGTCGTTTTTAGAGAATTTGAATAATTCAGATACTTGGGTTGAGGGCCAAGAGTCCATGTGTTATGTATGGTGGATTTTGAATTTGCCATTATTGGGACACTTCCAACCACTGGCGTTGAGGGCCCTTGGATAATTCTCATCATATTACCGCAGAGAGAGAGTCAATTTATGTTAGCTTGAGCTGAGAAAGCGAATTTTCGAAAAAGAAGAGGAGTTAGGGGCAGGGCTTAGTCTGTCGTGGGTACTAGTGAATGGAGGGGAGGTGTAGCATTTTTAGGAGATGATTCACATTCTATTCGTTGAGGCTCAAGATGCATACGAGGAGGAAGGTTATAGATAATACCAGAGTTACTTCTTCAACGAACAGAATAAGAGAAACCCAACCAGCTCACTGTGTCAAGCGGAACGAAGAATGTGGAGTTTCATGTTGTCATCGTGGAACGACTGATGTCGATTGTACATAAAGATTTTGGTATCTTGGAGATTGGAGAACAAAGGGGCTTTAGGATGAGGAATGGCGACAAAGCATTCAAAAAGACGGAAATAGGGGATTTCTGTTGCCGATATACTTCGGAGATCTATTATTTTTCAAATTACACTAATTCGCCTGTCAGAGTTTTCGGAGCCACGTTAACTGACGAGCCATTTGGTTGAAATATCCATGATAGAAGACTGAACAGCAGTCCTCAACGCAGTAGACCATAATAGCCTGGTTCATCACTGCAGTTTGGAGCTTGGCCGTTTCCGATTCAAGAAGTATGTCTTTTATATCCAGAAAAACCATAGACTATCGGCATTATTGATTGAAGGAGGGAATACTACGTGGATTATTCTATCTGGTAGTTCCTATTGCCCATGGCGCAAGTAAGCACCACAAGATATCGTCAAACTCGTCTTATCAATTCAGATTCTCACTATACCTAAGTGCCTTAGTTTATATGACACAGAGTTAATCACACACTAAGTATCAAGCAGACAACAAAGGAGAGTCACAAGAGTGTGCATTTCACCAGCAAATGCTTGGTTTTGATATGCATGGAAATTTTACTGTATGAATTTTCGGTCCGGATTGCGGTGTGATACATTGGGATTGGATTCATGTGCAAAAGGCGACAATGACTAACGTTGAAGTTCAGATGATTATAGTAGATTTGATACCATCATTCGCAGAGGAACATAAAAGACAACAGGTAGGTTTAGTGATAATAATGATGTTGATGGTGAATCGACTACGTGACCAACACCAGACTACATACCATCCCGCCACTGGAAATAGTCTAAAACCCACAATACCCTCCCACTAAATTGAACATCTGGTATTATGAGGCAACATCTTACTCTTACGTAGTGTACAAGTGTTAGGAGAATGTGGCACTATTCAAGTGTATGAGCGTTTCCTTAACGACTTGGTGCAAGATCCCGCATAACGTTAAAGTCAACGTCTTATATATCACAGATCACAAGGCTTTGAATCAAACTATGGAGTCATCACTTGATGTCATCAAATCGTAGAATGCCTCGTACCAGAATGGACTATGTATAAATAATAGTATTCTTCTCTGGGGGTAAACGTTAGACCAAAGAACCACAGATGACTTAGGTTCATTGGGGGGGGGGGGGGGGAGGATTTGGGCTTTCGTTGCGAACTCGTAGTGTATCCTTGAGGGATTTGTTGATTGGTTATGATCTGGAAAGATATTCCTTCCCTTCCCGCACAAAGCCGGAGTGTTTTTCACTATTGCCGGGAGTAAAGAAGGATACTGCCAATAATTCTACTCGAGTACTTCAATACTTGAGAATCAGTCCGTGACAGCAAAACTTTACAACTAACAACGGCTGATAACCACAACACTTGCCAACAGCTTTGAAAAAAGAAAGTGGTTTTCGCCAGACCCAACACAAAAACGGAATCAATAAAGATTCAATGAAATGTAACACCATCCCAAAAGTCACCCCGCCGTCCATCCATCTCCAAAAGATAACAATCACTCCAGTCATACCCAATTACTAAACACAAACCATCATTCTTCACACCATACCATGAGTTACTCTCAAGTGTTTCTCACACAATCGATTATCAGATTATCAGAAGAAACACACATAGGAAGATTACTATTCCCTTAACTTCTACATATCCACGTTTAAAATTCCAATGCAAGTCCACACAATCGATTAACTGTGCCTGCCCATGGATCTATTTATCTATCTATCTATCTACTTGAGTACGATACCGTAGGTCCGCTGCCAATCCAATCCAATTCAATCAGCGAAGCAGCTCCAACACCCAATAAACTAAATCATGAGAGATTCAGATTCAGATAGGAGAGTATAAATTTCCTCTCCTACCAAAAGATAGGGAAAGGATCAACGCAGTATGAGACGCTGGTCCTGGGACATATACTTTCGAAGGTAGCCTTATTTGATGGATATTAGCTAGATAACATGTACCGCAACTTAGTAATGGAAAACTCGCCGTAGATCTCATCATTTCGAGGGAACTACCCCGAGACGAATTTGCGGACACAACTAATCGGTGCAAATACTCACTCCCATTAAAATAGAGCTATCCTTACTGTCGCCTTCTCGCCTTCTTACCACATCACTGCACGATCCGCCTTCCCGCCTCCCCTCCTTCTTCCCCGAATACAATAACAACAACAGAAATGAACCAAAACTATTCACCACAACAACCACAACAACCACAACAACCACAACAACCACAACAACCACAACAACCACAACACCACCCACCCAACCTCCATAAGCCCACACCCAAACTCTCCATAGTCCGTGCCACTAATCTGATCTGATCCACATATACACACAGACAATACCAAAATGTCCTCCCGCCCTATCCTGAAAGAAACAATTTCCACCACGAACCCCATTTTTCCACCTAAAAATAATTAAAACGTTTCGAGATTATATCATATCATATCATATCACAACCAGGACCTATAGTTCCTTTCCTTTTTTTCTTCTGTTCTTTTCTGCCCCAATCCACCCCACGTCACTCAACCTCACCCTCACCCTTCTCTTTCCTCCCACCGTATCAAATCCCACCGCTTCAAATCCCTAAAACCACAAAAAAAAAGGACTCCAACTCCACGCCATGCAAATATATGGGACAATCAGTAGCCAAACCAATACTAAAACCCATACCAATACCCATACCAATCAACTCCTCACCTCCCCATGATCTCATCCAACAAATACAGCCATCTATCTCACCCACCTCCATCTCCATGCCATCTCACCTCCATCTCCTTCTCACCCCACACCAGCCCAGCCCCCCACCCACACCATGCAATCTCTCCAACACATAGCGATAGCGAGCACGATATCCATCATCCATCTTCTTTTCTCTTCTCCCCAGATATATCTAGATCTAAATCTGAATCCACTACAGTATCAAATCAATATTTCACTTTACTTCACATAACATCACGCTATCTGTCATCGCCGTCATCGCTATAAAGAAGTAAAGAATTACTCGAGTAACAGCAAAAGAAGAGTAAGAAAGAGTAGCACTAGCTATTTCTTATCATCACACTACCGTCAGTCGTCACATATTTAATGATATACACAATCAACGAACATAAATCAGCGAGGAATTGAAGTGAAGGACCCGTCCATTTGGAACTACTATCAACTATACTGTACTTATTCGGACCTCCCTCTAATCCAATCCGATATCTTCCCAACCAAAAGGTTAAAAGTCCTCTCTCACTTCACCTCATACCCAACCCAGTATTTCACCCCTTCCTCCTCCCCCCAAAAGCCCCACACTAACCTTCCAACACTCAAAAGAGAAAGTCGCTAAGGGTGACCGAATAAGGCTTCGCCATTAATACAAATGCCATATTCGATCCTTTCACCCCCAGCCCAACTTCTAATCGCCCACCCTTCAAACATAAAGGTAGAAGCAAAAGTAAAGTTTTTGAATTCAATCAGGATATCATATATTCGCCAACCATCCATCCACCACCCACCAACTCTTCTAAATGTGTGTGTCATGATATCCTTATCAAATCCAAGGGTGGTTCCAAATCCTCCCAATCTCCTCCACGGAGCCCTACATTTTTCATATATGTCAAGAAGTTTTTCCATCTCCACCTAACCAGAGAAAAAGAGAAGAAATTTGAACAATGGTCTGTGGTATGGCTCAAAACATAGAAGAACAAAATTGACAAACGTCGTCGCAATTGCAACAAAAACTTTTGCTAGCGACGAAAGGGGGTTTCGCTTGCTGCAAATGCTAACATATAAAGTAATCAAAAAGCGTTTAGTGATCCAGAAATTCTTGCTTTGCTTTGCTTTGCTTTGCTTTGCTTTGCACACCATATCCAGTCGTATGCATTAATCTATGACGAGGCCCAGATCCAAAAAACAAATATCCCAAAGTAGAGGTAAAGTAGAGGTCATGTAATGGCTTCATGTGCTCTGTCAAAAGCAGCAAACAAATGCGATCAGGAGGCAAGGCTATTTGTTGCCGTATTTCGCCATAAACGCCAAAGGTAAAGTTAAATTCATTGCTCCGATGCAAATATTGCGGCGCTAACATCATATTTTGAGTTCATCATTCGTTCATGATCTATTTTCGTGTATGAAGATCATGATAGTGCCTTCTGGGCCTTTTCCTGCGCTCGGGCATTGCGTGCAGATCGAACTAAGGGTGCTAATTGCATGAGGTCTGTGCATTGTTTCATGAAATCGTGCTACAAAGGATATTTTGTTAGCCTTGGTCGATCTTGGAGGGGTGGAGGAAAAAACATACCCTTAATAAGTCGTGAGCACTAGCTCGCTTCTCTGGGTCGACCTTGAGCGCAAAGTAGAGGAAATCCCGGAAGACGAGACTCAGCTCATGTTCATTCTTGATAGCAGGAGTACCATTCGTAGCGATCAGGTATAAAGCTCTGAGAGGCGATTCGGTGAGGTAAGGCGGTTCTCCTTCAATCATTTCAATGGCCATGATACCCAGAGACCAAATATCAACCTTGCGGCCATATTCTTTACGCGTAACAACTTCGGGTGCCATCCAGTATGGTGTACCAACCATGGTAGTACGTTTGTTATGAGCTTCGTTAATTTGGGCGCAGAAACCGAAATCAGCTGCAAGACATTAGGATTCAGGTTACAGATCTTTCGGAAGGTAGAAAACTTACTTAGTTTGATATTTCCATCCATTGACAACAGGACATTATCCGATTTGATATCACGATGTATGACTCCCTTGGAATGTAAATGTTGTAAACCCTTCAGAGTCTCCCGGCAAACAGCTGCAATTTGACCTTCTGACATGATATTGAAAGTAACAACATCAGTCAAACTTCCACCCTCCATATATTCCATGATAACCCAAAGTTCCCCAGTAACCAAGAAACTATCAATAAAATTGACAATGTTTGGATGGGAGCTATCTTTCATAACAAGGATTTCATTGATGATTAAATCTTTCTTTGGCTGTTGTTCCAGGTTCATTTGTTTGATGGCCACCAATCGGTTTGTTCCCCTTTCATAGCCAGTGTAGACACCACCAGAAGCACCTTGTCCAATCTTATTCAGCTCCTTGTAAATGTCTCGAGGATCACCCTCAGTACATATCTGCTTCAACCTTGCAACTATATCAAAACCAGTGCTTTGGCGTGCTCGTTGTCTGGGACGTGGGCCTGGAACTTGTCTAGCTTGCTGGGTTGGGTGTGGAATACCATTCGATGGAAATTGGCCTTGAGGAGTCGGTGGTGTAGCTTGCTGAGTGGGTATCTTCACGCTGACCGATCGGCTCATTGCCTGTTGGGCCTGTTGCATTGCTTGCTCTTGATGCTGGAAAATATGTTGCTGATAGACTTGTGGGGATGCCGGCGCTGGAGTCGCATATGGAGATGTGCCATTTACTTTCGAATTTGATCTTGATCTTGACCTGTGTTCCTCGGGGAGCATAGGTCCGTTGTCCTGTACCGTTGGAGGGACATACGCCAATGCCGGTAAATCGTCACTTTGGCGAGTCATTCCAATCCCAGAATCTTTGCCGGCGGCAGGTGGTGGTGGTGCAATTCGAGTAGGTCCTTGCATCGACACAGGTGGCCTAGGAGCTGGCCTGCTCGGTACAAGTCCGTTGAGCTCAGGCTTGACCTGAAAACTCAGACCTTGCGATCCGCGTGGAATTGGAGGTGGTGATCTTGGATTTTCGAAATTCGACTCGTTGTTCGCGGGGAATCGAGGACTCGCTGGAGGACTCATCATTGGGCTCATTGATCCATAATTCGAGGTATTGAAGCCCGGCGACAATGGCAGTGGTGCGGGCGCGGGACGCGCCATCGTCATCTCTGGCACTTTCGCATGATCGAATTTATCAAATATCTCTTCACCACCTTTATCCGTATTCTCTTTGTAAAAGCCGACGATATCGACAATTGTTTGCGGGTGTTGCTCTTGTTCTTTTTTCGTGATTCCACTCTCGTTGATCATACGCTGCCATTCTTTCGGCAGCCCCTATGAACCTGTCAGACATACAACAAATCTGGGCAGGGGCAATTCGTCAGTAGAGATACTTACAGTGAACTGTCCAGTTGTATTATCGTATCCAACATGAGTAACGTGTACAGGATTCTCAGGCGCTGAAATTTTGACCCCTCTTGGTGAGCCAACACCAATGCTGCTCATAAAGCCAGAGAACCCAGATTTCTTTCTTAGCATACCAGATTTCGGTTCCTTGGTCTCATCTGAATATCTCTTTGGACTGATGAGCTGGTTCTCACCCACGCGTGGAGGGACTTTTTCGTTCATCTTATCGTCTGCGGTAAAACTTGCGGATTGCCGTAACTGTGGGCTTATCATATACGCTGGACTCGAATGCGATGACGGTGGTGGTGGCGGTCGCCGCAAGGTATTTTGAGAACCAGAAGACTTTGTTGAATCGATGTGATTAAATATACCAGAACCGTCAAAAGGAGCGCCGATAAACTCTTCAGAGCTCTTTTCACTTATTGGTCGCGATGGAATGGAATGGCGATCATTCGCTCCTCCCATTCCTATGGGCTGAAGCACGAATTCTGAGCCGGCCAGTACTGGAGAGGGGTTCGAGTATTGATTCTCGAGAGACGAATTGCTAGAGGCGGGCTTTGGTGAGGTGAGTTTTCTGGTTTGACTTGGAGTGAAATAAGATCTGGGGTAAGAAGGTGCCGATGGTGCACGTTGTAAGCTCCCAGAGCTTCGCTGAGTTCGTAAAGATGTAGGAAAGGGGAATGATGAGTTTTCGTTTTGTCTCGCTCCAAATGAAGTTATAGCTTTGGATGGTGGTGGCCTTTTCATCAATTTAGTTAACCTACGACTGGTTGTTTTGATTTCTGGATCCATATCGACTTCGGGTCACCACTGCTCAGACCTTCGTTTGAACTTTTGGGAGGTCCGCCGCTTTGAGTGGAGGATGGGTGTTTCGTAAATTGCCGATGAACTTTTAACCAATAGAATGAAATATCAAACTGGCAGCACAGGTTAATTAACGAGAGACGGGGTTCAGTTTACTTTCTCTCTCTTCTTGTGTAAACGATTCGCAAAGTAGGTAGCTACCGGTATTCTTCAATGAGCGGAAGAGTCGTCGATATTCGTAGCAGACGGGAATTTCCACGGACTCTGTATGGGTTCGGGGGTTACCCAGTTGAACAGTGCATCAAACAATATATGGCCTGGTCGTAGATGAAATTGGTGGCCAAAGTAGGTAGCTTGTAAGATAAGTGAATCTAATTGAAAAATAAAGCAATAATGAAGAGAGATTTGCTACTACTCGAGTAGGAGGGAATTCGTGGGATGGATGGATGTATGGGTGAATCACTTTTATTCTCTCCAAAATGGTAATTTGTCGATGAACATCTCTTCTCCAATTCAAATTCTTAAGATTAATTGTGATTTGAACCAAATAATGGCCAGTGAAATGAATGAATGAATGTATGAATGAATGATAACCTTGTGATAAGGGTGGTTCGGCGGTAGTTGCCAATGTGTAATGTTGTTTGTGTGGCAGGGCTTTAACTCAGTACCAGATTTCCTGATTATATTCCGGAAAAGACTTTCTTTTCTGTTTTCTACGCTGCCACTTGCCCCCCGACCCTTTTTGCTGTCAGTTTAACCGATATGGATATGATTGGGAATACTGGGAATACAGTATAGCCCGGAAAATGACTGGGTATGACTGGGCCATAAATTGAATGGAAAGGAATGACGAAGGAATGGAATTCTAGAAGAAAAAGAATGGAGGGAAATAAATACAAAAGTTAAGTGATTCAAGTCGAAATATACTTGAGTTTTAAGCAAAAGTAAGTAGGTTAAGTATGAGGAGCTTTGAAATAATATGGCAGGAAGGAAGATATCAATCAACGATATCAACCCAAGGAAGGCGAAAATTCGAATCAATTTCCGAGAACGAGATCAAGAGAGAGAGAGAAAGAAATATTGCAAGAGTCTTTTATATTCGTATATACTACTGTATACTGATATCTATCATTAGGACTAGGCATGCTTCCATCTCTCTATGGCTGCTGCTGTTGCTGCTGCTGCTGTTTGAGTTGCTCCATATTCATACAGTTCCTCAAACAAAGCCTCACTACCACAACATATACATTACATGACACTAATGTACTTCAACAGCATGTATTCTAGTAGGCATATAATTAAGTATTAATTTGTATTATAAAGTATGTAGGTATTTGTCAAATTGCGATGCGATACAACAACAAACATTTTCGTACCATTTCTACTACGCCTTCTAAGGTTCCTGCGAAGACCCCCAATAATGGCTTCTTGCAGAAGGTTATATCCACTCTTCGAGAAGTCTTCCCCTACCTACCTGCTTACCTGCTTAGGACTTATCTCCTTGGCTGAATTGAATGCATTCGTTGGTTAGGACCTTAATATACTTCCTTTCTTAACTTGTATCTTCTACTCTGGTAAATCACAAAAACCTAACCACAACCCACCATTAATTCGGACAAAACAACACCTATCCGTCAACAGCCCACACACCCCTCATACTTAGTGGATATAACTGATAATAAGTCCTTTGTACCGTAATAATCTGTTAAAAACGTCGGTGCAGTGGAATAACCACCCATGGCTTCCATGCTTTCCGGCTTCTAGATTTTCTGATCCTTCGAAGATCATCTATTATCCTTCCCACCTGAGCAATAGTGATAATAAATATCTAGCACTAAGGACAATGAAAATCATTTGAAGCTGTATCCCTGGTTCCGAGAAGCAAGGATCATTTCAATTCCACCTCCCTATCCCTACTCATAGATTTCAAATTTGAAAAGTCACGATGTGGTACTGGACAATCTACAGTACTTGTTGCCAAATTTCTTTTATCGATATTCGGAATCCTTCTCGCTTCTTAAGGGGATCTCCTCAGCCCGTTGTATGCGATTGTACTGGTACAGCATACTATCACTTTTTCCACAGCCAGCCCGAATCATTCTTGACCCTTAATTGTAAACCTGACTAAGTATTGATACAAAATCGTTCTCTTATCCCCGAAATCTCAAACGATAGAACTTTATTCGCGCCCGCTGTTAACATGGCAAGATAGTGGGGTTATACCTCTGGTTGCCGAAGTAACCACCACCTGCTCTGTGACTTCAAAATAGACAAAGGGAAAGGGCACCGTTACAACGCTGTATGGTACTTAGCTATTATATACAACAGTGCAGCGGACCTCTTTTACTGTTCTGTATAAAGTGGTGACATGTTACCTAGAGCAGGTGGGTGGGTGGGCTGACTCCGAGAGACTTCGAGACACCACCTCTGCTACACAACAGGAGGGGTGATTTTTCATTGAAAAATTCGGACTGGACTCGAAGTGCATGTTCCATTCGACTTTGTGACAAGCCATAGCCATATGTATAGAGTATACCTAAAACTCAGGATCCTCTCATCAAGAAGGGATCAAAGCCCATAGCCACTTGGCACAGAAATTCATCAGGAAGCTCTCGTCTTGGCAGGTATCTTTCGAGTCTGAGGGTACTTTATTACCTCTCGATACAAATGACATGTAAGTACATGTATGTATACCCAAGTGTTCTCTCCATAATGAAGCCACTCCAGCTCGATCTTCAGAAAAGCGTCAGGTGCATCTTCCTCAACCCCTCGAGTATTGACTGATTAAGTTCTCATATATTAATCGCATGCGGAGACTCCGGAGAGGTATTCTGCATTCTGAATATGGATATACCCCTCATTGGAATGAAGATTGGGAAACCAATTAGGCCAGTTTGAATAGAATTGAACTGGAGTGAATTGAAGTGAATTGAAGCCAGGATGAGGTCACGATTATGCACTTGATATGGCCAAATTGATGAACTCGGTGCAGTACTGAATCCGATTCTGTTGCAAGCTTTGATGATTTACGAGTAGTACAGAACGGAAAGGATTTTGATTTTGATGTTTCTTTATGGCTATTGTTATGGTTATCTACTCTCAACATACGATCATCATACTCGAGTACAATTCGCCTTGTAATTCAGGAACCAAACCTCTCATCTGATCTGATCTCTAAACTTTTAATTAACAACACCTATGTATTTCAAGATTCACTCCTATAGGCGTAATATACAAGTAGGGTTTGGGCACTTTACTCGTAGATAAAACAGAGCTTCGTTACAAAAAGCTGAAATCATAATAGACTTTGTTATTATATACTACTTTATCTTTATATAAGATCTTAGTCATTATATGAACCATTCAATATGCTAAGATTTCTTTGAATTTCAGTAGATATAAGATTAATAAAAAAGGGATATTATATTAAAAATAAAGAATGAAATAATATCAATATATAAGAATTATAAGAATACTAGTATAATTATAGAAACTAGATTA